TGATATCATATCTAGCCGTAGAATTATTAAACTATTAAAATCTATTCACAATGTTGAGCATTCATGATGATGATCAAAGAGAAATGATAGATATACCAGATACGCCAAGTCAGCCTCAGTAAGATGGGGCCGCCAACAAAATCATGTATCAAAGACGACCCAACAGACATTTATGAAACAGTACATTCGCTATTACAGCAAAAGTTAGCTTTGAGCGATTGCCGCAATAGTTTTTTCTTTGGTTTCCACAATAAAAAATACTATAACAGGTGAAGTGGTGCCGGCTGTGTACATACCAGTCCCCTGAGAGAACTGTCGAAAAGTTAAAAACAGGCGTATTTTTGCACAACCTATACAGTATAATATGACGCTTGTGTAATTTCATTTTATGCTCATTTCAGGTTTCTACAAAGTTAGGGGGCTAATGTAAGTCTATTTGGGAATCTTTGCCCAAAGTTTCTGCCTAAAGGTTGTAAAATACAGGGTTTTAAGCAAAACCATAAAGAGAGCGTACATTTGGGATTTAAGGCTCTTTATAGCATAATAGACCCAAAGTAGAGCTATTAAATGGTCTTTGTTTCATCTAAATACGATGCATCTCTCACGAGATATGACCAAAAATTCCCTCGTGAAAAATCACTGGTTTTTGGCCAGAATTTGCCTATAGTAGCAAGGCAAAAATCCGGATGACAATTTCTTTGAAATACAAAACTGTTGGTATCTCATGATAAAATGATGCTAGCTCTTTGAGTAAGAGCTCATTCGATAGGTTCTTGTCTGTTCTACACTATGATAAGTATTTCAAGTAAGGCTTTGGTGACAGAAACCTGGTAATCTGCCAAAAACAATCAAAAAACCGCAATAACTATTCTATCAAAAACCAGCCTAATAAAGTTGGCCAAAATACTTAAAATTGGTATCATTAGATTCTCCTTTAAATTCTATCCCAAGTTTTATTTAGCTGGAAAGCAATGTTGTTATCAGAATCGCATGATATTAAGGATGAACGATTTCAGAAATCCATGAATCCTCATTTTGAGTATTATGGAGGCTGGGCTATTGATAGTTTAAAATACCGCCTTTTTTTAGTATGTAGCTCAATTCAAGCGTAAATTCGCTACCCTTGTCAAATATAACCTCTTAATTACATGTAACGGATTAATAGGTAAGGTGTTGGCGAACCTCATGGTGAAAATTGCTAATTCATATCTTGCTTTGCTGTCTTGTAGCAAGCTATCAAATTCTAATACTTACCTTGCGGTACATTGATAACAGTGACGTCTTTTAGCCTCAACCTTTTATTAGCATTTTTTCCTTTTTTTTTCGTCTTTATATATATATATATATATATATACTATACTTTGCAAGCTCTCTACTCATGAAACAACGCTACCTTTGTGAATAGAATTGAAGCAAGTATAATTGAAAGCTGCGCAATAGACGTAAGATACAATGTTAACGCGTTTTATACTGTGGTTATACTTGGAATAACTCTACTAGGGATCTATTTCTGATCTTTTGCTGTGCACTGGCTGCACACTTGGCGGTGGCTGCTTTGATGGTATATCGTTGCTTCGGTGGTTCTTCTCTGGTGTTTGCTTATCCTGTGGTCTGTTGTCTTTGATGTATGCTGGTTCTCTGGTCTATCTCTGGTTGTGATGCTGTGGTAAGAAGTGGTAAGTATCTTTTTTTTTCTTGCGGTCGCAATGATATAAACTTCTTTGAACGTTTGTACTACTGCTTCCTTTCCCGTGATAATGCATTCATGCTATTTGCTTTATTGCCTTTTCTTTCTTTTTTGTTGGCTATGATATAATCAGCTCAACAAATACTTGCAATGTTGTTGCTTTGTATTTACGAACAACAAGCATGACACACTGCTATATAATTGTATCACTCTTCTTGTGATACTATGTTATATAGCAGTGGATTGTTGTTTGTGTTGCCTCTGTCGCTTCACATGAAAACAACATTGGTCTTCATGTTGTATTACAACACTTATACTGCTGCTACTCTTGCTCCTGCAATTGTGCGCATTTGTGTTCTTTTACATCATCAGACTGTTATCATGCACATTGCTCATGTATGTATTTTTGTTGCAATAACAAGAATATAATAACGTGAACATTTTTAATATTTTATTCATAACATACTTTCCTTTGGTTCACTTCGTGTGAGCATTCTTTTTTTTTCTTTTGCCTACATATACTACTATACTCCTATAGTATTATTATGTTCGCTTCTTTTATTATTATGTTTCTTTTGAAGCATACATCTTTATTACGTTGTGTGGATGTGCCTATCCCTGAAGCTCAACAAGACTTTATCCGAGGCTAGGAGGTAGATAGGCCGCCTCCACTTGGTTATCACTACTTACTTTAGTGATGATTGAGGGTCTCAATGCCTGAATTTAAAGCTAGGTGGTGTAAGTAAGGCATGCTCTAGCACCTGGGGGAAGTTTGATGATAGCAGCGGCTATATTGCTATTATAGCGGCGCTTAAAATTTTGCCTCACATCAAAACAGAGGGAAACCCTCGCAAATTTTTTTTAGGTCAGCGGAGTTTTCAAGCAATCTGATTGGCTAAGAGGTTGGAACAACGAAGGGTTACAACTAGTTAATCTCCTATTGATCTGTCATTTAACATTATAGTGTGTTTGTAATAAAAGTGTGTCTAAACTGTTACAATTTAAATTTTTCTTTATTCAAAATAACATAAGGTGCAACAATTATTAAATCGGGCATCCATTACACAGCTTTATGTGAGAGATAGTTATTGAATTTATAATGTGAGGAAAGTTATTGTTTAGGATATAAATCATCTCTGAGAGGTAAATGTATTAGACGTTGTATATTACATAAGAGGATCTGAGAGTGAGCAGAGGTGCGTAGTAGAAGTGAGAGGTCTTTATTCAAGCAGCACGAAGGAACGTGAGTGATGCCACCAAATGGCTAATCTATATCCTGGTTCCTAGAGAGTGGTAGCCTATGGCCTTTCATCGCTGGAAGTGAGTTTCAATTCCGACAAATGTTCCTCCGTCAAAGCTATTAGGAAGAACATTCTATCCTGGATCATCTTTGTTGTTTGTCCTTGACTGGTGGTTCATGAGCTCTTACACAGTACATCCTCGTTAATTGGTTCAAGGCTTATACAATTATCCAGCATTCAAGATCAAGGTCCTATTGCTGCGGCACTGTGAAATAACTATAAATACCTTTGATATCTACACTAGTTCTGATCCTCATTCAATCTTGGAATAGCTTAATAAATATATTCAGTTCTAATTGTATTTACTCTGTCTATATTTCGTTATTCTAAACAGTATTATTTCATACGCTTTCCACTTTAATCTACCAAATTTTTAATTATAAAGAAACTCTCTTGTTGCGAAAAAGCTTATATACGCGGTTTGAAGGATGGCGGCATGACCGTTTCAGAAATCGCTAAGAAAGTGAAAAGGCCTGAGCAGACTATTTACGCAGTATTCAGACGCGTTTGCCAACCTCCTAGCGAAGAGCCCAAGAATCCTGTTGGGAGACAACCTAAACTGTCAGATAGAGATATCCGAGCTTATGTGAGGTACGCCAAGAAGAATAGGCATGTAACATTACGCGAAATTGCAAACTCTGGGCGACCAGATATTGGTGAGGGTGTTGTTCGACGTGCTTTGCACCAAGCAGGCTATCACAACCGTGTTGCAAAAAAAGAAGCCAAACCTACGCACTGAGCATGTTCGTAGCAGACGTGCCTTTGCGAAAGAGTACAAGAACTGGCCAATGGAGCAGTGGAAGAAAGTCATTTGAACTGACGAAGCCTCGTTCGAGCTAGGTAAGGCTAGCAGCCCAGTAAAAGTATGGCGTACTTGTGATGAAGCCTACCAGCAAGAATGCTTAGCGTCCACGTTTAAATCCACAAGATCCTCTGTTATGGTTTGGGGTGGCATTTCGTAGGGTAAGAAGTCCAAGCTGATCATACTTGACAAGGACAAACGAGCATCGAAGAATTTCGTTAAAGAGGTGTATGATGGGTATTTAGACGAATTTGAGGATCCTGTGCTGATGGAGGATGGCGCCCCAATCCATCGAGCTGTAATTGCAAACGAGTAGAAGGAAGAGAACGATCTACATAAGATCATATGACCACCACAATCGCCAGATCTCAATCCTATTGAGAGCCTCTGGAAGATCATGAAAGCGAAGGTGCAACAAAAGTTCTACCCAGGGATGAAACTTGATCAGTTTAAGCAAGCAATAATAGACTTTTGGGATTCAATTGATATAGAGCAAATCAACAGCTTAGTATCGGCAATGCTTGATCGCATCAATGAATTGAAAGAGAACAAGGGTCGATCTACTCATTATTAAGCCGCCAAAACTTTTTTTCTTTCTTTAATAACTACATAAGCTTATATGAATAGAATGGCCAGAGCCTGCGCTTTTCAATGATGTATACTATATGTGCTGTTGTTTTCTTCATTCTGATAATTGCAAAAGAAATATGTTTACTTTTTTCAACGAAATTCTCTGGAATAATGTATATTTAAAAGCAGCTAATAATATATTTACATTGACTGATAATATGTACATACATTTCGTAACACTAAGAATAGCGTGGTAGGTATCGCCAAATGTTCTACTTAATGAGGTTGACTAATGGAATTTACTATGGCTATATAATCTGTACACTGCTAACATGTTCAACGTAGTATTGTGTGAATAAGTGAGAAGCTTATTGACGCAAAACTTGCTTTATGAATTGGATGAACATCGCTAGTAAGTGGTCTACATTGCCAGACATAAATCTACTGCATTTGGGCTCACTCGCTGATTTAGTCTAAGGCGTCAAGCAATGTTGTATACGGGCTTTGAGCTTGGTGTATGCATACACACTTTCATTGACAAGGCTTCCTTTAATATTTACACAATGTCTGTATATCCACTTCATTCAAATGATGTGATTTATTCTATTTTTACATACAGTATCTCAATATTTACTACTCTTTACAGTCTAGCTTTTTGAGTCTTTTGCATCCAACCAAAATCCAACTTGGTTCGTCCTCCAGGAGCAATCATGACATTGACAACGCACGTTTGATCTTTGGCAGCGAGGGCTTCCTTGACAGCCTTTGCTAATTCAACTCTATTCTTTACAAACCACCCTTTGCCACCACATGCTTCTGAAATCAAGTCATAACGTGTCTCCACCGAGAGGGATGTAGTGGGCAAAGTACCGTCCTTGAGAGCAGCATGGTACTCTTCATCCTCCAAGCCATGATAGATACCATTGTTGTTGATGACAATGATCAAGAGCGGCAGACGAGAACGGATAGCTGTTTCTAATTCCATGGCAGAGAAGCCGAATGCAGAATCACCCACAATGCTGACAACTCGCTTGGTATCACCGTAGTAGGATTGAGCTCCAATAGCGTAACCCATACCGACGCCCATCGTAGCGCCAGTGCCTGCATCTAAACGATGTCTAGGCTCATGAACGTCAAAGTAGGATCTACCAATATCCATGGTGTTGGCACCTTCACTCACATAGACAATGTTGTTTTCGGGGAGCAGATTCTTAATGACAGTAAAGGCAGTTGAATAGTTCAAAATGGCGCTATCTGATCCCTTGCTACCAGCTAGCTTGGTCTTTTCCACATTTTGCTTTACTTTGTCGACAAGTCCTGAGACGTAATCAGATTTGATATTGTTGAGTTTGCCATTCAATGCTTGCGTGATTTGAGAAACAACGAGCTGAATGTCGCCCAACAATGGCAGTGTGTCTTGACGGTTGTTGCCCAATTCTTCAGGTGCAATGTCGATTTGAATAAAACGAACCTTGTTGCTCCAGCGAGGTGAGTGTCCATAGTGCAGAATCCAATTCAAGCGTGCGCCAATCAAAAGAACAACGTCGGCATCTTTCAATGCTTTCGATCTAGCAGCTGAAACACACAATGGATGACTATCTGAGATGACACCTTTACCCATGGGTGTAGGTAAAAAGGGTGCTTGTGTCTTTTCAACGAGTGCTCTAATCTCATTCTCGGCACGAGCATACGCAGCTCTGTTGCGATATCATGTCAGTTGTCTCGCTGTGAGAGAGAGGACAATACTACTTACCCTTTGCCAATGACAATGAGTGGACTCTTGGCATTCTTCAGCAATGCAACAGCTTCGTTCAAGTTGGTTTGATCAGACATGGACTTGGGAGAATTTGGTACACGAGAGACTTGAACAGCATTATACACCTTCTTGTTGGTAATGGGGTATTGGATATAATCAGCTGGCAAATCCACATATGCAGCACCGGGTCTACCATACAGCGCTGTTCTGAAAGCCTTTTCAATGACAAAAGGCAACTGTTCCAGTGAAGCAGGTCGAGCACTGTATTTGCAATACTGTCTGCATGCTTCGACTTGGTCCAATTCTTGAAATGCGCCCATATCTGTCTGATCTGTCTCGCAAGAACCCGACAGCAGGACAAGAGGCCAGCAGTTGATTTTGGAGTTGAGCAAGCCAGCCAACGCATGCACCACACCAGGGCCACCTACACTCAAGCATACACCAGGACGACCACTGAGGTAGCCATAAATCGAAGCTGCATATGCGGCAGATTGTTCATTACGGAAACCAATAAATCGAATGCCAGCAGCGACACAGGCTTCAGCTACTTCGACAACAGGAATACCTACAATACCAAAGATGACTTGAACACCTTGGTTCTTGAGTGTTTGAGCAATAAGGTCTGCTCCAGATGCAATGACTTGAGACATGTTTAGTAAATTATACAAGAGTGAAAGAAAGAGGGAGCAGTTTCACACACAAAGAAAAACCTTAATATATACCGACGGTGGTCTAAACAGGATTTGTCATTTGTGAGAGCTATGATGTCTTATCACACACCATAGTGCGGAGAGGCAGACGGATGACAGCAGCCATCAAGGACGAGTTGACACAGGAGCAAGCTGAGAGGCTCTTTTGAATGGGCCACTTTTCTCAGTGGCTCTTATTCCTTCACACCCTATATCACGTATTTTTCAACATTTACTGCTCTCCACTTACAAAGAGCAATGCTTTTGTGCAACTCGAAAGCGTATAATATTTCCCAGTTTATTTATTTCCTTCTCTTGCCAGTAACCTTTTCAGCTCTAATCTCCACAATTTCACTCTTGACATATGACATGGTGTGCTTCATTTGAAACACTTTGGCCGCATTGCCCCACGTAACATGATTTCCTAGGTAGCTGTAGGCATCCTCCACTGTAGACCGGTGATTATGACGCTCCAGTCTCAGCTTCCTGGCTAAATGAGCATCATAGATCCAACGGTAAAAGTGAGATAGATAGGATCTACATTGGCCACCGAATGTGACATAGACAGGTTTCCTATTACATGCAATCCCATCAGTTTCTTTGAGTCTCTCTCTCTCTCTCTCTCTTCTTTCACAGCTACACTTTACCCTTTTGAAATAGCATGCGCACAGGCATAATCCAGATCTGCTGTCAGCACGACACGTTGTGAGAAGTGTATAATGTTTTCATAGGATGTTAGCTTGTTCATTGTGGATGGCTCCAACGTGGAATCCCATGTTATTACGGATGCTTGTGTGTTGTCTAATTCAGCGAAGCGTTTGTTCATCTTGTCTTTGACTAGCGGAGGTGTTCTGTCTGTATACACGACCACTACCTTGTCATTGAGGTTCTTGACCATGCGCTAATCCAAGAGAGTTTAACCGTCGGCATGATTTAGCAATCGATTGCTCTCTCTCCCTCTCTCTCTCTCTCTCTCCTACCTTGATGTTATCAGCTAGGTTAACTGCATCTTCCGAATACCAGCGGCAATTCGGAGAGTGCCCACCTACAACCACCGTTGTAAATCCTTGGCTAAATGTGGCCGGTATCATTTGATCCAGTTGTTTGTATGTAGTGGGTGTTGTATCTAGTAAGGGTGCTGGTGTGATAATGCCATTCTTTTGCCTTGCGAGTGGACCAAGAGCAGCTGTATTTCCCGTATGTCAGCAAGATCAATTCTCCTCAATGCGTTGCAAGCCTATTCTACGTTACCCATTTTCGCATTGGCTTCGTATTTCGGTAATACAACTTGATCAAAATTGATGAATGGTATATTGGGATACCCCACATAGACTATCACCCCATGTCAGATCATGTCAAACAAATACACTGCGTATTCTCTTACCCGAAAAGCATTTCTTGTTTTGGTCTGCATTCGTCAGGTAAAGACAGGCAGGCACGGCATCTTGTCCACTTGTAATAACGTAATCCGGCTTGGCTTCATCAAACGATTCATCTTTTGCTGTCAAATACCATGGCAATTTGCTCAATGTGCCTTTGTGTTTTGATGCGCTGTACTCAATGAGGTATTTCTGAATGATGGCAGGAAACATTTGCAATTCTACATGTACAGAAAAAAAAAAAAGAGTTAGACATGACCGCTCTATGGTAATCTATACAGTGGCTTTACTTTTGCTAGCTACCACAGTTTTGACCTTGGGTTTGCCGGATCCTGATAGCTGCTTTCCTAGTGCTACAGCTTGCAAAGAACTTTCGATGCCACCATCAGTGACAACCCACACATTTGGAGATGCTGTTTGTGTGGAATAGCATCGAGGGCTTACTCGGGTGGCCCTTCCAAGCAGTCTAACTAGGGTGTGTTGGTTATTCTTGATCATGCGACTGAACCAAGTACTATAGCTTACTCTGTTTAAGCATGGCTAAAATATCATACAAACAAAAGACGGGGTATCTTTTTAGACAGGTTTTCTTTCATTTTGTTTTGCAGCGGTTATTCAATCCAGCAACGTTAAGCAAGCAGGTCGCTATGGTTACAATGCTGCATTTGCCTTGATGGACATCATTAGGGGACATGCTTGAGTCATTAGCGAATGTATATGTCAATTGCAGTGATACGATTTATTCAATGATTTTTTAAATGCAAGTAGTAGTGGGAGAGATAGACAAAATTAATAGCAATGTAGTGAATAATAATAATTTTTATATTTATCAAGAACACACAGAGATGTGTCGCCTTGATACATATATATATATATATATATACAGATTAAAGAGGAAAATATACACATTATGATGGACAAAAGCCTTAAACAATGTCTCTCCAGGATACCTTTCGAACACTGCCATCAGTCAACAAGACTCGACACATTTTCTGATCCGGTAAGCATTCACTGACAGTACCTGATCACCCCATTAGCGAGCATTATCGCATTGTTCAGCCTAATACGTACCTGTATACATGCCCCCGCCTCTCCATTTCATAAGCACCTCTAATCCTACCTGAAACTTTTTGGCCATTTCTTTGATTTGTGCTTCTTTTAGGCGCTTCTTTTCATCTATTCGCTTTGGATCGTGCTGTGGGCAATAGCCATTGTACAGAGAATGTGGTTTGGATGCATCTGAATGAATGCGCTTCATGGTTGCATCATGCTTAATGGCGCATGTAGCATGGAAAGCCTTCCAGCATCGTCCATAACAGCATTGCATACAAGCACCTTCCTTTTCTTTGCAATAGACACAGACCAGCTTCCACCGTGAGGCAGGAATATCGCCAATACCGCGCACAATGCCTTTTACAATGTATGTCTCATCCACCGATTCAGCGCAGATTTTGTGAATGTGCTTGTGATGGCTATTTTCATTCGTTGCTAGCAAGGGTTCTTCATGTTGTTGCTGCAGTGTAGGGTTGGAGCAGAGTACGCATGCGTTTTCTTCTCGCGTGATTTCATCCAATTTTCTCTTGGTTTTGAGAGTGGTGCCAGTAGCAGTAGTAGAATGATCAATGGTGCTATTTAAAGCGCCATCGAACAGACTATTCACGTCAATCACGACCGAGTCATCAATGCAGGTACAAGGTTTCGCTTTTCTGCCAATCTCCAGCCAAGAATCCATTGCGAAATTGACGCTTTCCGCGCAGTTGAAATCAAGATTGTAGCCAGAGTGATAACCAAAAGGGTAAGTGATTATAAACTCGCCTGCTTGTTGAACACATCGCTGGACTGGGATATTATTGTTTTCAAGCACTGTGGGTGATACAATAAATGTCTTGTGTCTCAGGAATTCATGGCACGATTTATATTGATTGAAAAACGTGGCTACCATTCAATATGTGTGTAAGTAACACCAAGGATAAAGATAAAGTTTGTGTGTGTTGCTTACTTTGCATGAAAGTTTCAAATCGCTTTTGATGACAGGGCTGAATCACATACCATTGCTTGGGTGCACCGAAATGTATGTAATTGATAGAGTACAAGTCCATGTCCTGCGGTGTTGCATGTAATACGTGGGGTCAATGACAGTAATTGAAACCATCCTTCTTGGTGTACAAACCTCAACATGCCATGCAAATGTCGCCTTCCACATGCCAAAATACAAGTAAGGCGAGTTTACTCCGGGCAATGTTTGGTTCAGCTTGTTGAGCGTATTGTCCAATGTATTTGGGTTCCATGAGGTAATGGATGAGTCGAATAAAGCTTATGCAAAATTGGATCGATGAGTCACATGAAATAGTCGGTCTGGAAACCATCATAGATACGTACTGCCCAGTAAATCAGCTCCATACATGGGCTGATTAAATGTGATGTTTCGCCAGTAGTTTCTCTCAATCTCCTTGTACTGATCTTCTGTTAGATGGCTGGTTTCTGAATCAAAAGACATGTGGTGAAGCTGCCGTTTGTGCTAGTATGGTATATCAATGGTGCTGTTCAAAGTGTGGATCATTGGATGCATTACTGCGCAAGGTTTATTAGGAGGATGTCTCGTCTAATGCTGAAATCACCTACCCTGATTCTGCTGATGGCTGTTCCGTATGATTGGCCGATGCTGATCTTTCTGACAGATTTCATACCACTGCTGTAGTGTATACTCTTTTCTGTCTTCGATGTTTGTCTGAGTGAACACGCCTCGGCCGCCAATAATGTGTTGTGTCTACAAGAGAATTGTCAAACAACTGATCCATGCTTATGTTTGTGATGAGACGCACGATTGGTTTGGTCACTTTGATATTGTTTATCTGATGTTGCTGTAATTTTGGTAGTTGATTTTTCCTATTATCTACTATTAGCTCCTTCTTCTTCTTTGACTGATTAACTGCAATGGAAGCCTTGTACCATTCTTTTGGTGGGATGATCTTGACAATGCCTGATTGTTTGCCGTATTCCTCGATGCTTTCGACAAATACTTTGAAATCTTTGAATTCATCCCAAGTCGGTGTAAATATGGGAATTCTACCTCCATTCTCCTACAAATGCAATGCTCATTCAGTAGACGCTCATGGTCATTGCAATAGCCAACATTACTTGATCATAGTATGCTGTTGGTGCAACAGTCATTTTGCAAGCTGCTTTTTTTTTTAGAAAAGGAAGATGTGAAGTTTCGAGAAGATGTAAGAGAAAGAAAGAGAGGAGGCTTTTTTTTGTACTATTTTTTCCTATTACATATTTTTTTCCTGAATTGTAATATGTGGAGGGAGGACTTACTCCACCCGCAATTGCTGCGCGCACCCTCTGACTCCCCTCCTCCAGATAGATCAGGTTTCAAACATGTTATAGTGAGAGGATCACACCAGCTTGTGAGGACTGATTCCGCGGGTGCACTGTCATTAGTCGATTGCGCATGGCACGTTATTGCAACATTTGAAGATTTGCTCACTTTCATTGCAGATTTCCTTCTAATCCTAAAAGGCATTGTTCTTGAAAGGCGAGACAAGCAGCCCAAAATAGCCTCTGATGGCTTACAATTTATATTTGCTTTACAAAACTCTCAAAATATCACTAGCACCGTCAGGCTGGTCATGCCGAATTTATATTATTGCTGTCATTCCTCAGTGGCATGGGACCTGATATAAACAACAATATTATAACACAGTAAATGTTCAATCCCTAGACACTGTTACAACCCTAATATGGAAATTGAGATTCGAAGCATCTGTCAGGCCTGACAAACGTTATTAAATATAGAATGCAAGAAAATAGCATGGCTAACAATAGCGCTATGACTTGCCACCTACTTTCTATACTCCTCAAAAGCATCTATTACTCTATTGCCTTCATGATAAAAAAGGGTATTGAGTTTGCCAGTCAGCCCCACCAGCCAAAATCAATTCAACTCCAGACTCTTAGTCTGTTCCAGATTGGCCAATACTTGATGATTTTCGACTCGATTGAACTATTTTGCCATATTCGATTATATAAAATATGTTGATCACCCTATGCTTCCTAATACGCAGCCCGTGGTGGTAGGGCGAGGTGGTTAAGCATCCAGCATGCCATCTGGATGATCCCGGTTCAAATCCCAGTGAACGCATTTTGATTAATTAGTTACGGTCGTATTGATGTCCTCGTTTGGTGAATGTTCTCTTATCCAGTATCTCTGTATGACAACTTAGCATGATTGTATTGGCTCTAAGTGCCGCACCTTATTTGCAGTAGATTTCTTTCCCAACTTAGTTCAAAAATATCTTATTCCCCTTCATTGCAGACATTGGGTCCACCAACAGTCTTTTCTATCACTCAGTATGACATTTAAAGGATTTTAAATAAAACCTGGAGCTCGTCTCCCCTACAAAAAAAAAATAAAAAAATAAAAAATAATGCTTCCTAATACATTCTTGGAGTACTTTTCAAGGCGCTTTAAATGGTACCAAATAAGATAGATGTTTTTAATAAACTTATTAATTTATGAAAATATGAAAAGAGGTTTTTGGCCAAAAAATCAAAATTTTACATATCAAGATCCCACAAAGATGATTTCAGAGGTTGCTTTGGATCGATAGAGACATTTTGATTCAAGATATACCATAGTAAAAGTCTTCGTTATTAAGGTGAAAAATGCGATCGTTTGATTTTCAATGAAAGCCATGAGGTACCCCTCATGCTTTTTGGTCGAATTTCATCCATGTTTTTTTGATCCCCAAAAAGTTGAGCAAAGGTGTCAGAAAGTAACTGTTTGGTGCTATTCTGACGATTTAAAACCGCCTTGAACGCGAGAAAGCAAAGCTCAAATGCACTCAGGTTTTGCTGTATCAGGGACACTAACGACTAAAAAGGGGAAATGCCAGTATGCTGCTTGCCAGTATATGAAGTAGCTACGTGGATATGGATGTAGAGCATCACATAGGAGTCAGATCCAAAGATAATACGAAGGACTTTCGTGTGTACGTGGAGGTTCACAATGAAAGTAGCAGTATTTTGATAAGATACGAAAGAGCAATCCGTAACACGAGCTGCCACTGCGCAGGTTGGTTCTCACCGAAGCGACGCGAAGGTAAAGAACCATCCAAAGCATAAACACTCGTATGATTAGTGATTTTATATCAATCAACAATCAGGGCACTTCTAACATTTTAGCTATATAAATTTTGCGATATTAACCAAAGGCCCGCGACAGCGCGAGCCGTTTGAACGCACCGAAGCGAAGCGTAGGTCAGGAAACCGCCCGAAATGTCGAAAGGCTTGTATAGTATAACAAATGGAACACTCAAAATCAGTACAGCAACGACTTATATTAGGTAGACCTTTGTACAAAGATGGCGGTACTGTTAGCATCAATGTTTAATACAGAATATATAGTGTATGCACATAACTGGCTCATTTTTCAATAACTATTAAATGATTTACAGTTTGCTACTTTTAAACATCTCTTTCTTTTGCATATACACATATACCCATTACACATGATATACATGATACCATTGATATTAGCGTACATGACCTTTCTTGTATCTTGTCATCAGCAGGACGCTACCGCTCCTGAAAAAGTCGTTGTTGGCTATTGGGGATACTGGGAATCCAAACTACTGCCAATTGAGCATATACCTTGGTCTCAAATTACACACATCAACTACGGGTTTGCCTCAGTGAATGAAGGTATTGAGCCTGTTCTGACAAACGAAGCTCAGTTGATAAGAATAGTTGGCATTGCTCATCAGCATAATGTGAAAGCACTGCTATCCATTGGTGGCTGGTTAGGCAGTAGATCCATGAGCTCCATGGCTGCAACTCATGAAAACAGGACAACGTTTGTGGATAAGGTTGTAGGCTGGGTAATTGAATATGGATTAGATGGTAGGCTTCAAGCGATAGAGAAAGGCGTATCATCTTAATGACATTGCGCACCTAGGTTTGGACATTGATTGGGAACATCCTGGAAAGAGTGCACTGGAGTGCAACACGATTGACTATGCCAACGATGCCGACAACTATTTGGCACTGCTGAGACAGCTTCGAGCATCATTAGACAATGCGTTTAGTACGATTCAAATAGCTGCCAACAATCAGAGCAGCACAGCAGCGGCGGATAATGGCCATAAACTACTGACAGCAGCAGTGGGAACAACCCCCTTCTTCAAGAATAACACGCCCATTGTGGATACCAGCCATTATGCTCAAGTATTGGATTGGATATTCATCATGATGTACGACACTTACGTTGGAAAATCAGTGATTGGGCCCAATGCTCCCTTACAAACTTCGATGCAAGCAGGCGCGAGTCCACAAAGCTTTTCTCAGGCATGGAACGCTTGGACTTCAGCACACATGCCAGCAAACAAGATAGTCATGGGATTGCCGTTTTATGGCTATGTGGCAAAACCCAAAGAAGACGTCGTGGCATTGAAGCGATTACTGGTAACAGCACATACGTCCAGGCCACAAGGAGATCCAGACGACGATTTATCTGCAATATCATCATGTCCAGGAGCCAAAAGACGAGGCTACTCGGGACTATGGAAATGGAGGTCATTGTATACGTCAAATGTGTTACTTGATGCAAAGACACCAGGTGGCCAATGGATCAAAAGCTGGGATCAAGAATCGCAAACGCCGTGGCTATACAATCCAGGTACAGTAGTAGCACGTATTACAGCTATATAAGGCCTCATAACACTGTTTATAGTGACCCGCCATCTGATCAGTTACGATGATCCAAACAGCATCTCGATCAAAGTCAACTTTGCACTCTGTATGAATGCAAGAGGCGTTGGAGTTTGGGATCTAGCTTATGATGCGTACGATAGCCAAGGACAGGGAGAGCTGCTTTCCGTGGTGAATCAACATGTATCAGCTGTCAAAAGAGAGTTAGCCTGTCAACAGCTGAGTCCTGTAGCAGCCTATAAATTAGTTGGACCCCATTTCAACGCACTTTATATCGATAGAGTGCTCTCTCAATCAAGCCATGTGGCATTCTACATGTCTTTTCATAGTGCATTGATCCTCTTTATTGCCTTTATGCTGAAATAAAGTAATGGTTTATAGACACACACACACACACACACACACACACACAAGGGACAAAAAGGGGACAAGAGAATTTGACATTCAATCCCTACCAACCCCGGTTCTTTGAATTATATGGGGGGTGGTCCAGTCTATTACCATACTGTCTTTTTTTTTTTTTTTTTCTCTCTCTCTCTCTCCTTGTCGACTTTCTTTTCTCTTTATATACATGCTTAGACGTACTCTTTTCAACACTAAAAGAGGGCTGGCTACTGCCTCTCCCCTTGTCATCAAAAATGCTCGTATTCAAGCATCTGTCATCTTGTCACGCACACCTCAAATCACCCGCGATGCCACTCCATTCGAGCAAGCTTACTTTGACTACCGTGAAAAACTTGAACGTCAAGAATCCACAGCTACACCTACCGAATTCTACTTTAAGAAGGGATCTGTTGCAGAACGCCGTTGGAAACATGAGGAGCAAGCTCGTGCTGAGGCCATGAAGGACAATGTCTCTTCTCTCACTCAAGCCGTTCAGCAATCACAAGCCACTTGGGAAAAGGAGAATGAAGGATTAGCAACCACTACAAAAGCAGATAAAGCAGAACGCACAACAAAGGCAGATGCCGAGAACAACAAGCAGAGCTTAGATCGTTGTCTACAACGCACTTTATATCTTGTTGTAAAGAAATCAGGCAGCGAACCCTGGCAATTCCCTGAGGGTGCTGTGGATGCATCAGAATACTTGCACGAGGTAACAAGAGAATGGCAACAGAGATAGACATTGGACATTAACAATCTGTATCATAGGCAGCAGAACGTACGTTGAAGGAGGAGTGTGGTTCAGATATGGATACCTGGTTTGTTGGACGTCAACCTATTGGCATTTATAAACAAGCTTCAACTAAGGGACAAGAGAATGGCCTCAAGACATTCTTTATGAAGGCCCGTGTATACGCTGGACAAGTGAGACCTAGCAAGCAAGTCAGTGATTTCGCTTGGTTGACAAAGGAAGAGTTATCAGAAACTCTTTCTCCTGAATACTACAAGGCTGTCAAGGATAGTTTAGGTGATCTTTAAAAGGCTGTTTTTTTTTATCTTTATTTTCATATAGAATTTTATTTTGTACATAAATATACTTTCACAACGCTCAAAAAGACTATGCCATCATCATACGGCTGTTTCGTTGTGGCTCAATGAAGGATTCAGATATGGTCGAGTCATTGCTGCTACTTCTGTGCTTCTTCTTGTTGCCTTTCAGCATGTTAAACATCTTTTTGAAACCAGGCTTGTTGCTCTTGGTGCTAGTGTCATCACTTGAGCTGGTGGTGGAATTCAACGTGGACTGGGATGAGAACGAGAGCATGGATCCACCGGGTAAATTGAGTAACTGCTGTGATACACCTGTCATTTTCTTCTCCAAGATCATGGAAGTACGGTATTCTTGATAGCAGGCTGCGCAAAGCAAGTTGTTGGGTCGTACCTTGTCGGGCTTTGGCCATCCCACTTGAGAAATCTGACATTTGGCACAATCAAACTCGACATGAAGACGGCCCCATCTTTGATCTGCATATCTCTCTGCTTCGCCGTACTCATACAGCGCCATCTTAAACAACTTGACAATGTCGTTGTTGGGCTCTACACACTGACGCAACGAGGTGGTGTTTGCGCTGTTTCTTTGCAGAGATTCAATGAAATGAGTTACAGCTTTTTGAGCCGTAATGGACTGATGCTGATCAAAGCCTTGCCAAAACTTGCAGCCCTCTTGCAAGTTGGTCATGAGCTCCTGTGTTTCTTTGGTCTGGTTTTGCACATCTTGCTGGTTGAGAGCAAGCTGCTCTTTCTTTCGCTGGCAATCCCCTAATGACTTTGAAAGTTCGCCGATGGCTCTTTGACATGAATCCACAACGGCTCGTATTTCTGACACCTTTTCCTCAGCATCCGAGTTTTTGTCACGAGCACGCATGTATTTCTTCTTGTACTGTGTAGCCACCAAAGGCACATGGTAGAGTTGATGGTATTGGCGCTCTCGTTTCGATTTCTTGTTTCTTCGTTGTTCAGCATAGTCTCGTATTTCGGCTAGCTCTTGTTCGTGGGCATCCAGTTCCTCCTTGAGAGAAGTACGCCGGCATGTCAATTGATCCATATCGTGCACAATGTAGGTGATTTCAGAGTGAATGCGTTGTATCAGCTGTTGGTTTGCGTATATTTTGCGTTTGTAACGTTCATCCACCACCCGCACTACCTGACAGAATTGGCTGTTCTGCTTTCTGCGTGCCTCTATTTGAGACTCTATCTGTCTCAGAAGATGCATCATAGATTTAAAGGCACCACTCTTCTTGTTGGCTAATGATAGGATGAATTCGGCCTGCTCCAAATTGACTGGACCGTTCATGGCTGGCGGTTGTGCATAAGATTCTTGCATTGTGTAAGTTGTATGGGAAATTGTATGGAAGAAAGAGAGAGAGAGAGAGAGAGAGAGAAAGGGAAAGGGAAAAGGGGCAATGTTGTTGCTGATGAAATTTATTCTTTGCCAAGAAGAGACCAAATAGAAAACAATACCTTTTATGGGGTGGTACACCAATGATTGACTTGGTTGTAGGAGCAGCGACGGCCTTCTGAGAGTTTATGCTAAGTAGGAAAGCAAGTTAAATTGATCGTCAAACGCACAGTTGGACAGCAATTACACTCTAGACACTTACTCAATCCATCTTATGGCTTTTTAAGGGATTAAGAATAACAACAACAACAACAACAACCTCTTTTTGACTATAAATAGATGCCCAAAAGAAGATTGCGTTTGTACAACAAGAAAGCATTTGATATGACAGGATGCTGCACAGAAGTACATACGTATGATTGCCCTGGTTCTATCGTTACAAGCAAACCTTACTCGCACGGTATCAATTTGACGTATATAGGGAGCATCTTATGCCTTGGCAGTCGGTACATCCTATAAAAAAAGCCATATTATCCCACAAGTATCTACATCGATCTTGTTGTGTTGATCTGATTTGTAAAGTTCAAGCGATGGAATAGCTGAACAAGCTTATATCCAATAAATGCGCGGAAAAATCGCTCTTGAGTTTTGCATAAATCACCAGAGATACCTGTACAACCGACCTAACACTGTGGATCTGACTCCTCTACCATGCTTTACGTCTGTATCATTAGAAACGAGTCGTATATGGGCATATAGTATACTTGCATTACTTTCATTTACTAAAAAAACACACGAAAGGCACTGTAATTCGGATGTATTTGAGTCGTGATTTCTCGCGTTAGAAGTCGTTTTGGACCGTCAGAATAGCACCAAACAATTGCTTTTGACTAGCACTTACTGTCATCTTTGCTCAGTTTTTTTTTTAGAAATCTCAAAAATATCGCCAAAAACCATGAGGTACCCCTCATGGTTTTCATCGAAAATCATGGCTTTCTCCGCTAAAGATCACAATCTAGTAGATAAAGGCAGAGTCTCCACTTATGGTGGCTCTACGCTGGATTCTAGCCATAATCCAGGCAACAATATGTTCACATATGCTTCCTTCTTCAAAGATATTCACAACCAAAAGCGCACTCCATTTGAAGTTGCTCCCTCCATTGTTGATAATGGATCATCCCCAGGCAAGGCCCTCGACTTCACTTCCACCTTTGTTGAAGCGACCGACGACTTCTCGTTCATCATCGACTGCTCACAATTTATTGGCATGGTGTTCAAGGAGAAGACGCTACCCAGCTGTCTTCGTGCACAATATCCCAAAGGTCTTGGTATTAGACATCGTATGGTCGGCAAGAATCATAAGGTTATTGAAATGAACTTCCCCACTGAACAGGACTGTATGGAGGCCTTGGGGAAGGAGTTCGTCCTCCAGGGTAAAACTATTCAGGTCAGCAAGGCTTTGGACAAGAATGCCAACGTTGTTAGAGTTACTGTCTCGGCTATCCCTTACAAGCCTGTAGAGTTTCTTAAACCTTTGTTAATCCAGACATTTGAACAATATGGTGATATTCTCAATGTCGGTCTCTGTCACTCCAAGGATGGTAATTGGTTCACTGGTAGAGGTTTTGTTACACTTAATATGGATAAATCCAAGCAATATGAAGCTGAGTTGGCACCTCAGATCCCATTTGGAGATTTTCCGGAGAAAATCCGTTTGGTTTGGACCAATATGCAGCCCATCTGTAAGGATTGTCATACTGATGAACATGTCAAGGCCGACTGTCCTCGAGCAAAGAAGAAGGCCTGTCATAAATGCGGTAGTCTCGAGCATCTTATTGCCCAGTGTCCCCGCGCTCATTGGAATCGAAAGAAGGACCAAACTACTCAGGAACGTCGTCGCAATTCCGTTACTAAGGAGAGTAACCCTTCATCAAAGCCTACAGGAAGAGAGGTCAATCTCTTAGAACTGATGAATGTCAAGCAACCCAAATACCTTGCCAAGAAGAAGGATGTGGATGTTGCCGAAGACGCTATGGAAACCGACGATGAATCCACCACTCCTGAACAAGAGGCTCAGGAACCAGCCGACTCAATCCATCAGGAGGAAGTAGCACCAGTTGATTCAGTTGAATCTGTCGAGCCACAGACTGCAGCATTACCTTCAGTTGCACCAACCACTGTCTTTGATCCACCCTCAACGGTGGAACCTTACCAAGATGACAGCCTTGATGACAAGGAACCAGCCTCTAAAGATGAACAGGAGACCGTTCATCTCACCAGTGAGGAATCTGAATATGAAGGCGGTGATACATCCGAAAGCTCTGTAGAATATACTAACTACCGGGACAAATACAATCTTAGTAAGGGCAAAAAGAAGACTTCTACTGCTGAAGGTGATACAGCACAGGAGGCTTCCCAGAAGCGTTCTATCAGGGAACTGGCTTCTACTCCACCGGGATCTGACCAAGAGGGATCTGCCAAAAAGGTTTCCAAGCAACAAGAGGACAGCCATATGGATGAGGCCGAGCAAGGCAACTCCACCACAACAAAATCATTATAATCTTAATGAGTGAATCAAACCAAACTAAGAATATCAAAATTAAGATAGGTTCAATCAACTGTAGGAACCTTAACAAACAATACAATCAAAACACAACAACACAATTCATAAGATATCTCAAAGGAGAACTATGCAACATATTACTATGCCAGGAAACCAACACTCCATCACACTCGTTTGACACTGTTACAACTTCCTTCAAATACCAGTTCCAATACCACCAAGCCATCTGGACCGGACAGTGTGGAATTATCAACTTCAATCAAGCCTTACACCTGCAACAACTAAAGACCTTTGACGATGGAAGAGCTATATTGGCTAAGCTCTCTCTTGTCGACAATAATATGCCACCTATGTATATACTCAATATTTATGCACATGCTGATGACTATAGGGCCAGGAATCAGCTTTTTGGTCAAATTATCACTCACCTCAACACTATGCCTAACATTCTGCCATCATTACTGATCGCAGGGGATATGAACTACTGTTTTGACAATGCTAGTTATCACCACTCTCACCGAGCAGGTAAACCGAAACAGTTTATGGAATTCTTGAACACCCATTTCTCTGATTGCCTCAACCCGAGAAATGAACCTCATGCATACACCTTCAAGCGCGGATCAACCATGTCTACCTTGGATTACATGTTTGCTGGACAGGGTATAGCTTCAAAGATGAGCGATGCCACCAACTCGTTCCTCCGTCCTGAATGGACTGATCATGCTCTTGTGACCAAAACATACACAACCGGATTGACAAACTGTGGTAAAGGCATTTGGCGTGCAAACCCTCACCTTGCCAAAAATCCTAGGTACAGACAGAAGTTGGCTGATGAAATCGAGAGATTCGTGGCGACCAAATTGGACTACAATCTTTCAGCTCAAGACAAATGGGATTTGATCAAGCGGAAGACCAAGCAGGTTACTATCAACTTTGCTAGACATCATGATACTTGGAGAAAGGCCAGAATCAAGGCGCTGCAAAGCGAGAGGAATAACTTGCTGCGATGCTACCGGAATGACATTGAGTGCTTGAAACTGCTGCTGCCGGATGTGGAGGGAGAGCTATCCAAGCTACAGCAGGAAATTGTGGAGATTCAGATGTTGAAAGCAGGCCGCCGATGGTTGGAGCAGAGTGAGAAGTCCCCAGGATATATCAAACACACCATTGACCAGCGTGTTGACCAACGGACAATTGCAATGTTGAAACATCCTAGCACTGGAGAAGCTTGCCTAGACACGGAAACCAAACTCAATGCTGCTGAATCCTTCTACCAGGATCTGTACACGGAGGAGCCAATTGACATGGATTGCTTGAATACCATGCTCGGTCATATTGACCGTACGGTATCACCGGAGGATGCTACAATGATTATGGAGCCAATAGACTATGATGATATCTTGGACGGTGCCCGTCGAACCCCCAAACAGAGTAGCCCAGGACTGGACGGCATTGGCTATGAGATACTTTACCTCCTTGTCTCTCACCCAAGCTGTCGTGATATTATCCATCAGGTATTTAATGACGCTGTTCGCTCGGCAAAGTTCCCCAAATCTTGGCAGGCCTCATGTATCATTATCTTACACAAGAAAGGTGACAAGAGTGATCTAGCTAACTACCGTCCCATCACATTGATTGCAGCGGATTGCAAGGTCTTTACTCGCATCATGAACTCTAGAGTTGTCCAAGTGGCTAACAGGATTATCACCCCTTATCAATGCGGTTTCTTGCCCGGCCGTTATATTGGGGATCATGGAATGTCTCTCCAGGTGATTATGGATAATGCTCAGTCTGCTAGCTGGCGGAACCCCTCCAATTTTACTGCTTATGCTGGCATCATGCTTGATAATGCCAAGGCCTATGACCGGGTCCACCCAAAGTATCTCTCCCAAGTACTGCTAAAGTTTGGCTTCCCTGAAGCGTTTGTCACATGCATTACCAACCTGTTCTTCGATAACTCCATCTATGTCAATGTAAATGGCTTCTTAACCGGGGCAATCTCTCAGCGACGAGGGATTCGTCAAGGTGATAGTATCTCGCCAGTCTTGTTCAACCTGGCCATTGAGCCGTTCCTACTCTCCATAGTCAACAATGTGAACCTCACAGGATACAGCCTGCAACACGTCAAGCTCCCACACCAAATACAGAACCCATGGATATCTCCTGCTCCCATCAAGGTCCTCGCGTACGCCGATGATGTCCTGTCCTTTGTGAAGTCGCAAGATGAATTAGTTGAGCTCCAGGATCGTCTCAGAGTGTACAATCAAGCCTCCAATGCCAAGATCAATTACAGTAAATCCGTCGCCTTCCCGCTGCACGGCGGTAAGATGAAAGATACTGATGGCCAACAGGTCAAACGTTATGTCACTACTCAACTGCGTATGAAATGGTACGACAGCCACTCCACGGGTTATATCAAGTATCTTGGACACCCACTCTGGTTTGCTAATCACCAACGCGATGTCTTCGTCTCAGAGCTACTGGGCAATATCAGGGTCATGACTGACATCTACGGGTCTAGAAAGGTCTCACTCTACGGCAAGGCCAACATCGCCAACACGCTCATCCTCTCCAAGCTGTGGCATGTTATCCGAGTTGTGTCGCTCCCTCAAGAGGTTTTGAAAAAGATCAAGTCCACCATTTACCAATTTGTGATGTCCGGTTTGTTCCCACCGCTCAAGGCAAACTCATTCTTTCTACCTCGTGATCAAGGCGGGCTAGGCCTGATCGACATTGGAGCACAACAAAAGTCGTTACAGTTTCGATACCTACGAGTCTTACTACTCGGTAACCATGGTCGCCTACCTGGCTTCACATATCAACTGCTTACTCACGCACTTCGTCTCACAAACGACGTCGCTCATCATGCCCTGCCTCTCTTGTTTCCATCTGCTCGCTACAAGAATACGCTGAATGGTCTCCATCCATTCCTATCGATGTTCAATGCCATGGACATCTGCAGCCTTCACAGAGACTGGGATAGACGCCCAACAATCACTACCATCATGAGTCTCCCCCTCCTTGCTGCCTTCAACCCCTTTGCTGTTACAACAGACCTGGAATTCATGACCAAAGATTCGGTTAGGAGAAGTTGTATCCGCGACTTCTTTGCATATGACCTTGCTCAGCATAGCCTCCAGTTTCGACCTCGGTCAGAATGCCCCACACCAACCACCTTGAACAAAGTTCGTCGTGCCCTAGCCAACCATCAGATCTCCTTCCAACGCTTTGTCAACCACAACAATGCCGGTGAGATGGATTTCCTGCCTTTCGTTGAATCCATGATCTACCAACAGCACCCAATCTTCAAACTGCCGAATAGAGAGCTCCGTTTCGTCATGCTAGACATGGCTAACCTCGATGTCGGTAGACATTACAGTAACCAACTCAGCAAACAGCAATGGAAGGCATTCTACAAGAACACGATGCACTACTCAGCTCGCAACCTTTGGTACAGAATGATCCACAAACAAAGCTCAAATCAACTGGCAATGGCCCAACGCAATCTTAAACATGCCGCATCAGACCGCTGTACCCTTTGCAATGAAGTGGAAGACGCTCAACACCTGCTCATCAGTTGCGTCCATAAACTTGATGTCTGGGACTCCTCCTTCAACGAGTTCCTTAGCTACCCCAAAACCGCCGATCCACAACTTATCTACAACTCAATTATGCACTTCAAACTGAAGCATTATTATATCTACAATTATGACTTACACATTACCATATATGACCTCTTTGCCACCATTATGCGTACTATCTGGAGACACCATTATCAACAGTTTTACAACCTCATCCCCTTTAATGCCATCCAAGTCTGTCGCCACATCCGCACAGAACTGTTAAGATTGTCAAATCTTAGGCAACTCTCCCATTAGTCTATTATTCAAGATTTATATATGGCAAGTCACTTTGTCTCCATACACTTGTCCATCTCTTTGATGCATTTGTTTTATTTCTAATTACTATCCTAATAAAATAATATCATCCAAAAAAAAAAAAAAAAAAAAAAAAGTTTTCATCGAAAATCAAACGATCGCGATTTTCACCTCAAAAACAAACACTTGTACTATGGCATATATCAGAGCAAAATGATCCTATCGACCCAAGGCAACCCCTAAAGCTACCATTGTAAAACCTTTATATGCAAAATCTCAACATTTTGGCCAAAACACTTAATTCATTTTTACAGAATTTGTTCAATAAGTTTGTTCTAAACATATATTATAGTTGGCATCATCGGATGCGTCTCAAAGAGTACTCTATAAATGCTTACAGGGGTATGGGGCTATCACTACGACTTATATGATCCAATTTCGCAAAATAGGTAAATCAAGTCGGTTTTGGATCACTTTTTTGCCATTTCGAGCAAGAAATGACCAACTGAGTTTAAACAAAATTTGGCTGGCAAATTCAATGGATATCATTCTCACCATGATGAACAAACACTTTGCTGTTATTTCTGGAGCTGCTACCACTTCCTGCTTTTGTATCAATGCTCTCCCAAGTATCTTCGTCTTCATTACGGCACGTACGCTTATTAAACTCTAGTAATATTCTCTAAAAAAGGTTCTTTTATTCTATTTACAAGTTCTGCAAAGCTATGGCAACGATGCACAATAATTCTGATCTGATCTGACAAGTCGATTAATCCTCCATATCCATATTCTCGTTTTTTGCCTTCTCGGCCTTGATAGCTTGAACTCTCTTTTTCGATTCGAGAGGGGCCAATTCGATGTTTTGGTTAACAACACGGATATCATCTTCCTTCTCCTTCTCCTTGTTACCGGCCATACGATTCTTGTAGAATGCACGCTCACGCTTGGCTCTGATTTCTTGTACACGCTTCATGGCCTTGATGGTAGTGGCCATCATGTTACGATCGTAACGGACAGGAACGTTGCGACGCTTCTCAAACTCAAAGGTGGAGTCCTGTATTGCAAAGCACAATCAATATCCACTCCCTTGCCACAGCACATACATAATATACTTACAATGACCATTTCCTTTCCACTGGCCTTTCTGAAAGCCTTGGTCCAGCGAACCTTACGAGGATTACGCTTCATTTTGAAGTTCTTGTGACATTTGGATCTACAGAAACGGAAGGTCTACGATTACAATGTGAATACTAGGCAAAAAAAAAAAAAAAAATAGCTGGATGAAAAAGCGACTTTACCTTGCTGTCGTTACGGACAAACATAGTGCCATGACCAGGATAACAGGGTCCTGAACAGAAATAACAGCGAGTGATATGCATCTTTGATTAGTCAAATAACACAATATTATTAATCAGAAGAGAACAGAAACCAAACAGAAAAAAAAAAAGCTTTTCTTCTTGACAAATGCGTCCCTTTTTCAAAAAAAAAGGTGGCTTAGGGAGACACCTTTTCATGGTAAATTTTTAATAAATAGGTAATAAAAAAAACTCTTTCTTTGAATCAATATCTTTACTCGACTGCCTCTCTCAAAATCAAAGCATCATCATGGATTACCACCCTGAAATTGTCGAACAATTAATGTATGTATTGCTCTATGAGGCTCATTGATACGCTGTATTAACTCCTCTTTCTGTCATGTAGTTTGGTAATTGCAATGCATCAGAAATGTCAGATTGCACCGCAGTAATACTAACCCTCTGTTTAAATGCAGTGTCCTGGCTGTGGTGCACCTACGCCTCCCAATGCTGCCAACATGTGTGTCAACTGTATCCGTAACGAAGTCGACATCACTGAAGGCATTCCCAAGCAAGCAACTCTTCATTTCTGTCGTAATTGCGAACGTTATTTACAACCTCCCGGCTTGTGGGTCAATGCTCAACTCGAATCCAGAGAATTATTGACGCTTTGTCTCAAGAAACTCAAGGGCCTCAACAAAGTGCGTTTGATCGACGCTGGTTTCATTTGGACAGAACCTCACAGTAAACGTATCAAGGTCAAGTTGACCATCCAGAAAGAAGTTTTTGTCAACACCATTTTACAACAAATTTTCGAGGTCGAATACGTAGTGTCTGGTCAGCAATGTGATGAATGTACTCGTTTAGCTGCTCAGAACACCTGGAAGGCTGTTGTGCAACTCCGTCAAAAGGTTGAACACAAACGTACCTTTTTGTATTTGGAACAGTTGATTTTGAAGCACAATGCACACAAGGACACAACCAACATTAAGGAGACAAAGGATGGTATTGATTTCTACTACGGTGCTCGTGGCCATGCTATCAAGATGGTTGAATTTTTGCAAGCTGTTGTGCCCATGAAGTAAGATCCGCCGCAGCAACATGTACAATGGAAGGAATTGCTTACTAATGATGTGTAATAGATACAAAACCTCTGAACAGCTTATTTCAAAAGATATTCATACAAGTGTCAGCAATTACAAATTCACATACTCTGCTGAAATCGTGCCTGTTTGTAAAGATGATCTTGTCTGCATACCCAAGAAATTAGCCAACAACTTTGGCAACATCAACCAATTGCTGATCTGTACACGTATCAGTAACTCGATTCACTTGATGGATGTCAACACACTAGCCATGGCTGATGTTTCTACCACACAATACTATCGTTATCCCTTCAATCCTTTGGGCAGTGCTAAATCGATGATTGAATACTATGTGCTGGATGTCGAGCCTCTTGGTCCCATCAACGGTAAGAAGGTGCTTTGCGATGTACATGTCGCTCGTATGTCGGATTTTGGCCGCAATGATGAACAATTCATTGCTCGTTCTCATTTGGGTGCCATTTTGAGTCCTGGTGACACTGTGATGGGTTATGATCTCGCCCGTGCTAACTTTAACAACGACGATTTTGATCACTTGAATGCTGCTAATTTACCTGACGTCGTGTTGGTTCGTAAAGCATATCCTGCTCGCAGAAAGAAGACTAGACAAAGAAACTGGAAGCTGCAACAATTGGGCAAAGAGGTGGATGAGATGCTGCCCCGTAAACAAGAACAAGCCAAGATTGAAAACGATATGGAACTCTTTATGCGCGATATCGAAGAAGATCCTGAATTCAGATCTACCATCAACATTTTCAAGAATCAGAATAACCCTGCCGCTGCTGCACCAGCTGCGCCAGCTGATAACGATGAAATGACTGACGACGATGGTTCAGAAGAAGAGTTCCCAGAAATCTCTTTGGAAGAAATGATGGACGAAATGGCTATCAATATGGATGATCCCGATCATCAAGGTGATGAAGATGAGGATATGATGCAAGAATAAACTCTTTCTTTTTTACGATCAATATATTTAATAAAGCGCCCCCCCCCTAGACAATGTATCATACAGTAATGATAACATCAGCAGCAAATGAGTCCCTTATAGTTTGTTAGAGTGTGTTTGCGAGAAGAAAATCTCGGGCTTCCGCTACTTCAAACGCTTTAAAACTAGCTGGGATTGTATGTTGTACCTGATTCAAGTCAACACACGGTAGTTTTTGTTCCTATTGAGTATGATGCTCAAATCCCTGTGAATATCTGTAAGTTTCTACTGACAACGTTGGCTTCTTCAATTTTCATAGCAGAAATGAAGCAGCTTCAGGCATGCTTCGAGTGCTATTGTTACCAAGCACCGAAATATATGTAAATGCATGCATTCATTTGGCAACAGTTCTCAATACATGCTTCATGTCTATAGTCAAATAATTGTCCAATCCTAAGCTGACCTTCATATTTGACCTTGCCGATTTCGAGTAACAATATGAACATACGTCAGTCTATGGTTATGAGCCTTCCAAAGAAAGAATCTTCACTATCAAATACCCACAGAATCAACGCATAGATTACTAGCTGAGGTTTATTATGGAATTGTGTATTCATACATATGTACATGAGTTACTCTTTTGTTGTTGGAGTTGCAGTAGGTGTAGGTTCTTCGTTGTCTGCTGCTCTTGTCACCTTACGAGAGACTTGATCTATCAAACCACCAACAGCAGCAAATGGAGCTGCCACGATGCCGAACAAGGTCTTGCTACCACCAGTCTTTGATTCGCCTGCAGATGTGAAGGGTTCTTTTGTTGGATGGTTGGGGTCGGCTGGCGTATTGGGCATTTTTATTGGAATAATGGGAAGGAAAAGGAAGAGAAGCGTAATTTATGGAATGAAAAGAATTCTCGGGACATATAAATGATGTTCGTCCGTACGTCATTGGATCATCAGCATGTGTTTTGATGTTATTGAGCTTCCTGATGTCTTTTGAGTAGATCATCTACAGACCAATCATGTTGGCATGTTGAAAGCCCTTCTTATCATGCCAAGGTTCACAGATAGCGCAGCAAGATTTTTCCATTTGCCATTGCAAGTAAGGCTATACGGAGGAATACAAGGCTTTTCACAGGTAGCTACACATATCAATACAAACCAATGTACCTGATATGTTAAACAGGACCCTTCAATAGTGTCATGTCATTCGAGTGATTAGGAGAGCCCCTTGATTTCCATTAATTACAACTTGTAATGAGAGCCCACTCTTTTGGCCCGTGATCTGTATCACAAGTTGCAATGTCTGTGTGTTCCCCAAATCTCCCTCCTTTTGCTACCAAGAATACGTCATTTTATAATCAAAACAATAAGATATTGGAGTTTCTCACACACTTTGATTATTTATATATACTTTACGCTTCGAAACTAGCCTTTTTTTTTTCCTTTTCATACTACTTTCTCATTTGTCTTCAGATGTATAATATGCAATTTCAACATTCTGCTTATCTAGATCAGTCTCAATATGAAATGAACAGTAACGGCAACAACAAACCTGCTATGCCCTCGCCAATGACCACCGCATCATTAGACTCCCCACCAAACAACAAGATGAATCACCAATATAACACTATGCCTTTGCCTAGCTCGCCAAAGCCGTCGTCATACACAAACAGAATACAGCAGCAACAACAGCAGTATGATATGTACATGAACTCAAATTCAAACAACTTTCCTCAGCCCATCTCTATACCTACTGCTACATCAAACACAAATGCTCACACAAAATCACCTACTTCGGCAACAAGTCCTCACCAAAATTACTATAGCTCATCTATTCCTGATAACAAAATATCGGATGCACTTGTTTCTCCTACAAGCCCAGGTAGCCTAGAAGATGAGATTTTTCAAAGAAAGTGAATGATGATATACTTGTGTAGAAGCTACGATGCTAACAACGCTCTTGTAGCATGCAACACATTTTCGAGAAGAAAAGACGCAGAAGAGAGTCTCATAATGCGGTGGAGCGTAGAAGAAGAGATAACATCAATGATCGCATCACTGAACTAGCAACACTCTTACCAGACAGAGATGCAGTGAAATCAAACAAGGGGACCATTCTTAGAAAATCAGTAGATCACATTCGTCTACTACATGATAAGTTAAGACAGCATCAGCAGCGCATTCAGGAACTAGAAAATATACTGGAAGTCTATCGTGTCAGGATGGGTCATCAGCAGACCTCTACAATGATCCCACCTGGCCATCCTTTGGATTTATCTGGAATACAACCACATCTGAGCCATGCAAACTTTGGCAGAGATAGCTAAATCTCTCTCTTGTTTTAATTTATCACTGTATGGTACTATATTCATCTTTCTAACACTTATACATATGCTCCATTGTATCATTCTCCTGGATTTTAGCTCTATTTTCTTGCTGTAACCCATTATAACTTTTACTCATATCCTATACTATGCTACCGCTTACATATACTTTTGTTATACATATATATTTTATTCCCTTTTTCAACAAACGAAACAGTGTCTATATCTTATCATGATTGGTGTCTTGGGAAGTTTTGGTATTTGTCACACGCATCCTTGCTTTTGCTGGTGGATGTTCATCTTTGCATCGTATGAATATCGGTAAGTTAGCCGTTAATGTGTGCTCTGTTTAAAGTTGTTTTACATGCGATCTATACACTTGTTATCATGTGCATGAGCTTCATTTATCTAATCATCTCTTCCAAGAGTTCTTATAAGTCTGTTTGTCTATAATCGTGCAAGAGATCTATTCTTAGGAACTACATAAAATACAAATACTAAAATATTTATCATTATAAATCCAGGCTGTGTTATGCTATTTAGCGTCTATACCACAACTGGTAAGCTTACTGTATATTGAGGTTTATGCACTTGCCTTTAGCAACTTGTATATGCTTCAATAACAATAGGCTGATTCAAGGGAATTTTCAACTACTATTATCCATTATTGGATAAACAATCTGATAGCGTAATTGGTACAACGTCGTACCTGAGCAAATTTGCATGATACTCACTTTTCCCTTGGTTGAAAGTGCACATCCGCTTCGAAATTGCATAAGATGGGCAATTTACCAAGTAGCACACCATAACACAATTTCATTCGCATATATTTATGCATTATACATAAACGCAGATACTAGTCAAACTTTCCCTCGCAAAGTAACAAAGCCCCCCCCCCCCCTCTTTTTCATGTTTTGAATTGATCGTTGTCTCATCCAAGTGCATTAATCCGCGCCATAAATTCATGCAGTCAAACACAATATGTCGTTATTCTTTCAATGTTTGCATATTCATTAAACCAAACATGTCATAGATCCGCCAATGCCAGTAATAGCTCTATTTTGAAGACTGTGTACGCTCTCCATAATGCATTGATTAGAATCTGAAGGGTCTTCAAAACTCAACTGGAATCTTTTTAATATTGAAATGGCATAAATTATACAGCATGCATTACTAGTTTTGATGATTTTTATATGGCTGTGTCACAGCAATATCGATTGAAACAACAAGGCTTATTATGGTACTGAACATTCAAATTCGATTTACCGAACAGCTATTCTTCCCCACAATGGAAATGGTCAATGCTTACAAACGCAAGATCAATGAGTCATGGCTGCAGTGAAAAAATAGCGCTGCATGCCTTTCAATTGCGATATATTTGTCGCATATATATTCAGGCATGATTAGCTCTATGTAGATTAATAAGCATAGGCTCACACCTGAGTTGAGATCTGCTGCAAAGCTCGCTATTGTAGGAAGGTGCATTTCGCATTGAAATTCCCCTTTGATGGAGTATTTTTCAATAATTAAATCTATTAGGCAAAAATAGTGGTTAGGATAATCCACAGCACTTTCTAGCTCTCCTACGAGCTTCAGAAACATTGATTGCTTCCCTGAGAAAGGCGTTTTGCCAGCCAAAAATTTTCCATCTCCGCAAACAAAAAACTGCTTTAATCTGATCAAAATCGACTTGGTTTTTTTATTTTATAAGATTCGACTATATAAGTTGTGATGATCATCCAATGCTTCCTAATTTATTCTTGGAGTACTTTTCAAGGCGCTTCCAATGGTGTTACTTGTAATAGGTGTTTTGAATAAACTTATTGATAAATTCCAGAAAATATGAAATAAGGTTTTAGGCCAAAATGTTGAAATTTTGTATACGAAGACCTCATTTCATATTTTCTGGAATTTATCAATAAGTTTATTCAAAACACCTATTACAAGTAACACCACTGGAAGCGCCTTGAAAAGTACTCCAAGAATAAATTAGGAAGCATTGGATGATCATCACAATTTATATAGTCGAATCTTACAAAATATTTTTTTTGTTAAATTTTGTTTATTGATTGAGCCGCGTACACTAGGAGTAATGGGTCGAAGTGAAGAAGCGGGTGCAATTGAAAAGAAAATAATAAAAAGAAGATAAAATATTAACTAAACTAACCTAAACAGAACTATTGAAACTATCTAAACTACAAGACAAAATAAAAAAATCAAGTCGAAAAACCCAAAATCTGCCCAATCTTAAACAGAAAGAAATAACTGAGTTTGAATCAAATTTGGCGGCATTGCTGCTGGCTGACCCAAATGCCTTTCTGATGATGACAATGATGATTGCGATGCTAATTAAATAGGGATATGGAATTAAAAGGACAATTTATTAACCCAAATACTTTGTATTTTTGGTAGTTTTCCCTATACAGATGTCTTTTGCAATGAAAATATCTCAAAAAGTCGTTGTAGATCTTACACAAGTCCTGTATTTACGCATGGTCAGCTTTATGCCGCCATCTGAAGAGCAACATCAGCGAATGCATGCCCCCCCTCCCTGCTGACTCTGATATAGCCTTTTATTTTTTACTATTAATTGATTGTTTAAAATCTACTTGGTATGCCAGATTTTTATTATCTCTGATATGAAATATCTTCGATGAGAGCCCGCAGGGCGACGCCGCCATCGAGCGTAGCGAGATTGATCGGCTAGTACATAGGAAACTACAATCAAACACTCATCTCACTTATAACCGCGGGTCGTTTGGAACGTCTCCAAGCATCTTGTCAACAAGACAGATTCGCCAACATCTGCATTTGTTTATATTGCTGTGGAGGATGGCAGCAAGCGCATCACTTTTATTGCACCAGAGACACGTTTCTGGTTTTTGATGCGGGATCCCGTCTTCTTACATGTAACCACAACTATTTTCACTATGATGCATCTCCCGCTCATCGACACCACACACACAGTACCCGCCTCTCCTAATATTCATTGTTGTTTTCCTTCTGATACAAATCAAGTAGTTTATAGTGACACAAGTCAGTAGCATTTTTAATATTCTCGACCATCCATCGCAATACATGGAAATAAATGCGAAACAACATGCTATTGCTTTCTTGGAAACGGAATAATAGAGTACAAATAGGTTTCATAGAGTGTACGGAAACATATAATGAATATCCCATTTGAAAATATTGTAAATCTTTACAAACCAAACAGGTATACAAACGAATTGGTGTTGATCCGAGAGGGCTGTTGATGTTTCACAAGAAATGCCTGTCATTAGCCGTCCAGGAGGAGATCTTGCACATCCTGACAGAGAATATGGAATCAGTTTTGTGGCACGGCATCTACTTGAACATTGTTTTTTCAGTGAATTAAAGCACATTGTACATCGTGGACTAGAATTATACGAGATGATGTGAAAATGCCATAATTCAACAGTACCCTTTCAAATCATCTCCTGGTTTGTGAGCTTGTGTAGCCATTACTCATTGAAATGGTGCGGTTTGTGGTATGCAACCCAACAAAGAGATGTGATAATGATAATGATTTCGGTGATGACGGAGAGCACCCTTTAAAAACGATAAAATTCGGGTACATGCCTAGATCAGCATTGCCATGGACGTTGTTCCGAATACTCTGAAGAGGTCTCACATACCTTTTCAAGCTCGCAACCAGTGTCAAGTTCCATTCCAGTTTTTGCTGTTGTATATACAATTATTAAATTTATATTGTGAAATCAAAAAGGTCCAGATTGCTTCACTCAAAAGGCACTAAGAATAATGATGCCCCATCTGAGTCTTATTTGGGCATAGTTTTTAAGGAACAACATCTTTACTACACCGCTATATTGTGAAACAGTAAGTTACAAGCCGAGAATTTAATGAATTGCATCCTCTCTTATCCCCTTCTACTTGCGTAATGGGTCTAAAGACATCAAATCAACAATTCCGATCAAATCAAGACAGTAAAAAAGAACAGAAAAATAGGCAACAGGCATGCTCAATGAGTAGGAGATCAAATCGATGTATTACACTGCTAATTAACCTCGAAATAAAATGCGGTCAAGGCGTATGAGGTATCGTATGCTGAGTACATGGAGTAACAAAAGCCCATTTTATGCCATCTCCGCTATTCAAGCGAACAGTAAAGCGTGCTCGCGTGCGTGCATTCGTGCGTTGGGTAATAATACCATCCCCCCAGCCCCCATCAATTAGAAATAGCAAGACAATGAGGTGGCATGTACCCTGCTCATCGTCGTAATACACTCGGCCGGCATTTCCTTTTTTCAAATCTCGATCCTGTTTCATCATCTCTTGTCATTGCATTGAAGATGCCACACACAATTTCAATGATTCTCTTTTAACAATGCAACAAAAGGAGCAATTTATAATTGTACTCTTTGTAACAAGCCAGTAGACCAAGAATTCTCAATGATAATGAGAGATACAGAAAATCACAAGTGATATGTGCTACCAATTACAAATTTTGCTTCAAAGACAAGCTAAACAGTAAGGTGTTTGTCAACTCAGAAATCACTCATGCCTTTTCAGGTACAATAGACATCCTCTCCATTGACTAATTTATACAATTCTTAATTACTTGACCATACCAACCTAGTTTCTTGCAAACTCTATATGCCCAAGTTACAGAAAATGCCATTATACAACAGGTCTACCAGGACCAGAAAGTAGAGATCCCTTGATTTTTTACGCCGTGTAACACCATAATAAATTGCTTTCTCTTTTTTACGATACCTTGTGCTTCGTTTGTCAAGTAACAGCAAGAAAAAAATGCGGGTAACAATACATTTTAGCATACCTTGGTAAAAACGTTATACAGCGGATGCAACAGTCGATTTTTGTATAAATAGCTAGCCACTTTTTCGACTAACCTCGTTTTCATTCCCTACTATATTTTCTGAATTCTACCCTTTTTTTGTCATTAAAAAAAGCCAATTCCATTTCATTTCATATATTAATCACCTTTTAGAAAGAATTTGAAAATGCAAATCCAATCCTGTATCCTCGTTGTCATGTTGGCTGCTATTGGCACTGCTATTGCTGACACTGCTTGTCAACTGTCAATTGAGAAGGCCAAGTTGAGTCCCTCAACTACCCATCTTAGAATTCGTGGCAACATTGATGTCGGCAACAATGATTGCAAGCCTACCAGCAATGATACTGACAATGTTATCACCACTGTCATCTTCAAGTCAAAGAAGAACTTTTCTTTCCAAGATGCCAACCATGTCACTCATTCTGGTAATGAGTGCAATATCACTGCCAAATGGTACAACAAGCCTGATGAATACAATGACAACAAGAAAAAAACCCAAGTCTACGTTCCCCTCAGATTCATTGAAGAGATCAAATGTAACAAGGATGTCTCTACTACTCCCTCTACTTCTACCAAGAAGTCCAAGCACAGCACTAGAAGAAAAAAGACTACTACCAAGAGAAAGACTACCAAGAAGACTACCAAGACTACCAAGAAGACTACCAAGAAGACTACCAAGAAGACTACCAAGAAGACTACAAAGAAGACTACAAAGAAAACATCAGGTGGATCTGCCTCTTCTACCAGCGGTGAACATTACAGTGGCAAGGCTACGTTTTTCACCCCCAACCAAGGTGCTTGTGGCGATTGGAATGATGACCACGATTACATTGCTGCTATTGGTGGTTCTCTCTACGGTAGTTACAGTCATGAAAGCAAGTACTGTAACAAGAAGGTCAAGGTTGTCAACAAGGCTAATGGCAAGAGTGTTACTGTTACTATCAAGGATGCTTGCGAAAGCTGCGACAAGACTCATATTGATCTTTCTCCTGCTGCCTTTGCACAAATTGGCAAATTCGATACCGGCATCCTCAAGGTTGATTGGTATATTCAATAGATTGACCATTGTCAAGACCTGCAACAAGAACATTGTTCATGTTCTCCTTCCCTCTCCTTTGTAAAATTTCTTTTGACCCTCTTGTAAAGTAATATACTATCAGTTGATCTCATAGTTATATTGTACACATGCTATTTCATCGTATCCTCATATCCCTCATAACATTACTTTCCTCCTCCTCTTTCGTTTTGATAATGTAAAATTTTGTGAATATAATAGTACAACACCCAACAAACAAGCATTTTGTCTCCTATTCTTTTAAAGTACAATATATATCAAAGCTTTACAGATGACAGTAAATAAATTCGTATAGAAATTGATAAACCATCAAGTTTTCCAATTGAGCTTTTATCGCTGAGCAAGCATACACAATTGGAGCAAATAATTCATGTATCATGTCAAACTACGAAATATCGTATTCACCATTGTCACTTGATATCGTGTGTCTGAACACACTTCAGTTTTATTGCCTAATTCGTTTGCGACATCACTATAAACAGATGGGGACAGAGGAGTAACCGCAAATGTTGAAAATCTGGAACATTAGGTATCAAGGCGTGACCCTCCCAATAGAGAAATTCAATTTATCTATAGTACACAAGCCGAAATTACAGAAACTTTCTTATGTTTCTTTTTCTTTTTTCAGCACATCAGCTCAAGACAACGCCTGATGCGATTCACTGTCATCCAGAGAAAGCAGATACCAGGGCATGTATGGTACTCGCACTTGTGCAACACAAGTGCTCGTAGTATTTTTTGTGTCTGCATTTGGGTTATAGCCGAGAATTAGAGCAAAAAAAACTTGATAAAAACCATTCGAAGGTCTATATTCGTATCCGCTGGCATCTATTAGTGAATTAGCTCGAGTATCAAGTCATATGAAAGCTTCCTTCATGGTTGCCCTGAAAGATTTTCATGACTCCATCATACCCTTCATTTCAGATAATTGTATTTCCGAATGTCAAAGCAAACATTGATCTTGAGTGGTTGAAGAGACCTCGACACTATCCGAAGTACAGATAAGCAAGGTAAAACGATATGCAGCAGTCCTTTTGCAGCCTTGCTCGCTTTGGTGAAGCCAAAATGAGAGATATACAAGCGAATGCTGAGCCAACATGATACGCTATGTCATTTGAAGAATGTTTTTAAAAGAAGAAAGAACAATGCTTAAAAGAGCTTGCTTAAGAGTTGCCTTAAGGATATGTAAATGTCGTTTCTGAGATACTGAAGCCTATTGTTGCCATGATGTAAGTGGTGGTTTTCAATTTCGTTAGCATTACTTATGACATCCCAAGTTTGGTTATCTTCTGCTCAGGAAAAGATCTATTATAGTACTCTTTCAATGATGCTATGTACATACGACGTATGCTTGTTCTAAAGTAGTGTATTAATTTTCAAAATCTGGGATTTCCATCTTTCTTTTGTTCACTGCAAAAAAAAAATAATGATCCTTTTCTACAATCCAAGTAAGATTTTTCATCATTCGGCCCCAATTATAACCGCTGGATGCTCTAAATCATCCATTTAGGTTATTTAGGCACTTAGCGAAGTCTCATTGATCCACGGCAAGAAGAAGGTAGCACCATGATATTACATTTGGGTACCATGTGAGGTCACAGGCAAAAGAGCTCATCTTAAATAATAATAGGCTTTAGCAACACACTCCAAAAGAACACATAATCGTGAGAAAATCAGTTGATGATTTACATTTTCATTCGTCTGTCAGATTTGTTTAATCAAAACGTGCTTTCTGAGAATAGTAAATCATACAAGGACTGGACGAATCTCATTGTGAAAAAATTTTCATTTCAACTTTTCCTGTGTATCCTCCACGAAATTAGAGATAAGAGAAGCTCAAAACAAAGATTCTGATTACCGTTGATTATACATGTTAACTTGAAAAATGGGGGTACAATTGCTATAGATCGTCATTTTAAAAAAAAGGCATTTGAAAATGATAGGGATCTCACATGTCCTTTCTATTTGATCATTTCATCTGGGTTGTCCTGGTTTTCCGGAAGTAATATATGGAGAATCAGATGTAACATGGAAATATAAAGTTTGGGATATGAATCTAGTTCTTTTCAGCTTCCTTCGCTGTAGCTATTGTCAGGCACAAGCCTCATTTTGTATGCTTCACCACACTACTCGGTATGACATTTGAAGTATCATTTTTTTGAGATCTTACAAGCGAACATCCGTTGTTTTCGTTTAAAACTAGATTTGTTTAAGATTGGCAAGGATACGATCAGTTCCTATCATTTGTAACGAGTCTAGCATTTCAATTTAAGCACGCATATTCGGGTTCATGTAATGAGAGACAGATAGATGTAACCACTGATTTTCCGATGTGCATTCTTCAGCATTTTGACTATCATCAGCTATTATTTCTCTCCTTCGATATAAACTTTTTTCGACGTTTTACTCGTTATGTTAATTTTTCATTAAACCTTGATTGCACGTCCATATGTCAAATATGCGATTTCGTATCGATTGCAATACCAAAGAACAACAACGAGAAGGATTTCGGACCTTGATTCAAACTCTAAAAGCGTACAATGACTCTTTCAATGTCAAGTAATCGACTCAAACTGAAACCAATCAAGGCTGGAGGCATCCAAAATATTCGAAAATGGCAAATGCACGATTCCACCGAGTAAAAAAAAAAGAAAAAAAAAAGCTGTTTGATTGATATCGGTGCTCAAGAAAAAGGCTATCGACTTGAAAAAGGAAGTCGCTATGCTGTATCGAATGTTGCATTCCCTGAAACTTAATGATCGTTGGTATGTGATGATACTCGGCTAATGCTCGTGAGAAGTGTTGGGTCTACTCAATTAAGAAATCGATGGTGATGCTGCTTTGATGGTGCTGGTTCGTTAACGGAGTCGTGGTGGTGGTTAACATGTCAAAGCCTACAATATAGAAGAAAGAGCATCTAGTAACCTGTAATAAATCTACAGAAATGAGATACCTAGTAAAACCAACAATAAAACAGAGGAGCCATCCTTTATGTTTATTTTTTCATTAAAACATGCAGGAAACCAACATCTTTCCGTGTTCATTTTCTCATTAGAACAAGTCAAGACACCCACAGAGGATTTCTTTATCGTTTATTTTCTCATTAAAACAGATAAAGAGCCAGGAAGAGAGAGAGAGAGAGAGTTATCTTCAAGATGCCTATTTTCTCATTAAAGCAATCCCAAAGAACCATACCCACTTTATCCATGTTTATTTTCTCATTAAAACATGTCAAAAGAGAGCCCTACGAGAGATGTATCTTTTAAATGCTTCTTTTCTCATTAAAACATTAAAAGAACCAGAACTACTTTTTTTTCATAATGCTTATTTTCTCATTAAAACATTATTCAAAAAAAGACCAGAAGATGTATCTTTGAATGCTTCTTTTCTCATTAAAACATTAAAAGAACCAGTGAGGAATATCTAAATGTTTCTTTTCTCATTAAAACATAAAGAACCAGAAGAGGAATAGTCTTTAAGTTTCTTTTCTCATTAAAACATAAAGAAGCACCTAATAGATAGAAAAAAAAATCAATCTAGTTAGTAAAACTGTCATAAATAAGAGTGGTATAAAGGGGGGGTTAGCGAGAAGACCAGTCTATCAAAAGAGCCATGAAAAAAGAACATTTTTTCGACACTATCAAGTCATGGGGTACACGCTTTGTGTGAATGGTTAAGAAGGTGCGATAGATCACAACCTCCTTGAGTTTGTATAATAGTTTATCGCATTAAAGTATTGTTATTGTTTCAAATATCAACACAAGAAAATTGATATAGCAAACAAAAAAATCAAAAAATGGATGGTGTGTGATGTGATGACTATATAGATGAGGGTGCTGATGAATCCAATTGTTAAACCTTTACTGTCATTGCTGTCGTTGAGTCCTTATTGTTGTGTCGTAATAATGATCTGTGGGTGTCGGCAAGCTGTCTCTCCAATTCCAAAATTCGAACTCGACTTCTCTTCTCCTTGGCTTCAATGTTGGCGCGCTCACTCTCGGCCACTGCAGCACGCAACCTTAAACGTTCGTTCTCGGCTTCCAAATCCATCACGCGCTTCTCCAAAGAGTCCATCTTCATAGCCTTGCGTTGGCGAGATCTTCTTGCTGCATCGGTATTTCTTTGTCGTTTTAAAGCTACCAAATCTTGAGGCTGGTCTTCATCTATCGACTCGCTTCTTTGACGCTTGTGTTGTTGTGTATGTTGTTGTGCTTGGTGTTGTTGTTGTTGTTGTTGTTGTTGTTTGTCTTGATGTTGAATTGAACTTAATAGTGAAAGTGCCTTAATAAATGGTTGAATGTCAATTGAAGTTGTTGTGTTATTGCAAAGGTCTTGAGGTTCAATCTTGGGAGTTTCCATGGGAGAGAGAGGCTCATACTTGATCTTGGGAGTAGATAGTTCCAGCAGAGGGTCCATACGGGGTGTGCATTCAGAAATTGGAGGAGAGGCCATGAGGATTTGAGCAGGAGTAACAGGCGTGGCAGGAGTCATGATGGACTTGTCATTAGGCTTGGCAGGCAAGATGATACCAGATTGACGAAGGTCGCTTTCTAACCAATCGTCCAAGGAATCAAGGTTAATCAGGTCCAAGTTGTTATTTGATGTAGTATGTAAAGAGTTCATTTTGTATTGGTTGTATGGATATAATGTATTTAAGAAGAGTAAAAGCATACTTTTCGATTTGACGTGTATTTATACTGTTTTCTCTTGAAGAGGAGCCATAACTCTATTTGAGACTGTGGTGGTCCCTTGTCAAAAGATGCACCGAAAGAGATTATCGTTTTGTAAAACTCCAATTGGCTCGATAAGCTACAAATAGCGCTTCCGAGTTATCCGCTATTCTTTTTTTATATGGTGTTGGGTGTGTGGTAGACATGGTCTAAATAATAGTGCAGTATTTGGTATAGTTTGGCAGTGTAGGATCGCTGAAATTCGTTCATCACATCATTGACATTGGAGGGCAGAGAGTCAGTCAAGAGCAATTCGACAAAATGATTCATATTGACTCCAACATTCCTTGTACTCAGGTAGATGCTAGATTCCAAGAGACAAGCCAGCAGATTGCTTAATTCATTGAAACTGCCATTGGTTCCACAACAGAGCTCGTTAGTCATTTGTGTCATACCTTTCCTATTGAGAAGTGAAAATTTTTTCTTGTCTTTACCTAATGGTCAAGTACTGCATTTCATTCAGTGATGGATCATGAGCCAGATACTCAATCACATCGATAACTACAACCATGCTTGGGGATTGGCCTTGTTTCTCGTATTCAATGATGTCTAAAATGTCGTTTTTTTGTTCTTGTACAGACACATGTAGCGAACATAGTTTGGTCTTTAATTGATTCGCAGCATCGATACGGCTAAAGGAAATTTTTTTCAGTATGCAAGCAATGTATAAATGAGTCTTTTTTTACCATATTTGAATCGAATCAAACCACATCCGGTCATCCGGCTTTTGGTAAAATCGCTTGGCTAATGCGCTATTGATAGACTCGACATCCTTTGTAATGACAAGAGCCCAGGGCTTCGTGGATTCTGACATGCTTGCTTCTGATGACTCTGTTGAGCGTTTTTTCAGCGTATCCAGTATCACTGCGATGATTGATCTGCACTGGATGAGTAATCTATGCTCTCATGAACTCGACATGTACTCACTGTAAGCTGTCCTCTTCGTTATCATGTCGGAAAAAGGTGCTGTATACAGACATGTTTGATGAAATTTTCTTGAGAGATAGCTGTGAATAGATCCAATGCCAATTAAATTATCCACAGTTCTAAAGAAGCCAATTGACATTGTTTGTCCTGCGTTTGCATCCTCACAAAGCGAATGTGACGACAACATTTAGTACTCAGTTGATCTTTGGAGAAGCCAACACGTATCAATGTTGCAGTATATCTGCAATCTCTCTCTTTCTCTTTAACTTTTTACTCTATACATTACATTGGTTACTAGGTAGCAACAGTAATTCTCTAGCAACTTACCTATCTTCTGACTAAATCCATAGAATAAAATCATAGCATGGTAAAGAGACTTGATGAGATTAATAGAACAGCCGTCTTTGCTTGGAGTCCAGGACAGCAAACCCCCATCATTGCCGCTGGTACTGCTGCTGGTGCTCTCGATGATTCCTTTTCCAACGCGTCAGAGCTTGAGCTGTTCAAACTCGATCTTTCATCGTCATCTAATTGTATTGAATCCGCTGGCAAAATTGCAAGCCCCTCAAGGTATTATGAATTGCAATGTTTGATCCTGCCTACCATATCTCATCCTCTATATGAACTGTAGATTCAACAAGCTGGTGTGGGGAAATGTATCGCCCTCCAGTCCCTATGGCATCATTGCTGGTGGTTTAGAAAATGGTGAATTATCGCTTTGGGATCCTAGCAAGATCATCGACGGGAAGAGGTATAGTAGTACTACAGAGGCATAGATGGGCCACAGATCGAACTGACACCTATATTAGTGATGAAGAAGCTAAGATTTTGTCCAATCCTACTCACACAGGTCAGATTCGTGGTCTCGATTTCAATAAGTTTCAGCATAATCTATTGGCTTCAGCTGGCAGTAACAATGAAGTCTACATTTGGGATCTCACCAAGCCTGATACACCTTATACACCTGGTCAGAAATCTCAAAAATTAGACGATATCACCAGCGTAGGATGGAACGGTCAAGTGCAACACATTTTAGCTACTTCATCTTCAACTGGCCACACTGTTGTTTGGGATCTGCGTAATCGCAAGGAAGTCATGACGCTTTCTGCTCCCAATACGGGCGGTATCAATACTGGTCGCAGAAGCATTTCCTCTGTTGTTTGGCATCCTGATGTGGTACGTTGATTACATTGTATTTTCAAGGAAACCGATTAACATGGATTTATGTTAGGCTACACAATTAGTAACTGCGTCTGAAGATGATTCGAATCCAGTGGTTACACTATGGGATCTTCGTCATGCTCATTCTCCTGAAAAGACCTTGGCTGGTCATTCAAAGGGCGTCTTGGATGTCTCCTGGTGTCGTCAAGACTCTGATTTGCTCATGTCCTGTGGTAAGGATTGTAAGACGTTGATTTGGAATCCTAATTCTGGCGAGTTGCTGGGCGAATTGGCTCAAGATACTAACTGGACGTTCCAAACTGAGTGGTGTCCTCGCAATCCCGATCTTTTGGCCTCTGCTTCCTTTGATGGAAAGATTGGCGTTTATTCGCTTCAGAACTCTGCTGCCACCGAGTCTGAAGAGTCCTCAAAGAATGCTGCTCAAACTATCACTGATGACGATCCATTCTCTGCTGCATTGAATGCTGCTTCTGCTAATACAAACTCTGCCTCGTCTTCTGCATTTGCTCTTAGACATCCTCCTAAATGGCTTCGTTGTCCTGTAGGCGCAACATTTGGATTTGGCGGTAAATTGGTTTCCTTCAACAACAAGGCTGGACAAGCTGCTACTCAAGCTGCTGCTGCTTTGCCTCCTGGTCAAGCTCCTGCTCCCCAATCTGTGCCTCGTACTGTTCATATCAATGCCATTGTCACCGATAAGGACACTGTTCAGCGTGCTGCTGAACTGGAAACTGCCTTGGAGCAGCAGAGCGTGGAACAACTTGTAGAGGATCGTGTTCAACAAGCTGTCGAGAAGGATGAAAAGGAAAGCTGGGAGGTCATTAAGACTCTTTTAGCTGTTGATGCAAGAGAACAGTTGATGAATTACCTTGGATTCCAAAAGTCAGAAGTGATTGCTGCCGTTGCTAAAGCTACTGCTAGCAAAGCGGGATTGAATGAGGAAGAAAGAGAAGGCGAAGCTGGTGCTGCTGAGAACGCTGAAGAAATGAACGCCACCGCTTCTACCCAAGAGACTGAACAAGAGCCCTCCTCAGAAGAGATAACCAAAGATGAGCCTGCTACTGCTACTACTACCACTACTACCACCACAGAAGAGAATGAACCCATTCCTGAACTCAAGGAATCCAAGCCTGATGAAGCTGAACACTCTGCCTCTGGTCTCTTTAGTGGCGATGATGCTGGTGACGATTTCTTGATCCAAACTGACAGCAATGCCGTTGAACAGCCAGCAGAAACTGAACAAGATGACGGAGGCATCAGCGCTGCTGCCGCTGCTGCTAATGCACTGAAATCAGCCATCGCTCATGAGCCTCTTCAACTCTACGCTGAGGGCAGCTCAGAAACAGATCGCCTCATCACACGTGCTGTTGTTTTGGGCGATTTCGAATCAGCTGTCAATGTGTGTCTTTCTACAGACAGACTTTCTGATGCACTCTTGTTTGCCATCTGTGGTGGAGGCGATCTCCTCGCCCGCACTCAGCAAGCCTATTTCAAACGTCAATCCAAATCCAACTCTTACTTGCGCTTATTGGAAAGCATCATTGACGAGGACCTCAACTCTGTTGTCGCTAGCGTGTCATTGGAGGAGTGGACATCTGTCATTGTTGTGCTGTGTACTTTTGCCAAGGCTGAAGACTTCAGACCTCTTTGCGAGGCTTTGGGTGCTCGCCTCGAAGAAGGCTGGAGCTCTAGCAGTGAGCCCGAACAAGCCAAGGAATATAGACGCCATGCCACTCTCTGCTACCTTGCTGCTGGCAATTTGGAAAAGGTGTCTCGTATTTGGATTGCAGAACAAGAGGAAGAAGTGCAACAAGAGAACGCTGCAGAGAATGTCAAGGCTACCAGTCTTCAACATTTGATTGAAAAGGTTACTATTTTCCGCAAGGTGATTTCCTTTGAAGATGCTGATCTCTATGAGACCTCCGAGACAAAGATGTCTTATGAGTATCCCTTGTCTCCCTTGTATGACAAGTACTGTGAATATGCTGAACTATTGGCAGATCAGGGCAAATTGACCACTGCCTTGACCTACTTGAGTTTGACGCCTCTTGTCTACCGCAAGGCTACTTTTGACAAGCTCGCTGTTGTCCGCGACCGTGTATACCAAGCTTGCCCTGTCAGTGTTGCTAGTCAATTCACGCAACCTGCTACACCATTTGAGAGCAAGGGAATCACCACCAAGGCTGCTGCTTTCGCTGCTGAGAATCAAGCCCAACAGGCACACACCCAACATGCTTACAATCAACCTTCTCAATACCAACAACAACAGCAGCAATCAGGTTACCAATCCTATCAACCTTCAACTAATCATCAACAGCAGACATCCTATGCACCCGTTCGCTCACCATTGGCTGCTCAAAGTTACGCTCCTACCAGCAATGCCTATGCTTCCACTGCAACCAGTGCCACCAACTACGCCCCTACCACTGCTTACACTCCCACAGCTGCTCCTCACGCCCATTCATACGCCCCTACTACTGCAACTGGAGCTCCTACTAACGCCTACGCTCCTCAAGCTACCTCAGCTACAGCCAGCGCAGCCTCTCCATCCTATGGATACAATCAACCCAATTACGGTGGATACAATAACAACGATGCTTACGGCAGTAATGGTCAATACAATAACAACTACGGTGCTACCGCTGCTGCTGCTCGCCCTACCATCCCTGCTCCTCCACCTATTGGAGGTATTGCACCTGTTGCTCGATCTCAATCTCAAGAAGCATCCACACCACCCAAGAAGGCTGAAGGTGCTTGGAACGACCCTCCCATGTCGATTGCCGCTGCTGCCGCTGCCAAGAAGATGAAGAGCCCTAAGATGGCTTCCACGCCCACAAAACGTGTTACTTCACCTTTCCCCAATCAACCCTCTTCTACTGCTTTTGTTGGATCGCCTCGCAATCAGCATCAACCGCTTCATCATCAGCAACAATCTGCCTTGCCTCCCCCGCCTCAAGGCGCATTTGCCCCACCTCCCATGAGCCGTGGACATATGTCGCAGCAAGGTAGCCATCTTCCTCCTCCACCACAAGGCCCTCCTCGTGCTGGTATGATGCATCCTCCTTCTCAGCAGCAGCAAGCGCCTCCACCACAACAGTTCCAACAGCAACACCAACAACGTCCTATGGCTCCTCCTCAAGGTATGATGGGCGGACCACCTCAGCAACAACCTATGGGCATGAACCCTCCTCCTCGTAACAATCCTCTTCCTCCACCACCCATGAACGCTGCTGCCCCATCTCCATTAGCTAAAAGAGTGCCTCCTCCACCTCAACAAGGTGGCTTTTATCAGCCTCAGCGCATGAGCTAAATATTTTGAAATTTTGATTAAAATATCTATCATCTATATATGCTCTTCCATTTATGTCTATCATAGCTTACTTTTGTTTCTAATTGAGCTTATTTCGCCACAGGCATGCTATTAGCTTCTAGTCATTAAAGCTCTGGCTCCCATCCATGCTGCCAGTGCGATAGCATAAACTTTTTGTCCCTAAAGACTGTCAAAAAACCAAAAAAGGAATGAAATTGGGCTTACAAGTATTTCGGTGGACTGGCGTTATTAGGTGCAACGCTTCGAAATAAAGTAGCATGGCTATCAAAAGTACTATATAATTTTCCACCTACTCTCCATTAGCTTCGAAAGTATCTATTATTGTCTTCATGATTAGAGGGACATTGAGTTTGCCAGCCAGCACCACTAGCCAAAATAAATCTAAGCTCAAACTAAAGTCCAGTTTCAGATTGGCCAGATTTTGGTATTTTTCGACTTGATCATGGCTCTTCCCGATAAACAAACATTGCCTAAAGGACGAGATCCTAAAAGCGGAAAAGCCACAGATTCTCGCCACAACGCCACCAAACAAAAGGATCCTATGCGGTCATATGCACAAATCCTGAAGTCGGATCAAACCAGGGACATATTTGATCTGAAATCTCGCAACTCTGGTGAAACTTTTAAGATTACCTACACTGGTATGAAGCCTACCTGTAGTCGCTGTCATGTCACTGACTGTGTCTTTGGTAACTGTCCTGTTATGAGCCAACGAGTGAAGCACTGTCATATCTGCAATAGCCCCAATCACTTGCAAGCCACATATCCGGAAACCTGGTGGAACCAACGCAAGAAGGCTGCCAAGTTGAACACAACCCACACATCACCACATCAGCCGAAGGCCACTGACAAGGAGGCAGCACCTGTAGTACCTACATCTGCTAAGGTAGACGAGAGTGCTTCTGACAAGGCGAAGGTTACTAAACCCTTTATTACAGAAATCATTCCAGCATCTTCTCAAGAAGCAACCAGCACCAATTCCAACATCACGGAATCCTCTTCCACTGCTGGAGAGACAGCACCCATTCCATCTGGTGATGAGGATGGAAAGGACGTCGCTGTCACTGGGGAGGAGCAGCTCACCAAGGAGGTTGAAGCGGGTGAATCTGAACAAGAGCGTTCAAAGGTTATTCAGGAGCAACAGGGCGACACTGCGGAAGATGATTTTAATGATGAGATGGATGGTGATGACGACGTTGATGATAGCGATATCAACATGGAGGAAGCGGCCAAGGAGGCGGCAAGCAGCTCTATACCTCTGGATGAGGTTCTCCAGAAGATGAGACGCCAACTCAGACTCCAACGTCGCAAGGCAAAGCAACTGCACAAGGACAACAAGGACAAGGCATTACGCCCTCGTTACGGTGGAACGGCTTCAAAGAAGAAGGCTTCTACCAACCCCTCATCACGTCAATAATTATTATGAGTAATCATATTAATTATAGGAAATCCTTAAATATCAAATTTGGATCTCTGAATTGTCGATATCTACTCAAAGTCAACAATCCTCAATCCTCAGATTCCTTCATTCGATACTTAAGGGGGCAAGATTTAGATGTTTTTGCTTGTCAGGAAACCAACATACCCTCACTCAACTTTGACGACCGGATTGCAATGCTCGAGCTGAAATTTCAATCCGTTCAAAGTATTTGGACATCGAAATGCGGCATCTTCAACTTCAATTGAAACATTCACATGGAGAAGATACACATTTCTGATGATGATAGAATTATATTTGCAAAATTGACGATACCCGCGGAACCAGACCTGTTGCCCATCTATGTGCTCAACATCTATGCGCCTGCGGATTCATCTCAGAACAGAGCCATTTTCTACAACAGCCTTATGAACTACATCAAGTCTCTTGATTCATACGGTGACATATTGGAGCGTTTGATTTTGGCGGGCGATTCCAACTTTCAATACGACCTTCGTTTGCCCAATAACGCACCCACCAAACGACCAGCAGCATTTGTCTTGTTTACGGATACCTTCCTTCATGATTGTAACAACATTTATAGTGACTCCCTCTTTGAAACTCTTCCAACCTTTCGACGGGGCAAGGTCATTAAAACGCTTGACTACATCATGGTGGGCCGCCAGCTGAAGGATCTCTACTTTGACAATGACATTGAGCACGTCTCTTCGGTGTGGACTGACCATGCTTTACTGACCATCAAGCTGCGTCTTCAACTCAACAACACGGACAAAGGGTTATGGCGGGCCAACCCCAACCTGGTGCACTGCAAGTTTTATGTGAAGAAGATCAATTCTGGTATCAGCCACTTCATGCAGACCGTCCTTGCTAACTCCTCAGATAGCAATCAGATCAAATGGGACCGTTTGAAGGGCTACATCCGAAAATTGGCTAAAGCTTACTGCAGTAACCGTGCCTCCTGGAGGAAACAGCGTCTCAAAGATCTCCAAAGCTCTCGGAATCAGCTTATCCGTCAGTTAAAAGGTGATCAGGAAGTATTGCAGCAGGAACTCCCCAAGGTTGAGAAACCTATTGCTCAGTTGGAACATGAAATTGCCCTCAATGCCACTCTCAAAGCGGGTAGACTTTGGCTAGACAACAACAAACACTCGGTCGGCTTCTTGAAGAAGACGGATGAAAGGCGTCTTGCTCAACGGACAATGGACACTATCACTTATCCAACGACAGAAGCTCCCTGTACTACTACAGCGGATAAGCTGGAAGCGGTGCGCGCCTATTATGATGTCTTGTATTCTCCCGAGCCATCCCACCGGTACTCGATGGACAAACTGCTCAGTGGTATTCAGAATACCATATCCGTTGATGACGCTGAATACATTATATCCTCCATTAACATGGATGACATTCTGAAATCAGCTCGCCGGTGTCCGAAGGTCAGTAGCCCAGGCAGAGATGGCCTTCCGTATCCCATTCTACATCTGGCTATGGCTCATCCTGCCTGCAAAGAACTCGTCCTCGCTGTGTACAATGATGCCCATAACCTTGGTGTGTTCCCACCTTCCTGGCAGGAGACGTGCATCGTCCTCTTACCTAGGAAGGGTGATCTGTGGAACTTGGCAAACTGGCGTCCGATTTCACTTATCAATACTGATTGCAAGGTATTCACCAGGATCTTGAACTCAAGGGTCATTGGAGCGGCCAACAAGGTCATCACTGGACATCAAGCAGGCTTCATGCCTACACGATTTATTGGTGACCACGGTCTGGCTCTGAGACTCCTCATGGAGGACGCCCAATTACATTCTAATTGTGCTATTGGTGTTGCAATTGACAGTGCCAAGGCTTACGATTATGTAAACGAACAGTATATTTGCAAGATGCTCCAGAAGTTTGGTTTCCCCTCTACATTCATTACCAGTGTTCGTAATCTGTTCTTTAAGACCAAGATTGCGATCAATGTGAATGGGTTTATGACGGAACCAGTGTCTCAAAAGCATGGGCTTCGTCAGGGCGACTCCATCTCCCCTGTGCTGTTTAACTTTGCTCTGGAACCTCTTCTGCTGGCTATTCTGAACGATGAGAAAATCAAGGGATACTCTATCCATACTGCTGCCGACCCTCGGGTAGATGTAAACCGACTCACCGTGGCCTCTTTTCTTCAAACAAAAATGCCCAGTGCAGCTCGTAATCTTTGGTTCCGGTTGATTCATAATAAGGTCTCTTCCAAAGTCAATGTGTACAAGATCTTCAAGCTACCAGATGATCTTTGCGTGTATTGTGGCTACCGTGAGACTACCACTCACATGCTCTTTACTTGCCCTGCCAATTGGGACATTTGGACCAATTACTTTGCCCTGCTTTTTGTGCCTCTTGGGCCACTTGATATGAGCCAAGTTGCTACGGATGTCCTCTCCCTGGACCTCACCTCGTACTGCCTCTTGGATTCATTCCTCAAGGTGTCCACGTTTGAAGCCGTAACCTGTGTTATCACAGCTATTTGGCGCGCCAAATGGCGTGATCATTATAATAGCGTTGGTTTTGACAATCAGTCCGTAATGGACCGTGCCATGATCAACTTGCGTAGAATATCCTCTCTCAACTTGTTAAGCTAATTTTGTTTTCTTTGCCTTTCAGGACAGGTCACTTTACATTACACCTGCTCTCCTTTTTTATTTTATCCAAATATCTTTTATGTGTTTATCTTAACCAATAAATCTTCATACTTACAAATAAAAAAAAAACCGACTTGATTGAACTATTTTTTGAGGTTCGACTATATAAACTGTGATAATCACCCTATGCTTTCTAATACATCCTTAAAGCGCTTTTCAAGGTGCTTCTAATGATGATAATTGTAATAGATGTTTTGAATGAAATTGCTGAGAAATTTAGTAAAATATGAAATGAGGTTTTTTAGCGAAAATAGCCATATTTTGCATATGAAAACCTCATAAAAGTGGTTTCAGAAGTTGCTCTGAATCGAGAGAAACGTTTTGAATTAATATATACCATAGTAAAAGTCTCTATTTTCAAGGTGGAAAAGGCGATCGTTTAATTTTCGTAAAAAACCATGAGGGGTACCTCATGGTTTTCAGTGGAATTTTGACCATGTTTTTTTTTGGTCCCAAAAAGTTGAGCAACGGTGTCAGGAAGTTATTACCACTCGAATACAACAATTTGGTGTCATTCCAGTGGCTCAGAAAGGTCTACATGTGAACATATGAAGGCTTGAAAACTGTCAAATTTGGCTATGTATTGCTTTATAAAGTTTATTTACACGGCATAAATCACATCTTTGGTAGCTGCAATTTACTGGAAAGGCAGTTCTGTAGCTTGAGCAATTTTTAATTCGAATAGAAGGCATATTGATTTTAGTAAAACTAATTTATGCAAACTTTGATGCGTTACGTTGTTGGTAAGCTTACTAGTAATGGAAATGAAAACCGAATTTTCTGCTTGAATACTATGGTTTTGCATCTTCGCTTCGATACAGTAAACTCCTCATTAAGATTAATATTACCAATTGTTGGGCTAGATGATTAGTTGCCATGGTTTTTTATCTTCACTTCGCTACGGTAAAACCGCCTCATAAGTCAATGTTACCAAATGTTGAATCAGATGCGTTATACTCTTGGTGGATGGGCTTAGCACCTTCTCCAAAACCCCTTCCCGATGCCGGCTTCACTGTTGGTTTTATTTACTTTATACAGCACACAATTCTTTAAAATTTTGAAAGGATATGATTGGCTTGTCTACTTTTTTTGAGTGTGTGAAGATTTAATCATGGTTTGTACGCGTACAATTACGGGACTTTTTACATTGAAAACAACATTTTTCTTCTTTCTTCTTTACTTTGTTTATCAATCAGCAATAACTGCGGCTGGCGTTGGTGCAAAGCACGAGAATCACTAGTAGTATAGAACTGAGGGTTCCTTACAAAAATGGTTCATTGGTAAACAATGAAAGAGCGTCGATTTTGGTACGAAAGGCTACTTCCGAAAACTACTGCAGTTGTGGTTTTGGAAAAGCGTTACTTTGCTAGCTTTTTGCTGCTTATACTTGGCGATGAGGTCGTCTAGTCAGGCAGCTGAGTAGTCTTGAATTAACAATGTTTTAAGAGAGCCGGTAAGTTAGAATAACGAAGTATAATATCATACAGTGCACTCATGCTTTTTTTTATGGAGTTTATGGTACAGCAGGTACACAATCTCTGTTTATCAATCAGCAATAACTGCGGCTGGCGTTGGTGCAAAGCACGAGAATCACTAGTAGTATAGAACTGAGGGTTCCTTACAAAAATGGTTCATTGGTAAACAATGAGAGAGCGTCGGTTTTGGTGCGAAAGGCTACTTCCGAAAACTACTGCAGTTGTGGTTTTGGAAAAGCGTTACTTTGCTAGCTTTTTGCTGCTTATACTTGGCGATGAGGTCGTCTAGTCAGGCAGCTGAGTAGTCTTGAATTAACAATGTTTTAAGAGAGCCGGTAAGTTAGAATAACGAAGTATAATATCATACAGTGCACTCATACTTTTTTTTTATGGAGTTTATGGTACAGCAGGTACACAATCTCTGTTTATCAATCAGCAATAACTGCGGCTGGCGTTGGTGCAAAGCACGAGAATCACTAGTAGTATAGAACTGAGGGTTCCTTACAAAAATGGTTCATTGGTAAACAATGAGAGAGCGTCGGTTTTGGTGCGAAAGGCTACTTCCGAAAACTACTGCAGTTGTGGTTTTGGAAAAGTGTTACTTTGCTAGCTTTTTGCTGCTTATACTTGGCGATGAGGTCGTCTAGTCAGGCAGCTGAGTAGTCTTGAATTAACAACTTTTAAGAGAGCCGGTAAGTTAGAATAACGAAGTATAATATCATACAGTGCACTCATGCTTTTTTTTTATGGAGTTTATGGTACAGCAGGTACACAATCTCTGTTTATCAATCAGCAATAACTGCGGCTGGCGTTGGTGCAAAGCACGAGAATCACTAGTAGTATAGAACTGAGGGTTCCTTACAAAAATGGTTCATTGGTAAACAATGAGAGAGCGTCGATTTTGGTGCGAAAGGCTACTTCCGAAAACTACTGCAGTTGTGGTTTTGGAAAAGCGTTACTTTGCTAGCTTTTTGCTGCTTATACTTGGCGATGAGGTCGTCTAGTCAGGCAGCTGAGTAGTCTTGAATTAACAACGTTTTAAGAGAGCCGGTAAGTTAGAATAACGAAGTATAATATCATACAGTGCACTCATACTTTTTTTTTATGGAGTTTATGGTACAGCAGGTACACAATCTCTGTTTATCAATCAGCAATAACTGCGGCTGGCGTTGGTGCAAAGCACGAGAATCACTAGTAGTATAGAACTGAGGGTTCCTTACAAAAATGGTTCATTGGTAAACAATGAGAGAGCGTCGATTTTGGTGCGAAAGACTACTTCCGAAAACTACTGCAGTTATGGTTTTGGAAAAGTGTTACTTTGCTAGCTTTTTGCTGCTTATACTTGGCGATGAGGTCGTCTAGTCAGGCAGCTGAGTAGTCTCGAATTAACAACGTTTTAAGAGAGCCGGTAAGTTAGAATAACGAAGTATAATATCATACAGTGCACTCATACTTTTTTTTATGGAGTTTATGATACAGCACGTACACAATCTCTGTTTATCAATCAGCAATAACTGCGGCTGGCGTTGGTGCAAAGCACGAGAATCATTAGTAGTATAGAACTGAGGGTTCCTTACAAAAATGGTTCATTGGTAAACAATGAGAGAGCGTCGGTTTTGGTGCGAAAGGCTACTTCCGAAAACTACTGCAGTTGTGGTTTTGGAAAAGCGTTACTTTGCTATGCTTTTTGCTGCTTATACTTGGCGATGAGGTCGTCTAGTCAGGCAGCTGAGTAGTCTGTTGTTGCTTTTGGAAATTTCATCTTTTGCGGTAAGCACTATTATGAATTAAACGATTGCAACATTATTTCTGATTTCATCTTGTTTGCATTTGTCCAATTAGCATTTCTTTATCTTGGTTGGACGGTCCAATTTTACCTGGAGCTTGGTGATTTAACTAAATAACAAATCGTGTCTCAGTCTACTTACGAAGACAAAACTGCCACTGCGTTCACATCGGTGCTATGTCTGCTATGTCTAATATATACTTCTGTATGCTTATTATACAATTGATATCTGCAATTAAAATATTATTTACTCATGTCATACTCAACGAGATAGACAAAATGACTTGTTTGAGTCAGTCTATCACCTACTATTTTCTTGATATTTCTATGCTCTTCTACAACTCTCACTTCCCAATATACCACCGTGCCAATTGACAGTGTCTAGCTAAGTCCTGGGCATGTTATTTGCCTTCAGTTAGCAAGGCGTATATACAATGTAATTTCAGCAATACTGCCAGTTCAATATCAAACACGGTTGCATCCCACAACTACGATCTTTATTTTACAGAGCTATAAAAAGTTACCACAATAGACCATACAAGATTATGGCTGATGTAGCAGAAGCTACACTCAAAGCGACGGCAATGGGGCCAAAACTCTCTGCAATTCTTCTCCCAGCATTGTAGAAACAAGTAGGACAATAATCAGCTACAAGAGACAAAAGATCAGTCCATCTTGAACAAACGCACAGCATCCCAATGAATACTTACATCCTGACATGGCTGAATACGATTCTGGAGAATAGAATGCAATGGACAATCTGGTATAAGGAGCCAACCAACCAGGCTGGGCAGGAGCAGAGACACCTCTTTGATCATACAGCTGGATCTGATACATACCCATCATGAGTGGTGAAGCAGTTGGTACATCTTTGATTTGCCAGACAGCACTAGTAGCAAGTCCAGGCATGGCAGTAATGGTATAGGTGACCTTATTAGGCGCAACAGCAGCCAAAGTCAAGTTGGAAGGTTGAACAAGCAAATCAGTGAATGACCAGACGAATGTGACATTTTCTTTGGGATCGATGCGGTATAATGGTGAAACTGATTTACTAGCAGTTGGCGTGGCAAATGAAGCACCACCAGGATAGACACTATTGCCATAACTTGCGGATGTAGGCAAGCCAGCCAATGTGTTGTTTGCTGCTCCGCCATTGCTTGCCACTGCTGATTGTGTGCTGTTGCTATTTGTGCTATTACCGGGAAGAATAGCTGTAGCAATGGGTTGTTGACTCCCTGATGCTGGCACTGATCCTGAAGAAGCAGCTGGAGGTTGTGTTGTGGAAGCAGCAGGCGCTTGCACGCTGGTAGATTGAGCTGGAGCTGCAGTGGATGTGATGCCAGGAGCTATACATGTGTTAATCTCGAGAGCAGTAAAATGCTGTTTTTTCTTTATTACCTTGAGGGACTAGTTTGGAATCAAATAAAATGTCAATAAACAAGCATTTTATGATTCTCTGATCATATTTACTGTACCTGCATGTGCGATTGCAATAAAAGTTGCTAAAACTAAGGGAATAAGACGCATTTTGATTCTTGTCTATGAAAAAAGTGTAGTAAAACGAGGAGAAGGGCTGAAAAATTTTCTTTTTTGTATTTATACGATAAAGCTCCCTCTTTTAAAGCTCTATTTTTGGTGCTACACATTCTAATTATAAACCTATCATTTCACACAAATTAATTGTTCCTTTCCGAGTGGGTTGTAACAGAAAGCAGGGTTCTATTCCATTGCTTGGATAGTGAGCAAACATCTGCCTGTCATGTAGCTGATTTGATCTCATCATCCTACCCTTGCTGCTTGTCGGGTATGCTACAACATCAAACAAGGGGTTCTTCAGTTACCAAACCACCTTTCTCTGGGTCTCAAATGTCATATGATTTGATGGTGAATGATGGGATGGGTGATTGACGGCCGGGCGAGATTTCTATAAATACACTCTTTTACTCCACATTATGTTGATGGAAATATAGCCTCTCTCTCTCTCTCTCTCTCTTCTCTCCCTTCTAATTTTACAGAAAAATGTCTGTTGAACAAGGTAAATTTCGGCATACTACTCCAACGCACATGTCCTCCATTTAATCCACATCCACAGTTCGCGTCCAAGAATACCTCGATTTCGCCATCAATCTAGCCAAAGAAGCTGGTGCTATCATCAAGACTGCCGTTGATTCTCGCATGGCAGGAACAGGTTCCAACATTGAACTGAAAAAAGAGAACCCCACAGATCTTGTGACAGAGACGGACAAAGCAGTTGAAGAGTTCATCAAGGAGCGTCTCTCTCGCACGTATCCTGAACACAAGTAAGCGCGAGTCCATGCTATCCATTCATTCCTCTGATTTATGCGTGCACAGGTTCATTGGCGAAGAGACTTTTGCTGGTGGTGCAAAGACAGAATTCACCCATGAACCAACCTGGATTGTTGACCCCATTGGTAGTGAAAACGCATCATCCACCTAGCCTTTAACTCTAAAATGCTTATATAATCCCATTAGATGGTACCACTAATTTCATTCATGGATATCCATTTGTCGCCGTTTCCATCGGATTGACAATCAACAAGATCCCAACAGTAGGTGTTGTCTTTAACCCTCTCCTTAACGAGCTCTACTCTGCTGCCAAGGGCAAGGGCGCCTATCTCAATCAGACTCAAAAACTACCCTTATTCAACCCTCCTCAGCCTTTGGTGAATCTGTCTCATTGTTTGATCGCCACTGAAGCCGGATCTGACAGATCCAAGCTGGTGATTGATGCCAAAATTGCTGCTATTCATGACATGCTTCAAAAGAAATCAGAGACTAATCCTTTTGCTGCTGAAGCACACAGTGTGCGTACAACTGGGTCTGCTGCTCTCAATTTGTGTAATGTCGCCAAAGGTATCATTGATGTGTATTGGGAAGTAGGATGCTGGGAGTGGGATGTGGCTGCCGCTATTGTCATTGTTGCAGAATCTGGTGGCCTTGTCCTGGCTGGCGGCAACGATAAATCAGACAATGAACCTGTAAACATTTTCTGCCGTAAATACTTGGCTATCCGTGCTGCTAGAGATAGAGAAAGCCAAATAGAAATTGCCAATCAAATGAAGGATTTGATCCCTACTATTGAGGCCCCTCGTGCTCCTGTTCCTGGAGGCTTTGAGCAGTAGTAGAGCATCATATGCATATAGAGATTATCAAGTCTGTTCAATAAACTAGCATGTCTGCAAAGAAAATTGAGTCGCGTGTAGCTCAAATCTACAAAGAAACTGTGTTTCTTAAAGAGATACATAATCGCAACCTTTTTATTGTGGTAGACCTTATAATGAATATTGTTAAGAACGTTTGCCACCAAAGCATTGCATACGTTTTTTATAAGTCAAGAAGCGTCTGACACATGCTCGAGGTTATACTTGAAGGGTAGCTCTAGGCTACATAACTGTATACAACCCAAACCACTATCGGCATTTCCTTGAAGGAGGACAATGTTATCTTTGGTTTCCACAAGCAGTTTCACATGGTTAAATGTACTGCTGTTAGCCTCGCTATTTAGAGCACTGGCTTCTGTACCCTAGATATAGATAAGGCATGGACGAATGCATTGCTTTGAGTCATTCATAAAATGATTTTCTTCATCTCAATTACTGGATGTTAAGCCAGGGTATACAAAGAAACACTACATATACTATATATATATATACTAGCCGATCAACCTCGCTATGCTCGATGATGGCGTCGCCCTGCGGGCTCTCGCCGAAGACATTTCAAATCAGAGATATTAAAAATTTGGTATATCAAGTAGATTTTAAACAACCAATTAATAGCAAAAAAAAAAGTTATATCATAGTCAGGAGGGGGAGGTATTCATTCGCTGATGTTGCTCTTGATATGGCGGCATAAATCTGGTCATGTGTAGATACAGAACTTGTGCGATTTTTTTTTTTGAGATATTGTCATTGCAAAAGACACCTTTATAGGGAAAAACTCCCAAAAAAAAGGATTCGGGCTAAGCAAGTTTACTTTCAACACCATAACCCCCATTTAATCAGCATCGCAACCATCATTGTTGTCATCATTGTTGTCATCAGAAAGGCATCCGAGTCAGCCAGCAGCAGCGACGCCTGTCAAAATTGATTCAAATTCAGCTTATTTTTTTCTGTTCAAGATTGGACAGATCTTGTTTTTTTTCGACTTCTTTAATCTACTTTATGGAATTCGACTATACAAATTGTGATGATCACCCTACGCTTCCTAAATCCCTTATTAGCAGTAGATTTCTTTCCCAACTTAGTTCAAAAAATATCTTATTCCCCTTCTTCGCAGACATTGGGTCCACCAACAGTCTTGTCTATCACTCATAGCGACATTTACAGGACTTTAAATAAAAACTGGAGCTCGTCTCCCCTACAAAAAAAAACGCTTCCTAAATCATTCTTGGAGTACTTTTCAAGGCGCTTCCAATGGTGTTACTTGTAATAGGTGTTTTGAATAAACTTATTGAGCAATTCCAGAAAATATAAAATAAGGTTTTTGGCCAAAATGTTGAAATTTTGTATACGAAGACCTCATAAAAGTGGTTTCAGAAGTTGCTTTGGGTTGAGAGAAACATTTTGATTCAATACATACCTTAGTAAAAGTCTTCATTTTCAAGGTAAAAAACGAGATCGTTTGATTTTTGATGAAAACCATGAGGTGTACCTCATGGTTTTTGGTCGATTTTTGACCATGTTTTTTTTGGCCCAAAAAGTTGAGCAGAGGTGTCAGGAAGTTACTATTGCTCAAGTACAATTGTTTGGCGTTATTCCGGTGGCTCAGAAAGGTCTACATGTTAAGATACGAAGGCTGGAAAGCTGCCACATTTGGTTATGTGTTGCTTTATAGCTTTTATTTATACGGCATGAATCACATCTTTGATAGCTGTAATTTAATGGAATAGTAGTTCCGTAGTCTGTGCAATTGTTAATTCGAATAGGAGACATATTGATTTGGTAAGATAATCCATGCAAATTTTGACGCGTTATGTTGTTGGTAAGCTTTAGTAATAAATGGAAATGGGAAACATAATTTGCTGCTTTATTGTATCCACAGATACAATATTAACAAATTAAGATATATTTCAAAAGGAAGACTAAAAAGTAACCAGATATGAAAACTTAATGATTTATTAATTGATTCGAGCACATCTTATTTATACTAAATTATCATCGCTAAATCAATCAATCTATCTTATTGTTTAGCATGAGTCAATACATCGAGTTTTGTATCTCCAATACCGATCATTATGAAGGATCCGGTCGTCAGTTCAGCTACGATGATACGATTCACAACCTATCATCGTCATTCGCAATCACGGACTTTCATAGTCAACCATATAGTTCACTTCTTGTTGAACCTTGCGTCCCAACATAGACAGCGAGTAACAATGTAAATCATGATCCGACTACCACTGAGTTACTGAGCTCTCGTAGCTTCTACAGACTCAACATGCTTGAATACTGTGGTTTTGCACCGTCGCTCCGCCACCGTAAAAGCTTCGTTAAGGCTACTACCATCAAATGTTGGATTTGATGCTTAGTTTCCATGGTTTTGCACATTTTCTTTGTTACGGTAAAATCTTCCTAATAGATTGATGTTACCAAATGTTGAACTAGATGCGTTATGCTTTTGATCTCAGATGGGTCACTACGATGCTTTTCTTTCTATATTGAGCTAACAGCAATAGCATAGCCTTTGCTAGACTACACTTGAGCCGTAGAGTATTTTTATTTAATGTTTCAATCAGGGTTCATATGCGAATCTTTTCGCAATCCATTATCAAAACATATAGTAGTAGGGCATTAAAATCGCTTATTGTGATGATGAAAATGGTCTGTGGGATGATGTTTTCATGCAATAATTGCACAAACTCCAAATATTTATGAATCACACACCAATAATTAAGCAGTATACAAAACCATGAAAGCTTTAATGTAAACACCAAACTTCTTTTGAGGTGAAAGATAAAATTTATATCGTAATTCGATTCGATCGCAATCGAATTGAGAAAATAATATGCTTACATAATTCAATAGACGCATCTAGATGATGGATGCTCGGGGAAGATGATAATACAAGGTGGTAATCAGAGAGTGGACGCACCACGACTTATTTACGTTATGCCTGTTAAGCAATGTCTATAATTGACATGCAACGATGTGATAGGCAAACACTTTGCACAGAAATCCAGATAGAAGTCTAACATACAATTAATTTCAGCAAGCATCGTTACGTTTCAAAAGACAATTTTTAAACAAAACCTTAATTCCTTCATAGATTGGAGTTTCCTGAGACACATTGCAATTGTTTTCGTTGACAAATGACTTGAAGTTGCTTTGCTTGGAGGACATTAGCGTCAGTGGTATGTCTGCAAAATAAATTACTACCAGGAGCATAAATGTGTATCAGGGATGATATACGTGGATATATACGCAGCTTAACTACAGGCATTCCTATCAATTATAGGCAAACAGCAAGGTAAAATAGGAAAATTCAATGGATTTAATAAATCACTACTTTATGTTGAGCATTACCACGAAAAGGGAATATGAAAAGAGAATGGAATGATAGGTTTGTGAATATAACAGTGAATATTTGTGCAAGGTATGTATCTCGATTTACAGTTGTAAAGAAACATCACCCTTCTTTATATTAGAATGTGTAGATTATGATAGGTTTGGAGGAATGGGCGTCAGTGGGGCGGTTTTTTGATCGGGTCGTGGGGGATACCATGATGGGCTTTTTTTAAGACGAGTCTGTTGCGTGGGAGGGTCTTGCAGGCTGCGATCGGCGCTCTTCGGGCTATTTTTTACCAACACCAGCGTCCTTTGCAGATCAGTCCATTCTTTTCTTGTGGTTAACAAAGTGTTGCACAGGTCTGTCATAAATTTGAAATCCTTGACGGCGGGGAGAATAACATTTGTGGTGACCTTGTTGCCAATGTAAAGAGTGTCTGACACATGCTTGAGATTATATTTGAATAGCTCCAGACCACAGAACTGAATGCAACACAACCCATCACCAATATATTCCTGGAGGAGGTCAATGTTATCCTTGGTCTCTAAAAGCAGTTTAACATGGTCAAAGTCGAATTTTTGTGGCGTGGGCGAAATTCTTGTGGCTTCCATCTGCATCATGTCGTATTCTTGGACCTGGCGGTCTTCAACCTGGTCATAAATTACTCGGAGGTCAGCGCGCAAAGAGTTTGTAAGCAACGAGCAAGAACTCTCGCCCCTAATGAACAATTAGCATCGAATAAATTAAAAAAAAAGGTAAGCATACCACTTGAGTCTCAGAGGCGTTTTCTGCACTAGCTTCTCCATAATTGGCCCCCACAACTTTACAATACAGTCTTGCTCGTTCTTCTTCACTTGCTTATTGAACATGTACGGATTGGATTCGAGGAACTCGAGAATGAAAGCATGTGCAAACAATACAAACTGTTCATCATTGGTAAAGCGATTCTTGTACAGGTAGAGATATTTATAAATTTGATCGCTGGCTTCTGTTACGTTTGTCTTCGCAATTGTCTCCGCGTTTTTCAACACCTCGGTCGCCTTCCTTGACAGTGACAAGGGGTGAGAAACATACGAATATTTATATTTTTCTCGGAGATGAGACCACTGTACGGCACTGAAGATAGTGGATTGGCCACGAGGAAAGTTGTAAGACAAATCAAGGATACTGTTCAATCCAAGTCTAATATATAAGGTTAATATTAGCATTGCTGTTTCCTCCAGGACGAAAACAATAAGTTGCTTACGTGATTTGAGGTCTGACACCTACAATATCGTAATATAAGGCGTGCGACTTGATTGCTATACTCTTGATCGTGTATCCTATTGACCTCTCAACACCTTCCAAGAACAAAGCATCCTGTTCTCCTAACTAGATGTGAAGAAGATGAATATGTCAATGGGCGAAAGGTCAAGTTCTGCAAGGTCTCTTACTTTTGAGATGTATTCTTCGTTCGTAGAATTCACGACTGGTCGATCTTGTTCAGCTGGTGACTTTTGCTTCTTGTTTATGCGCTCGGTGATATCGGCCACATAAGTGTTATGAAAAACAAATGCCTCTTTCAAGGATCTCTTTACAGCCGCCTCAGCACGCTTGTCTTGATCCCTTACAATTGATTCGTTCTAATAGGAAAATATTAGTGAGAGAACTTTTTTAATAAAAGATGAGTGGTCTACGTTATTATCACTTTCTGTATCCTATACATCAATTAAAAACATAAGTATTTTATTGCAATGTTGGTAGAGTTGCTATTCTCTATGTATGCTTACAGAAGACATTCTTTCTGAAGAGTAAAGAGATGGTCAAACAAAGATGGGAAGCGCGCTTGAGCAAAAGCTTCAATCCAAGGCAAGAAGCCAACTCCTGTGACGGTAGGTTAAATTCACAAGACAAAGACCTGTTTGTGCAAATGCAATGCACGGACAAAGAGAAACAAAAACTCAGGGGCTTGGTGATTTCGATAAAGTTTATCTTCATTTGCTGAAGACCTTTGCAATGTTGGAACTCATGTATGCCTGCTCATTGTCATCACCCAGGAGATACGAATTGCTCCTTCCATTTATCACACCAATGTATCTGCTACACGAGGACTACAGTTTTCTCCAGAGGCTAGAACTGAATCAAAACACTTCCAGGAACAACTGAGACAAGTCTTGTTGAAACGGCTGTGATCCGCTCAGCTGCATTAGCGAAATAAAAATCACGGGCTGCTTTCCTTGCCAATGTCTGCTAAAACGTGTGCTGCAACCAAAATAGTTCAATGAAGCTGCTCATGCAAAAAAAAAAAAAGAGTTCTTGCTCGTTGAGATTGGGTGTAGTGAAGAAACCTTCGAAGCTCTCGAATCGCTCAGTGAGTAACTGAAAGAGGCAATGAACATAGGTTGAGGGGTGAGCCTGCCAAGCGTGTCAATGCAGCCGAATTGATTGCAAATATGTGCCAATCCTTGAATCCATCATTAATTTCGTCTTCTTCCTTTTCGCTTTCCAATACGGGTTTTACACTAACCCATGAGTGTCTGTATTTTCAATCAGCTTAGAAAGATTTTCTATAAAAAAAAAAAGAAATGCTTGGGTCATTTTGTTGTGGTACTGATGATGGTCTGTGGGATGATGATTTCATGCAACAATTGCACAGACGTAAATATTTATGTAACATACTTATTACTTTAACTTTACTGCGAGTTGGGGGGGAGGGGATACAAAAGACCACCCTAGAAACGAATTTTTTAAAGCTAAATTTGCAGATAACGACCTATACTTCAATAATATTTCCCCTAGATTACACATTGATGGCTTCGTGAAAGTAACAACAAAGATTATTCCACTTTAGTCTAGCGAAATGTTTATATATCACTCTTGGCTTTTAAGCGTACATAAGATCAGTTTATGTCAAGCATGTACTCATTTTTTATATGAAGAATTCGCTTTTCAAGGCGCAATGAAGAAGTATTTATCCGCACATTTCTCAATTATGCCCAGAGCTACTTGAATCAGCAATTGCCAAGAAGAACACTGCTTTATACAAGTCCTGAATGAAAAGTATATCGGTGCCACTGCAATTCTGTGTATTAGGGGCCAGTTGCTGTTCCTGAATCTCGCTTTATGGGGCTAGAGAAAAAGAAAAAATCATTCGTCAAAAATAACATGTTTACATTGTACAATGATAGCCCTAAGATCCCCCCCTTTCTACCCCTCATCATCAGCTACTACTATAAGTCTATGCTTTATGTGACTTTAGCCCAATTTACATCTTGTATAAATACCTGTATTTTCAGCCATTTCTCATCTCTTTCTCTTCCTTTCTGCATTCTTTTTCTCATTGAAATTTGAAATCAATTAGCTGTTACTATATTATGGATTTGAACATTTGTCTTTACTGCGAGAAACAATTGAACGAGGATGTAAGTCATTTGGTTTTTTTGTAGAATGTAATTCATTGTTAATCGGTCTACACTAGAATATGAACTTTTGTTCTTCTGTTTGTCAGACAAATGAGGCATCTAAACCTGTGTATAACAATCCATCTACTTCATCTCCCAGCTTTTCATCCTACTCTCCTTCTCGGCTCATTGCCAATGTTCGATCATCTAGTACAACCAGTCCTAGCTATGAGATAGCATATCATCGACGTCTCTCGTATTCGTATTCAACATCACCTTCATCCTTATCATTTTATCACTATCCCATAGCATCTTCCTCTTCGTCGTCATCTTCATCTTCATCATCAGCATCAATCTTATCAACCTCCACTATGCATGATTCAATGAAACAACAGCTTTCATCATGGGAAGCGTTTCCAAATCATCACCATCAACAAAAACAACATCATCAGCAACAGCAAAATGTATATACAAACTATCTTTTTTAAGAAATACCAGCAAATGATCAAAAATACCACTCGAAAATCAAAAAAATGCATGTAAAAACAAGTATCCGTTTATCTCATTCTTTTTTTCTCTCTCTCTCTCTTCATATATAACAGATTCCCCCCCCCCCAAAAAACAATATAAAAAACTTGTTGATGATGCTAATACATCTAAGTTGTAACTTGTCATGTACCACCCTGTGGTAGCTTATGAGTGAAATATTCACACTTGCTTCTCATCTTGCTCTGAATGCTATGTTAATGGTTGTCTGCGTCAACATCGCAGCCCTCTTATGATTCGTGCTTTGGTTCCCTCTTGTAACATTGACCTGAGTCAATTGTTTAAGCCAAATCATGCAACATTAAGCTATATTTCATGATTTCCCATTTCAATAAAAAAAGAAAAATCATAAGATCAGGATGTTGATGAAACTTTATTTAAAATGTTATATGGTTGTTGTGCCTATGCCTGCTCATCCCTATGATGAGAAGCCGCAATGTTTATGGAAATGTCTATACATTTATCAAATCCCTCTGTTTGAGCCGAGAAATTGATATATCTCGTAAACAAAATGGGTGTACTCGGCGCAGACTTCGGCCTATATATATAAAGTATACTTTAAAAATCACGGATGTATTGTTATCGTCATTTGACATTTATCAAAAGAAAATCTTGTGTGCAAGTTAAACCTAAAATAAATGCACGTTGTCTTTGTGTAAAAAAGAGAGCTAAGACTATACATGCCAATAGTGTAACTGTTTACAATACAGCAGTGCTTAATTTGCTACTCCCATTTTACTCATTCGCACTCCTTCATTTTGGGCGTTCGAGATGCAAACGAATACAGAATGACAAACACCCGTTGCCATGACAACCTATCGTACAATGCTAAATTGACTACAATGTGCTTAGTGCGTGTTTTGATCACTTCAGGACAAAGAGAGCAACCTAAACAGCCTTCAATGTTATGATATAAGCTTTCAGCCAGCTTCTTCGCATGGCCAATCATCAGTGATGGTCACCATTTTGCGGCTGTGAAAAGCAATGTCCTAAATTTCTCACTATCACATCACACCCTTTCTTAAAGCTTTTTTTTCCGTACACGTAGAAATATAAATATAACAAATGCTACCTGAAGACGAGCTGGATTTCGAAGACTTTGGAGATCTGGGAGATATTGAAGGGCCCGAGCTCACAAATGAAGAGTTGGAGGCATTAGAGCAAGAGCTTCGCTCTGAGAATGTCTCTCTATTAACCGAACTGGATGAGGACAAGACAACTACTGAAAAGGCAGCGTCTTCTGCTGCCATTACTACTGAAGCAGCTATAACAACCAAGCCAGCTGCTGCCGAGACACAAAAAGAAAATCAAGGCACTGTAAATAATACGTTAGAGGAAGGCGAGACACCTAATGATGGCCCAACAGCTCCAAGCAAGTCAGCAGAATTGCAGCATTGTTCTTCAAATCAACAGCACCAGCATCAATCAACATTTAACAACTACAACAATTACAAGAATAATGGATTCTATGGCCATCAACCATCAATGCCAATGAAGTAGGTTTTCGTATTTTATTTTATTTGTTATCACCCTTTCGCCCTATTTCTTTCCACCCTTTTATTTGACGCGCTCATGCCGTATCTCCCCTTCACTCTCATTATTGAATCAATGTTGAAGAAAAGGTAGACTGACAACCCAAAAAAAAAAAAAAAAAAAGAAGAGGAGGGGTATTTGCACACACATTGAATTCCTTTTTTCTTTTGATACATACATGCATTATTATGTATTCATTCTGTTTATTCCACTTTGTATTCATTTTCTTATAGTAACATGTTTCCACAATATCCGCCATTCTCAAATCGTATTTATGTGAATCCAAAGTTCAACAAAAGTGGTGCTTCTCAACAAATGCAGCTTCAGCAACAGCAACAGAGAAAGTTTATGGAGCTGGAAGCACACCGTATGCTTTTAATGCAAAGACAAATGCAGCTGCAGCAACAGCAAGAACAGCAGAGATTAGCTGAATTGGATCAGAAGCGCCGTGAAGCGGCCGAAACCATGAAAAGAAAGCGAGAGCAAAGGAACACAGAGGTAATTGAGTCATGTTATTGTGCACGCTGTACAAGTATTGACTGTTACATGTAGACCGGTGAAAAGCGATTGAGACCAGACGAAACCAACAACCATAGCGATGATCGTGCTACTAAGCGTCTCGAGAGATTTGCGCAATCTCCTGCTGGTGGGATTTCTATCAAAGGCGTGGCAGCAGCGGCAGCTCGTAATAACGGCAACCTAGCGCCTAGAAATATTCCATATCAACCACCCAACGAAAGAAAAGTCTCTATTGAGAGAAGAGTATCAACACCATATGACAGAAAACCTAGTATTACAAGTCGCTTAGGGAAGCCAGGCAATTCATCAACGCCTGCCCCACCATCTAAAGCCCCATTCACTCCCAACAAGAGATCTTCTGCATCCATCACAGCGACTCCAGTGCTACCCATCGTTACCAACGGCAAATCGAATATACTTATCATCACAGGTTTGGGCAAAGATGCGAAATTACAAGATATCCGTAATATGGCAAACGGTGCACATGATGTAAAATTGGACTCGAACACTAATTCAGCAACCGTGGTATTTCCAAGTGTCGAATTAGCTGTTACTTTTCGAAGAAAGTACAACAGGTAAGATTGGTTTGATATATCAAGTCGATCATAATATTCATTGAGCTGCATTAGATATCAAATGGGAGAATCACACATCAACATTTCATTTCAAAAATAAGACGCAGCAGGCTACATAAAGTGCTACATAAAGTGCTAAAATAAACTTTGTTTTGATTAATTCACGAAAACTCGGTGAATGTTTGGCATGGCAAGCATGATCTTTGTGCGAGTTAGATCTACTTGAATTGCGCAATGACTTTTTAATTGGATGAAAGAGCAAATGCTGATTCTTTGCATCTCGGCAAGAAAATGTAATCCCGCCATAAACCAACTTTAGCCCACATGCCATGTAACTATGCTACTTTTTATACTACTTTACAACTACAATCCATCATCAATATGACCCCTAGCACAGTCGTTATTGAAAATCAACAGCAATTCGACCATTTTTACTCTCAACTTGAAGAATACAAAGATACAACCTCACAAATTGAAACGCTGGTCATCGCAAATGCAAAGGTGTCAAATGATCAGCTAGAAAATCTACGTAAACACTTGATCAATCTTAAAGATTTGAACTATACTATACCAGCTGTAGAACATAGTGATGACGATGAAGAAGACTCTGACGAAGGTGCTTGCCGTTGTTGTAGAAATGACAGATACGAATAGATCCACTTTACAATAAATGATCATAGCATTTTGAAAAGTCTAGTTCAAGAATTTGACCATTTGGTCTCTCCAATGCTTAGCAAGAGCCTTGCCTTATCCCCTATATAGTTTTGTAGTAAAATATTATGGCTATGGTTTGCTAAAAAACTCTGATATCACAAGATGTTATGATCATCATACATTTCGCATCAGAATTCTATTTGGTGGGGGCACTTTGCAATGATAGAATCAATCAAATATAGGGAACATAATAAAAAGGATAAGCGATCGTGCTTTTCATACGACAATACCTTTTTCATTAGATTCGAAATCATTGATTGCCTTCGCCTCATTCGTTTATTACTGGCATCAATGACACAAACTATGACAATTGTAATCGATAGTATAGATAAATCTTGAAATTTCAGCTGTAAAAAGGGCCTTTGGTCTGTCAGCACTGTAGGAAGTATAGTCTTTGCTTGCTCGAGCTTCGCAGTCTGCTTTTGTCAACTTGTCACCACCACTAAGAAAAGAACAGCTAGAAAAGGAAAAGAAGCCTTCCGATGGCTGGATGCGACACATTGTGACATACTCAGAACGTCTACATTTGTCAAGATCACTGTTTAAGTTTTTGATGGTGAAATCAAAGTTTTCTGCAATAGACTACACCACCGCTGGCACTACACTCTCCTTTCATAAGAAAAGGCCATATACCATGTAAGCGTAAACACATGGCATATTGTAATTCTCTACCAGAATACCCAACCCAGAACAACAGCTTTCCTTGACAAGGTTGACATAAGGGAGCCAAGTAGAGGTGAAATCATTCGCCAGCAAGCAGCCAAAATGGATTCATTTTCCGCTACCGCTCTGCTTTAGATTGGACAAATATTAACAAAAATCGACCTCATTCATCTATTTTATGAACTTCGACTATATAAGTTGTGATAATTGTCTTATCCGCCCTTAAGCTTTCTTAGAGCACTTTTCAAGGCGCTTCATATAGTGCTAACCGATTGCAATGTTTTGAATAGACTTATTGCGTACTATTAGAAAATATTAAACCTGGTTTTTCGAGAAATTGTCCAAACTTTACATACAAAGATTCCATAAACAAAGTTTTAAGAGTTGCTTTGAATCAAGAGGAACATTTTGATTCAAAATACTCCATAGTAAAAGCCTTCATTTTGGAGGTCAAAAACGCGATCGTTTGAATCTCGATGAAAACCATGAGGGGTACCTCATGGTTTTTGGTCGATTTTTGGTCATTTTTTTTTTTGGTCCTCAAAAAGTTGAGCAAAGGTGTCAGGAAGTTACTGCTACTCAAGTACAATTGTTTGGTGTCATTCCGGCGGCTCAGGAAAGCTTACATGTCAAGATATGAAGGCTTTAAACTGTTCAATTTGGTTATTTATTGCTTTATAGAGTTTATTTACACAGTATGAAGCTCGTCTTTGGTAGCTATAATTTACTGGAAGGATAGTTCTGTAGCCTGTGAAACTTCTAATTCGAGTGGGAGGCATCTTAATTCTGGTAAAGCTAATTCATGCGATTATGATGCGTTATGTTGTTGGTAAGCTTATTAATAATGAAAATGAAAACCCGAATTTGCTGCTTGAGTACTATGGCTTTGCACCTTTGCCGGTGGCTTTATTCATCTTGTATGGCACACAATTCCTTAAAATTTTGAAAGAATATGATTTGTTTTTCTACTTTTTTTTGAATGCTTTGCAGTATATATATTAGATTAAGGGATATTATAGCAAATGAACAACATTTCGGAATAAGCTCTTGCTGTTGCATGAGACGATAAAACATTGCACTGATCTTTCCTTTTTGTGCCGTTTGGGGTTGTCCGAGTGACACCAAGCAGTTGCTTTCGACTGATGCTTAGCACAAATGTTTCAGTAGTAGTCAGTGCAAATCTCAGGAACATTTGAACTCTTCTACGCAACGACCTAGTGGATACATTTGGCAAACATTGAAATGAACCATCAGACATGAGATTCCGTCAAGATCAGCTTGTAATAGTATTATACATTGGACATTTGGTCAAATGAACATTTTGTCTCGCCGGGAGAACTGGCTGAGGGTGTGCATAAATCTCCAATCTCGAAACATGGAAAGTGAAAGAACATCAACATGCAACATGCGTCATCGTAAGATATTTTTAATGGCCGTAATTTCTAGTTGGATTCAAGAGAACGCGTCCATACGAACGAAAAGCTTTCATCTTTTTTTTTTTCATTTAAAAAACTTTTATTACAACCATGCCTCTCCATCCTACTGTTCTCTGGGCTCAAAGAGCCGATGTTCTCTATTTGACCGTCGAAATCTCTGACATCAAAGTAGGTTGCTGCTGTTAATACAACGGTCTCTGTTGACTAACACACAAATTGTTCGTAGGAGCACAAGATTGATTTGACCGAAACCAAGCTTAGATTCACCGGTGTTGGTGAGAAGGAGCAGAACCAATATGAAGCCGAGATTGAGTTCTACGGTAACGTTGATGTTGAGGTAAGTTTGCTGGATTACAGCATGAGGATGTTTGAAATCTCACACAGCATAACATGACTAGAAATCCAAGCAACACTTGACAGCCCGTAACCTGACAATGGCCATTTATAAGAAGGAGGAGGCTTGGTGGCCCAAGCTTCAAAAGGGCAACAAGCTCAATTTTGTTAAGGTTGATTTCCAAAAGTGGAGAGATGAGGATGATGAGGATGAGGAAACTCAACAGCCTGATCCCATGGGCGGTTTAGATTTCCAAAGTTTGATGGCCCAAGCTGGTGCCAGCGGTGGCTTGCCCAACATGGACAATATGGTAAGACTCTAGACATCAAGTGTGGTCATAAATCTAAACTGTAAACTAATTTTGTTCTATTAGCCTGAAGGAGATGACAGTGAGGAAGAAGAAGAAGAGGAGGAGTCAGCAGCAAAGAACTAAAAGGTTTTGCTTTATCATCATCACCACCATTTTTGTCAAATTTGTAGATCCAAATAATAAACTAAATATTGCGAGAAACACATTTGAAAATCACTATACATAAGAGTCTGGATACAAAAGAACCATATGCTCTATTTCTCAATATAGTAGCACATGTTTGCTATGAATATTTCGCTTGTAACTCAATATCAAACAAGCAGGCTTTACTCAGATACTTCTAGGAGGTCAGCTTGAAAGAAACTGCTGTAATGGCATGCTTGGACCTGTCGTATACTTGCTGGCATGGATGATTTTTTTTTCTGGAAAGATCGATTTTCTTGGATCGTTGTCATTGAAAGGGTATGTGCTCCCACACATCTCGCAAATGAGGCAATGGCTACTCTTGCCTTGATGAGATGCCACATGCTCTACAATAACACTTGCGGAATAATACTACCAGCAACAAGACGACGAAACAAGTACAACAATGATTTACATGTCTTTTTCCCAATACGGACTCCAGTTCCAGTTCTAAATGGGTAATGCGGAGATACACAAGAAAACATTAATAATATGATGGAAGCTTTCGTTCAAATTGAATGATGAGCGTGTGTGTGTACTATTGATTCGGATGAAAAAGGACTTAGCACTCCCTTTTGACTGTCTTCCCATAACCACATTATCTTTTTGGGAAGGAAACGAATGAAACAATAAGATTTTCTCTTTTCCCTCTTTCCTCTTTCCTCCCCTTCTTTTCGCAATACAAACAACATGGCTGAAGGTATGTCTGCTACCCTTATATCTGATATGAAAATTTACGAATTTGAGGCAGAAATCAAGCAAAAACTCAAGATGGAAGAATTGAAAAAAAGGTTCAGAGAAGTAGAAGGAGTAAGAAGCGAAATTTAAGGGTCTTTTTTTCGTAGCTCAGGTTGCTCATGATTTTGACCAGGAAAATGATCTGCTGCAAGAGAAATTAAACCGAGCACACAAGAGCATTAAAAGACTTCGACTCGAAAGAAGGTAAGCTTGATGATGAGCATGAAAAGTGTTTTGATGTTAACATTCAAAATCAAAAAAAAAAAGTATTCTGCTGGAAAGAATAGATAAAGGCTTTGAGAACGGCAGTGATTCTGATACCAATTATGATTCATTGTCGCATAATGACTTGACTATGAGCAAGGTACGTTTATTGTGTGTTGTCTGCCTAGTACACGTGTGCTGACATAGTCGACAGATATCAACACAACATCACAACCACAAACAATCTAAACAGGCCGAAAAGAATAGTAGCACAACTAGCACAACTGTCATCAAACCACCAAAGAAGAAAAAGGATCCAAATGCGCCCAAAGGCCCTGGAAATGTGTTTTTTATATTCTGCCGCCATGAACGTGACAAGATCAAGGAAGAAAATCCTGAAGAGAGCATCGGAGACGTTACTAGATTGTTAGGTCTTAAATGGAAAGGTTTGACGAGAGAGGAGAAGCGGGTCAGTGTTTCGAGCATTGCGCCAACGCATGAGTAGCATGACTGATAGAACCAAATCCTTGTAGGTATACTACGACATGTTCAAACAAGAGATGGATGACTATGAAGAGGCCATGAAAGTATACAAGAGTAATGGTGGTGCTAACGGTGTTTTGCCTCTGGAGGAAGATGACACTCCAAGAAGTCAGTCTGATCCTGCTGAAGAATTGGCAACTGATTCTGTGATGTCTTCTCCCGTATCTACCAGCACTGACAATATCATGCAGCAGCCTCACAACGAGTATCCACAAGATGAACATGCGTTTGATCGTAGCTCTCATCACAGTTATATGGCAGATGCTCACCAGCAACCTCTGTATCAACCACAATCGACCGATTTGATGTCGAATAACCAAGAGAATCGTTTGACTCAGCACCACCACCAGCCTCGTCATCCTCATCCAATTCAACAACAACTACAGCAACAGCCGCTCCAGTTAGCTATTATTGATAATAGCAACGCACTTCAAAAACCTGTGATGCCATTACATCCTCCTTCTGCTTCATACGACCACTTTTAAAAACTTGTATGTATTTTGTATAATGATGTAGCACTGCGATCTTCTCTCTGGCCTTGGTTACCCCTTTTCTTTAAAACCTCTCTAATGAAATTTATCGTATCGTAAAATAAACTCGCCTGTATTATTACAACACTGCAATTGTTGAATGTAAATGAAAAATGCTTCGTCTTTATTATACAGCCAGGGTATGTGAACCTTCAGTATATCAAGTATGGAAACGGTTTGCATATCAAATGGTAGCTGGAGATGAAATGTAAAGAGGCATTTGCTGATCTTCCTGTGTTTCATTCCAACTCGAAGATGAGCAGACAAAGACTACAAATGCAGTTGATATGCAGACTCTACAATAACGGCGATATAATTGTGTGCATGCAGTGATCGTCATTGGGATACATGGTCCATTATGCTTAGGGTGTGCGTATTAAATAATATGCAATGATTTTTATTGTAACGAGCCTTGAGACACTTTGGGTGATTTCCTGACCTACGCTTCGCTTCGGTGGAAACCAACCTGCACAGCAACAGCTCGCGTTACCGGTTGCCATGGCGTATCTTATCAGAATACTGCTATTTTCATTGTGAACCTCCACTTACACATGAAAGCCCTTCATATTATCTGTGGATCTGACTCCTATGTGATGCTTTACATCCATATCCACGTAGCTACTTCATATACCGGCAAGCAGCATACTGACATTTCCCCTTTTAGTCGTTAGTGTCCCTGATACAGCAAAGCCTGAGTGCATTTGAGCTTCGTTTTCTCGCGTTCAAGGCCGTTTTAGATTGTCATAATAGCACCAAACAGTTACTCTCATCTAGCAGTTACTCTCTGACACCTTTGCTCAGCTTTTTGGGGATCAAAAAAACATGGATGAGATTCGACCAAAAAGCATGAGGTATCCCTCATGGTTTTCATCAAAAATCAAACGATCACGTTTTTGACCTTGATAATGAAGACTTTTACTATGGCATATATAAGATTAATATGTTTCTATCGATCTAACGTAAACCCTGAAATTATCTTTGTGGGACATTAGTATGTAAAATTTCGACTTTTTGGCTAGAAACCTCATTTCATATTTTCATAAATTGCTTGATAATTTTATTCAAAACATCTATCTTACTTGGTACCATTGGATGCATCTTAAAAAGTACTTCGAAATTGTATTAGGAAGCAAAGGATGATCATCACAACTTGTATAGTCGAATCTTACAAAAGAGTTCTTTTTTTTTTTATTGATTGAGCCGCGTACACCAAGAGTAGGAAGTCATGGTGAAGAGGCGGGTGCAATTTAGATATGAACATACGGATAAAATATAAGATAAAATATACTAAAAAAAAAAATAAGATAAAATAATAAATAAACTACCTATTAGATAGTTTATGTTACAGTTAGGAGTGGCACTGATCTTCTGCAATGGTCTGGTGGACAATGCTTCGGATCCGGCTCAAGATAGCTGTATGATCAATAGGAACATGATCAAATATAAATTGCATGTGGGCAAGCCACAATTCAGCAAGAGTGATGAATAAAATGCGGTATGGCTTGATGCCTTCACGCTGGCAATACCAGATGTCGGCAAAATCAAGATACCTCAGAGCTTGTTGGATGTCGGCGATCGAGGTAGTTGACCAAAGAAATTCAAATATGACTCCCTGCCACACTTTCTCTTTAGATGGGCAAAGAAAGAGGAGGTGGCTCAAGGAATCTTTGACAGACAAACACACGGGACAGAGAGGAGACTCAAACATTGCAGGTATGATGCGATGGAGAAAGCGACGGTGGGGAATACATCCCAAAATGAGGCGGTATATCACATTACGTTGGACAGTGGTAAGCGACAGGGACCAAAAGAATTTCCAGCTTGCTGCCGAGATATACCGCAAGGTCAACGGGGGGAAGACAGACGAGAGAACGGCTAGCCGAAATTCTTTGGCCGAAGCCGGAACATTTGCGATAGATCGACCATCGTGGACAAAAGAGTTCAATCAAGTCGAAAAAAGACAAAATTTGTTCTATCTTGGGCCGAAAAAAAATCTGGGTTTGAATCAATTTTGGCGGCTGGTGGGCTGGCTGGCAAACTCAATGCCCTTTCCATTATGAAGGCAATAGAGTAATAGGTGCTTTTGAAGCGTATGAAAAGTAGATGGCAAATTGCATAGCACTACCGTTATCCGTGCTATTTTTCTTGCATTCTATATTTAATAGAGCCAGTCTATCAAAATACTTTCTAGATCAACTTCTTTCCTTTTTGAGGCTTTGAAAGTGTTTACGGACTGAACATTTATTATGTTATTATACTAAGCAAAATAAGAAGCTAAATGAATGAAAATACATGTTTATATATAAAAGGTAGGATGTTGGATCTATTTGGCCTTGTTGTACTTGGGATTACAGTTGACTGTGACAGATCTGACTGTAGCACTGATTGTTTCTCCCTTGACCCAGTTGATAGGTCCTTGAGCCCACTGAGTAGTGCCGGAAACAGCACTGGAATCCCAGAGGCCGATTTGGATAGCGCTAAACGATGCAAATGTGAGAACAATGCTCAGTCTGTACTAGATAAAAAACTTACGCAGCATGAGTAGGATAGGTACACTCTCCAGCATTATTACATTCGTTCTTGTTTTTAGCAGTGCGAATAAGTTTACCATCAACGAAAAATTCAATTCTTTCGGGGGACCTGAAAATCAATCAGGTGAGCAATCAGATCAGAGATGTGGACATCAAATCTTACCAGTCGAAGGTGTAATTGTGAAAACCAGAGGCAGTGTTAATAGCAACCTCAGTACTAGCACTATTCACACCATAAACTGGGCGTTTGCCATAGAAGAAGTTTGTCTGAACCTTGTTATGATTGGCTGTGCATGAACGAGCATGTTAGAGATTTGAGCAATGTAATTTGATAAACAACTTACCACCGAGCATTTCAAAATCGATTTCATCACCTCCAGGGGCAAGAACCACAGCGGCTGTCACAGCACCAGCTTTGCCTGCAGCTTGAATATCGAAAGAAACAGTACCGTAATGCAACAAAGTAGAGTAGACAAAGGTGGGAGAAGTAGGAGAAGCGTACTTGTTGTATGGATTATCTACGGTAGCTATGTTAGAAACAGAAGCTTATCATTAAAAAAGAATACATACTATTGTCAGATGAGTTGGTCATTCTAACGATCTGCTTGGGAGCTTCAAGAGTCATGACAAGGCCTTCATTCGTGATCTTCCAACCGTTAGTCAAACCTCCTTGTTCATTCCAATTACCAAGGCCTTTAGAAAACTCGGTAGTGCCTGAGGTACATTGATTCAAGGTGGCAGCAGAAGCAACAGCCCCAAAAAGAGCAACAGCGCAAAGAGAGAGATTGGAGATATACATGCTACAAGAAAGATTTATACAATCAAAAGAAATGCAAATGAGAAAAGAAAGGATCACTCGACCTGAGACCCTATTTAAGCTTTTTTTTTTTCTCCAACTCTCCCTATGAGTACTGAAATCGGGGAATCCGTTTTTCTGATTCAGTGATGGAAGATAGCTAAAGAATGAAATATACTGTTCAAATTATTGTCGATGTGTATGTTCGTTTTTTATTCCAATGTTGTCGATATCAAATTGTATCTGTTAATGTATGATTCGTGGACTTGCGACACGATCATTTTGCCTCTATGGCTCTCATCTATCCACTGGATATAGAACTGGTTGGTTAAACATAGTAATGACAGACAGGGATGCTACTAAAAATAAGGCGATATTTAAATCTGAGGGCCGAGACAAAGAAAAAAAAAAGAAACAATGGGTTTTTTATAGGCCATGTCTCAATCCCGTGAAAGTACAGTATTTTTGACGCTCACACATTATTGCTAGTGCTACGGTCAGTAAACCCTAATTTTTGACAGGCATGATCGTAACTCCACCATATCAAGCAATAGGCAGTGCTACGGCATGTTTAGCAAATCTAGAACATAAATATAATACAAAGCTGCCCTGAACTAAAAAAAAAAAAAAAAGTGCACATGTACTAGTTTTATATGTGATAACGAGAACGTCCATGCTTAACAAAGAGCCCATACGCATCTGGAGAAGAGAGCATCACATACCCAATTTCTCCACCTACAAGAATTTATTAAGAATCTGAAAATAAGACCTGGTCCTTAATTAGCGCAAAATGCGAGATCTCATTCTATTAATATATTCTGGATCATAACCCAATAAAGCTGTATGATATGGTGTTCACAGAAACTGGGAATCATCTAACTTACATGGAGGAGAGGGGAATATCTAAAACCCAACAAATATGGTTGACGTTGCCAAGACATAATTTGATTTCCTACACCATACGTTTGTACGCAAGCAAATCGCATCTTTTGATACTGTGTGTGGGAACTTGCTACAAATTCGATCATCACGCCATGATAGATTGTCTAGAGCTGTATGTTTGAGTATTTTGATGTAACCATGATTCCCAAACCATGTCATTCGGTTATATAATTGCATCAACATTGCCCAAAGCGGTGGTCAGTGCGTAGACACTTCCGAAGTTTGATATACGAATCGGCTCTCATAGTTGATTCGAGTGCCTACCATAAAGTCAAAGCACTTGATAGAACCTCAAACAGCAACACACGCGTACGGATCTACAAGACCAAGGTAGAATTTCCCAAAAGTTAGGTTGATAGTTGGATTCTGCACATGCATTCAATGGATACGGATGTACATGACAATAACCTTGCATCTCAAGAGCCATACAACAGATCTGCGCATTATACTAATGTACATGCCGATCCTGAACCATTGTTTTGTGTATCAGTAGAGACGGGTAGCAAAACATGCGCTTACCATTATATACTATATGCTTGAATTTTTACATTTATAAAGTATGGAGTAGAACATCACCGATTACTTTTTGCCATCAACTTGACATGCAGGCGACCGCAGTTTTAAAGTGCCCCTAGTTACCACGAGAAACATCAAAGTCTCCAACATGCTATTGAATATGTATTCCACATGTACTAGTTTTTAGCATACAAACCAGGATTCACACTCAAAATATCAACAGAATTTTCAATTTTGCATTTCGATTTAAAATTTTCGTAGGGAATTTTCGCAACGATTGAAGCCGCCAAGTATGGCAAATAATAATCAGGATATGGTGTATTGCTTAACTCGTAATCCACTCTATATGGAGCTTCCATAAGGATTGTTTACCTGTGTGATTAGCATGGCATTGGTTTTGCGCGCCAAAATTAATCAATCTCCGCTCAATTTGTTTTTGGTCCTGAATGGTTCATTTTCGATTAAATTACGACTTAATTGATCTATTTAGTCAAGTTCGACTATGTAAAATGCGGTGATCCTTCTATGCTCCTTTAAGCTTTCTAACAGTACTTTTTAATGCGCATCTAACGGTGCTAACTATACGAAACGCCTTGACTGAATATATTGAGCAATACTCGGAAATATGAAATGATGTTTTTGGCGAAAATGTCTAGATTTTGAATACCATGGTCTCACAAATATGCTTTCAGAGGCTGCGTTGGATTGAGAGGAACATTTTAAGTCAATATTGTTTTGGTAAAAGCCTTCATTTTTGGGGTCAAAAACGCAATCGTTTGATTTTCGATGAAGACCATAAGGTATCCCTGGGGGTGGCTAACGTACCAACAAAAAATTTCCTATTTTTCTTAACGTACCAACAAAATACTAAAGCTCATAAATGCACACCCTGTCCGGCAGTGCTGTCGCAGTGCTTGCTTTGTCTGCTATTTTTTCCTTGGGCTAACGTACCAACAAATTATCTCTAGACATTGATAGACTTGCAAACTTCTCGTATTGCAAGTAATATAAATACAAGACGATGAATGACAAAAATGCAAGTTTCTGGTTCCTATTAAGTATAAATTTGTCAATATAGGCTTTCAGTTTGAGCTGTGGTGTAATTTATTGATTTACATTACTGAGGAATAGTTGTAAATTTGTGCAGTCCAGAGAATGATTTTGAGTTTTACCAAAATCAATATGCCTCCTATTCAAATTAGAAGTTGCACAGACTGCAGAACTGCCCTCTTCAAGAATTTCAGCTATCCATCCACCAAGATGTGATTCACGCTGTGTAAATAAAAGCTGTAAAGCAAAAAACATTACCAATTTTGACAGCTTTCAAGCCTTCATAGCTTGACATGTAGACCTTTCTGAGCCACCGGAATAACACTAAATTGTTGTATTCGAGTAGTAGTAACTTCCTGACACCGTTGCTCAACTTTTTGGGACCAAAAAAAAACATGGCCAAAATTCCACTGAAAACCATGAGGTACCCCTCATGGTTTTTTACGAAAATTAAACGATCGCCTTTTTCACCTTGAAAAATAGAGACTTTTACTATGGTATATATTAATTCAAAACGTTTCTCTCGATCCAAAGCAACTTCTAAAACCACTTTTATGAGGATTTCATATGCAAAATATGGCTATTTTCGTTAAAAATCTCATTTCATATTTTACCAAATTGCTCAATAGTTTCATTCAAAGCACATATTATAATTAGTGCCATTGGAAGCGTCTTGAAAAGTACTCCAAGAATGTATTAGGAAGCGTAGGGTGATCTTCACAACCGATATAGTCGAATCTCGCAAAAGAGTTCGATCAAGTCGAAAAAGGACGATATCTGACCAATCTTGAACAAAAAAAAATGTCTGAGTTTGAATCAATTTTGGCAGGCTTCGCTGATGCTGGCTTACCTGAATGCCTTTCTGATGATGACAATGATAATTATGATACTGACCCAATGGAGACCATATATTTGAAAGAACAGTTACTTAGTCCAAATATATGTATATATATTTACTTTTGTTCAGAGTTTTTCCCTGTAAAAGTGTCTTTTGCAATGACAATAATCTCTCACTATTAATTGAATGTCTAAAATTTATGTGATATCTCTGAGTTGAGATGTCTTCGGCGAGAGCCCGCAGGGCAACGCCTTCATCTAGCGTAGCAAGATCGATCGGCTACTTGTCTTATACAAGAGATAAAATACATTGTTAGATTTAGTTGACATGTCAGGATCGAAAAAAAAATGTATGGCGAATGAAGAGGATATTTTGTTGGTACGTTAGCCAAAGTGTGTCTGTAGTAGGAAATGCTATTTTGTTGGTACGCTAAGAATATTTTGTTGGTACTTTAAGAATATCTTGCTATTGCGTTAGCCAACGTATGTCTATAGAAAACGATATTTTGTTGGTACGTTAACCAAAGTGTGTCCATAGGAAATCATATTTTGTTGGTATGTTAGCCACCCGTAGTATCCCTCATGGTTTTGAGCCGATTTTTGGCGATCCCAAAAAAGTTGAACAAAGGTATCAGAAAGTTGCTAATGAACGAGAGCAACTGTTTGGTGCTATTCTGGCGGTCTAGAATGGCTTCCAATGCGAGAAATCACTGCACAAATATATTCAGATTATGCTGTGTTTTGCATTCTTTTGAGTAGTAACAGGCACTATAAGCATGTTGTCTGCGCAAATATGGGTCGCTTTTGTTGATGTAAACGTGGAGCATCGTAAAAGAGTCAGATTTACATTTATAGGTAGTTTTAAACACTTCTGACACTATGGTGGAATATTGAAAGGTGTGCCATAGTAGGTGTGAGAGGGACTCAACGCTGCTACTGCCTTGGAGACGCAAACTAAAATGCATACGTATGTACCTATGATGGATCTGGCGATTCCACAGGCTTTAATTGAGGGGTTTATCAATGCAATGTCAAAAAGTACCATTGCCCTAGATACTGGCATTGTGTGCTACTCTATTATTACTACATGTCTAGTCTGACTATAATTGGAATCAAGCAAATCGAACCGTCTTTTTCTTCTTCTTTTCAGGTAAACTATCCTCCTTTTGACTTGAATATGGTGCGGACGAATTGTCTTCTCCAACAAGCGGTGGCGATAGAGAGTGCCTTCTCTTTCCACTGTAGTTTGATTGTGTGCTTGGTGGCGATAGTGTTGGCTTGATTTGATGGTGTTTTTCTTTGGCCATTAATCGCAATTTCCAAGGTGGAATTGAATCCATGATATCACCGTCACCTTCAATGTCTAAGATGATATCGCTTTCATCTTCTTGTTGACCTGCACTGCTATTGCTACTACTGTGCTCAAGACTGTCCCCGTGCACGTCGAATGCGCCAGTAAATGTGTGAGCATCCTGTTGTATTGAATGTCCTTCGTCTTGGTCAGATGCATCGACATCAATGTCGAATTCATCATACATCTGGCGCATATCACTAGGCGACAAAGCGAGTGGCGATTGTATCGATTCAGTCAAAGACGCCCCTTGAGTATTATCCATACCCTCTACTGTGTCGGCTGTTACAGATGGTTTCTTGGGTACGAAATCTAGTGGTGCATCAAGAGGCATAATCTTTTGCCGATATTCTCCAGTTTCGTGATCTTTATAAATAGTTCTCGGCAATGGTACAAAGCGAGCATGGTTCAAAATGTTGCGAAGCTTTGAATCAGCAAAAAATTCGCCTCTCTTTAGATTTTCCCTGTCTTCTTCCACCTCTGCAACGCAAATTTAGTTTGCAAATCAGCAAGATACAAAGCAGACATACCTTCACCGCTGGAGACCTGTTCTCGTCTTTTCAGCAATTCATCTTCAATAGTATTTTGAATGACCAATGTCTCAATATAGACGGGCTTGGTTTGTCCAATACGATGTGCACGTTTGATCGCTTGTTGTTCCATCGCTGTTTGCCACACAGGGCTGACAAAGAAGACACGAGTCGCTGCGGACAGATCAATGCCATACGCTGCTTTTTGTACAGCCATGATAATGACATTTGCATTGTCTGATGTGTTGAAGGTCAAGATCATTTGAGATCGTTTTGCATTGTTCTAACATAGATGGTCATTATTAGCCATGTAAACCAGGGAATACGGGATTTTGCTTTACCAGCTTATTATCTTGATACATGAGCACACGCACTCTTGCAAGCTCTAGAGCGAGATAGATTTCATACATTTCATTGTAATGCTGCGAAAAGATGATGCATTTTTCAGTGGCTTGATATTTACATACTTGATTGACCAGGTAGTTGATCTTTACACTTGAGCTAGACAGCACCCGAGCATCAGAGAACGCGTTGCGAGTATAGTAGGTTAGTTGACCTTCTGCTTGCTGCTGCTGGTGCTGCTCGTCTTTTTTGTCACTGTCGTCATCCATCTTCATATACAATGCTTCTTCCGCCGGCGTTTGAACATCGCCACTACTACTACGACCACCAGGCAACGCTTTACCAGACACATTAGACTTGTTCTTTCTCATGGCCATTTCCTGTGCTTGTTTCTTCCTTTTCTTGTTTAATTCGAACTCTTGCACACTCACCAATGTTCGATTGGACCCATCGTAGACAAACAAGTCTTTGGTATCGTCGTTTTTGGTGGCAGCAACAACATCCATGGCTTCAAACACACGTTGTGCGCTCACAATACAATGGTCGTCCCAGGGCAGAGTTCCCAGAGGCTCATAGACACCATGATCTCCCTTGAGCCAGCCCCACGTTTCCTTAAACAAAGGCGGCAGACCCTGTACAACGTATGACGGAGCATGTTGACCCATCATGCACACAAATATCTTGTTGCTCAATGCATCAAAGAGTACCTGCCGAATCCTGACAAGATCCTTGTTCTCTTCACCATAATCTGATACGCCTTGCTCCACGTCCAGGCATTTTTCAACGCAGTTATCGTACGCCATTTGCAATAGCTTGAGATCCACCGAGTGCCAGAGGCAGCTTTGCCATAGATTGAATACTGTCTCACGCAACGCTTTATGATTCTTTGCAGTAAATAGATAGTCGGGACCCTCTCTTTTGGACAAGATGGCATTCAGGCTGATCATGGCAATTTGACAATTGTGCGCAACCCACTGGTAGTAATCGAAATCGAGATACACGATGTTTTGGTGCAAAGGAGGTAAAGTTACTTCCTTTTCCATATCGATGCGTTGATTTCTGACCATGGTACGTTCCATGATGCTTGTTAATTTAGTGATAGCCCATGGCTTTCCCTCCAAAAACGGCTTGCTGATCATTTTATTCCATAGTTTCTTGTTCGATTTGAAAGGTTCTATATTCAATGCTTGTCCGAATAAGGTCCCAAGTCTAGACACAATACAAAAAATCAAAACAAACACACTTGAGAAATATGCCAACAGACTAGTACCTGTTTAAATCGTCCATTTGCGACTCTTGCCGGGTTCTCATAGAAGCTGATTCAGTCAAATTTTGAGTGGGTGTACCTGTACAAATCCATTTCCAGTTGGAAAATAGCTTGGATGATAGTTCGGATTGTCTGTTTTTTGAAGATAATCGATGCCCTTCATCTAAGAAAAAAAAATAGTAATGTTTGTTTATTATTGTTACCAAGAACTATATGGTTAAATTAATTTGTTGTACCAACTATCAATCTCTTCCAATGGACTTGTAGTAATGGCGAGGTATACTTTTCCACATTGGCCACTGAGCAAATACAAGCTCTTTCTCTGGTCGAGCCAATGTAAGGACACTGGCACACTTGACCTATTGCTGTAAGCATATACAGAAATAGCATTGTGTATCCGTACAACTTACTTTTAAAATCAAGACCACCTCTTGAGTTCTCAAGCGAGAATCTGTTCTGACTGATCAGCACTAAATCAGTGTCGGCTAATTGAATGGGTGCAATGATCTTTTGTTTAACATCATCATACACTAAAAATCGCAATTGACCATCTTGGATGTGTTTGTATATCTCCCCTGTCCACTGTGCAACCAAGTTGTCCGGTACCACAACCAATGTAGCATTGGATAAATAGACTGTGAGGGTAGTGAAACTGGGTTCAATGCGGCGAGACCTTTCGTAATAATGTGCAGGTATATCTGTCCATTCATAGTAGATGGGATACTTTTCAAACCAATCGACAACTTCTGACGGCAATTGCTGTCTCATAGGCTTCCAATTGATGCTTAGCTGTAGCATCATTGCCGCTGCAATCTCCTTTAGACTAGGAACAGCCCCCAAGGCATGCTTTGGATAGTTGGTTTTCAGTGTATGCGCATGGTGCATTGGATTGGACAGGTCCTTGGTCGCCATAATGGCTGCTAGGCAAATGCAGGTCTTTCCTGTACCCATATCTTCACATATGATACCGCCTTGTGCATCTGGTATATGCCTGGATTCCAATGCAATTTCACCTGTCATCTGGTTAAAATAGTAATATGAATTATCCGTGGCTATTAATCTGACGACTTCATAGGGCTCCACTGTAGAAGGAGCTAACTCTCGCTGCAATATCTTCCATAAAGAGTGCTATGTACTGTAGGCTTGAGCTGCATTATTCTTCTAAGGTATTTTTTTTTTCTCCTCTAACCTTTTGATAGGTATATAACTTCGTTTTCATGCCGGGTATTTCAACTTGTATGTCTTCATTCAGAAAACCCAAGATATCGGGATTCTTGCACCAATCTGATATGTGATGGTCTATATGAGGCGAAGGTAAATGAATAAAGATATCTAGAAGGCTTGATGTGGATGGGATGCCCATTGCTGATTGAAATTCGGCCATTGGGTCAGGGGATCGATTGACGAACAACATCAAATCCAGAAACTTGCTTGGCTCATTTTGTTTGCTCAAGAACACTTGTATTTGGATTCTACACAACATAGTGTTGAGAAGGGTGCAATTTGTGCCGATAATGTGTGATTTCTCAAGGCGATGTATTAGATGAATTTTCTTCAATTGGTGTTCGTTTTGAATGTACGGTTGGATCGACTCTATGCTGGTAATATGCGAGTCATGATATGGCGTGTTGAATGGAATAACAATGTGTCCCGCATCAATGATGTTCATTTAAAGGAGTTTTGATGTTGTGTGGTGCAATAGGGAAAGAAATCTGATATTTTTCTCCAGCCATTTGAAATGTTTACATGACTGTCTCTGGTGACAAACAGTGCTTTTGTGCATCTGCATTTGATCAAAAGAAATTTGCGCGCTATTCATTACTTGGTAATTCAACATTGGAGGTTTGCAAACACCATTTAGACATAAAAAGCACTTGTCATCAAGGGGTCATATCACAGTTGTTTAGAGGGTTAGTGCTTCCTAATCTGTATTACCCGAGTTGTATGCAAAGAATTGGGAAAAAGGGAGGGAAATCAAAAGAGTGCACTTCTTTGACGAGTGATAGCCTCTACTCAAATGTTCCGTTATTCATCTCACATTGACATGATTTCAAGAATGGAGGGTTGAAACGCCGTTTTAAGAGCTTGTTGTTGTTTTGATTAACATTAGGCCTGGAAATCATATATATATATATACAGCTTGCGTACAAGAAATGAACAAGAGGCCTAAGGGGGCATTTGACAACATGCCTTTCGATTGCAAAAGCCATGCTATAGAAAATAGAGGCATGTATGTGTGTGTGTGTGTGTGTGGATACTGTAAATTACTAAAGTTTGAAAGTGCTTCTGCTGCTGCTGATGTTGTTGTTTATATGATATGACATCGATCACACGCCTCAATATCACCCCCTTTCACCCTTGTTCTGCCTCCTTCTTTGTTTCGTTTTTTCTCTGTCCATGATGGATACAAAGATGAACCTCCTTAATTTTCCTCTTTTCTTCTTTTTTCTTTCTTTTTCCTCTTTTGCTGCCCTGTTTAAATAGCATGTATCATCCATCAAATCAATCCTCCATTGTACTATCGCCAATTATGAATAAACGTGTGTTTGATAGCGGCGAACATCAAGAGAATAGCAACATTGCATTAGAAACAAGTCAGCTTATGATCCGATCTCCACCTCATCATGTCAATGCCGCTTCTCACCATCTTCACCACCATGGCCATCTTCCTCCTCCTCCTGCTGCTACTGCTGCTTCTCATCATCATCTTCACCACTCTAATAAAAGACCCAGATATGAGCCTAGCTGGACATTAGACAACCTCTGCACACATCCTTGTAGTCCACTCGCTGCAATCGACCTAGAGGTACATGAAACGTCGTATAAGCTTACATAAAGGTGTACTAACATTACAATTCATCCAGTCAATTTTTAATATGTCTACATTTCATCTCTTATCACAGGACAAGAGGGATGAATTATGCTCCATGCTACCACAATCTGACCAAAATGCCTTATTAAACCACTCAAATACCTATGAAAACTATCAGCAACCTTATCAACACCACCATCAACATCACCCGCCCCCTTCTTTCAATAACGAAAACTATAACCCTTCCTCTAATCTTCATAATAATACGTCTGATTTCTTTTCGAAAACTGAAAATCCCATCTTTTGGAACTCGTTGACAGAATGGCAAACCATGCTTGGTCATGGTGATTTTGTGAATTCTGAATCGCCATTGCAGCTATCTCCTTCTCCTCCAACTACAACAAATAATAGCAGTAGTAACAAATCGACTACATCCTATGGATCAAAATCACACAAATCATTCAGGGCCACATGTAAAAAAGATAGATTCAAGGTAAAATTTGGCTCCAATGTCACCAATACGCTCCTAACATTATGAATAGGACGAAGCATTTGAGTCGTATTGGGGCGAGCTGATTGATAAGGATAGGGCGCATAATGTTGCAGGGTGAGTTGCACAATGGGTTATAAATGTATACAGCTGAAGTCTAATCCACTCATTTTGCTAGAGACTCTAAAAGTATCACGTTGAAAGACATGTGCCGCAAAGGCTTGATTCGTGAACAGGATGTGATTGTGTATAAACGCAATTTCAGTGCATGTAAAGTAGTTGTGTCAAAATCAATGACGGTAAGATAAAAATCTCGCGCTATGCTACAATATGTTTATATTAAAACTCTTGTGTATCTCATAGGTTATTAAAGCATGTGGGCTTTCTGGTATCTCCATCAAGCTGGATAAAGAGATTTTTGAAGATTTTGAGACTCCCACTGCTCTGGAAACAAAAATCTTGGACCATCATGGCAAGGTGACAAAGGACAAGCGCCCGAATGGAAATGCGTTCAAGAGTATCCGCTTAATTCGTGCCGGTAAAGATATGGGAAGATTGTTTGATATCAGAAAGGATGGATTTGGTGATCAGTCTGGCTGTTAGTTGAGTTTTTTTTTTTGTTCTTTACAGCTCTAAAAAAAATCACAAATTGTAGTAGTGCCCTCGGATTGAGACAAAAACAAACAAACACAAAACAATCTGCTTTTCACACACACACACACACACACACACACACACACACACACACACACACACTATTACTACTACACGCCTCAAAATGTATACATTGATTTTCTCTTCCTAATTTGTATTTCGCTGCTTTCTGTGCCCATCTCTCACTCCTTTGCATTATCACAACATTGCGCGCTTATTTAAATCATCAAAAACGCTAGAAAAAAAAATGACATAAAAATGTACCTGATTTTTAGAGCTACATTTATTGCAGTTTAACTTGTTAACGTGGTTCTTATTAAATGCAAACTTCAATTAATACATGTCAAAATCTTGAGTCTATTTTTTGGCTCTTTGCTCCCAGAAATGGCTCTCCTAGCTTGACCTGTCAAATACTCCCTACTTTTTACCCAACATGTCTAGTGGCTTATTGGCATTTGACAATCGACCATTCAGTGACCTTTTTTCCACCCATCAAAACTTCTCTTTTTTCTTCAATATTTCTTAACCCTTCCAAGTCGTTCAATCTATAGAATCATGTCACCTATCAGTAAAAAAGCAAAGAAGGAATCGTCCGAGAAAGAGCTAGAAGGCTTCTTGTTTGGTGATACTACTGAAGAATTATGGACAAAGACTGGACAAGAGCTCGATGCTGATCAAGCTCAAGACAGCAATGCTGAAGATGATGATGAGGAGGATAACGAAGAGGTATAGTATGAGCAGGGCATTTGGTGGAGATAATATATTTATCAGACATGTAGGCCTTCTTCTTTGATTCTGGACCAGTTACCTTTACAATGGATGCGCCAACATTAGGTGCTGACGGTTCAGACAGTGAAATTGATTATGAAGCAGAACAAGAAAATGAAGAGGATAACGAGGAAGACGACAGCGATGATAGTGATGACAGTGCGAATAACGACAGTAATGCTGCCTGGGAAGATGAAGACGATCAACGCTTAAAGATTTCATTAACTGCTACCAACATTACAAAGAAGCTTCGTAACGACGAAGAAGAAGATGTCATTGATGGCGTCGAATACACTCGCAGACTACGCAAACAGTAAATATCGGCATAGACATTTGACAAAGCGTGGTTATACTAATTACCCAAATGTAGATTCAACAAAATCTACCCAAAGCCTGATTGGGCCCGACTTCCATCAGAGATCAAGGCAGAACAGAGAAAACGTAAAGCATCATCCAACAGCTCTGACGAGGAAGACGATGATGATATGGATAGAGATGAGGATGAGCTGGACGACAAAGCTAGATTAGACTTGTTGAAGAGTACAATGGGCATTTTAGAGAGAAGATCAGGAAAGAATACCATTTCACCCAGAAAATTAGACATTTTGCGTGTGAAGAATGCCAACCGTGCAGTGCCTAGATCCTATGTAAGTTTTGTATCAGTAGCATGTGGAGGATATGTAAATTAACAGGCCTGCCAGAAATTAATCACCTCTATCGCATTCCACCCCAACGCACAAGTCATGTTGACAGCTGGCCTCGATAAAACACTCAGATTATTCCAAATCGACGGCAAAATCAACCCAAAGATCCAGTCTGTCATGTTTAAGGATATGCCCATCTATCACGCCGAATTTCACCCTTCTGGAGATCAGATCATTGTCAGTGGACGTCGCAAGTTCTTTTACATTTACGACATTCAGTCGGGTATCATTGACAAATGTCCTGGTATCTGGGGAAAAGACGAAAAATCACTAGAAAAATTCTCCATCAGTCCTTGTGGTCGTTATATCGCATTTTTGGGCTCAAGTGGTACCATCATCATTGTCAGCTATTTAACAAAGAAATGGTTCTGTGATCTGAAAATGAACGGTACAGTGGATTCAGTGAGTTGGAGTGCTGATGGTACATTTGTCTTTGGTTTTGGATCTGCTGGTGAGGTGTATCAGTTCAACGTGGTAGACAAAGAATGCGTCAAACGCTGGGTGGATGATGGCTGTATTGGTGCCTCTGTTTTGCGAGTCAGTCCCAACGAGAAATACTATGCCACTGGGTATGCAAACAAGTCGATAGGATGAGTGTATGCGAGTGCTAATTAAGACTGTGTATTGTAGTTCATCCACTGGTGTTGTCAATCTCTACGACAGATCAGTACTGGAACCCAACAACGCTAGGCCCACACCTATAAAAGCCATCACCAACTTAACAACAAGAATCAACAATATCGTTTTTAACCATGACTCACAGTTGATGGTGATTGCCAGTCAGTCAAAGAAGGATCAATTACGAGTGATTCATGTACCCACAGCCACTGCCTACAGCAACTGGCCCACTGATAGAACCCCTCTCAGTGATGTTGTCGCTGTGGCCTTTTCTCCCAACAGTGATTACCTTGCAGTGTCAAATGAAAAGGGTCATGTTCTGCTCTATACATTGAAACACTATGCTCTTCAGTAATAAACATATATATATATATATACATTTGCATCTGTGAAATCATCAAGCCTATTTATCAATGTTTGACTATGATGGTGGCATTATTTATGCGTTGATGCTTGTTGATAAGCTATTTTAATGCCTCTCTCTTTTTCTTTTAAACGCCATACCCTCTATTGACCACACTATGAGCTACTGCTATCCACCTAGTGAATTACTATCAGCCGTCTTCCAAGAAGTTGAATCGAGTAATTGGACCCTGCAATCTTGTCAGCTTGTATGTCAGGGCAGCTCAACGGAGACCTGGATTCATTCACCGTAACGCAATTCATCCACACCGCTGAAGACTCATCTACTAGGATTGGTTATGCAGTGAAGAACATCCTGTTTGGTCTACCTCTGGCGCTTGCTTGTTCTTTGGTGACCTATCTTTGGCGATTGCTTATTTGGTATGTCTCTGGTGCTGCTGCTTCTCTAAAGGAAGGCTTACATTGACAAATTGGCTGCAGCCTGAAGCTGCTTGATTTAAGTTCCTTTTACAAGTTTTTCGGTGAACTGCGTTATTATATGCAAGGCTTGAAAATAAAATAACGTGGCTAACGGTAGTACTATGTAAGTTGCTACCTACTTTCCATTGGCTTCAAAAGCATCCTTCAGAGGGTTTAATTACTTGCTCCGCATAAACTAGTCGCAGGACTGTAATCAAGTGGCAGGCGCAAGTTTCTGTGACATTGCATGTCAAGACAAATGCATGAGAACAATTTAAAAAAAGGACAAATTATAGACTGGCATGAATGAGATCCTGGTTGATCATCATTACCGCCTTCATGATTAGATGGACACTGAGTTTGTCAGCCTACACCACCAGCCGTCAAAATCAATTCAAATTCAGACCCGTAGTTTGCTCCAGATTGGCCAAATCTTGATGATTTTGGACTAGATCAAGCTATTTTTGCAGATTCGACCAAGTAGAATATGATGATCACCCCATGCTTCCTTAAGCGTGCCAACGGGAGGATCCCGGTTCAAATCCTGGTGAACGCAAGTTGTTTGATTTTTTTTGACGTAGTACTGATGTCCTCGTTTGGTGTTTTGTGCTCTTATCCATGATCTATATTTTGACGATTTCCGCAAGACTGTACTGGCTCTAGGAGTCGCACCTTATTAGTAGTAGATTTCTTTCCCAACTTAGTTCAAAAAATATCTTATTCCCCTTCTTTGCAGACATTGGGTCCACCAACAGTCTTTTCTATCCCTCAGCATGACATTTAAAGGACTTTAAATAAAACCTGGAGCTCGACTCCCCTACAAAAAAAAAAAAAAAAATGCTTCCTTAAGCGCGCCCCTGGTGGTAGGGCGAAGTGGTAAAACTCCCGTATGCCAACGGGAGGATCCCGGTTCAAATCCTGGTGAACGCAAGTTGTTTGATTTTTTGAAGTAGTACTGATGTCCTCGTTTGGTGTTTTGTACTCTATCCATTATCTATATTTTGACGATTTCCGCAAGACTGTTTTGGCTCTAGGTGTCGCACCTTATTAGCAGTAGATTTCTTTCCCAACTTAATTCAAAAATATCTTATTCCCCTTCTTTGCAGACATTGGGTCCACCAACAGTCTTTTCTATCCCTCAGCATGACATTTTAAGGACTTTAAATAAAACCTGGAGCTCGACTCCCCTACAAAAAAAAAAAAAATGCTTCCTTAAGCTTTCTGGAGTGCTTTTCAAGGCGCACCCAATGGTACCAAGTAAAGTAGATGTTTTGAATAGACTTATTGAGCAATTTATGAAAATATGAAAAGAGGTTTCTGGCCAAAAAGTTGAGATTTTACATATCAAGGTGTCACAAAGGTGATTTCAGAGGTTACGTTAGATTGATAGAAACATTTTGATTCAATATATACCATAGTAAAAGTCTTTATTATCAAGGTCAAAAACGTGATTGTTTGATTTCTGTTGAAAACCATGAGGGGTACCTCATGCTTTTTGGTCGGTCATTTTCGGCCATGTTTTTTTGATCCCCAAAAAGTTGAGCAAAAGTGTCAGGAAGTAAGTGCCAGATGAGAGTAATTGTTTGGTGTTATTCTGACGATCTAAAACTGCCTTGAACGTGAGAAAACGAGACTTAAATGCACTCAGATTTTGCTGTATCAGGGACACTAAGGAATAAAGAGGGGGAATACCAGCATGCTGTTTGTCCGCATATGAAGTAGCTATGTGTATATGGGTGTAGAGCATCACATAAGAATCAGATTCACGAGTAATATGAAGGGGTTCCATGCATAAGTGGAGGGTCAAAATGAAAGTAGCATTATTTTTGATAAGATGAGCAAGGAAAATCGGTAGCGCAAACTGCCGCTGCACAGGTTGGTTGTCACCATCAAAGCAAAGCGAAGGTAAAGAGCCATCCGTAGCGTAGACAGACTCGTTGAACATAATGACTGCAGATATTGAACTCACTGGTCTGACAACCTTGACGTGAACGATCTCAAGAAGCTTTTATATAAAGTCTTCAGAGAGTATTACATGGTCAAGTCTAAAAACCAGCACAAGCGTCTTGGTAAGTCCTCTTCCAAATGATGTATGTGACCAGGGTGATATCAGTGGTGAAAGCAATAACATCCCTCTCAACTATGAGCTCAAAGGTCGAAAAGAATCGCTCATTGGCAACGGAAACAGCTTTATCAACCTCGGCAATGAAACTTAAAGCCCTATGGTATGATGCGTAATTTTCTTCGATTAATCAATTAAAGACTTTCATTATTTCATTTTATTTGATTGTGTATCATGTTATCTTGTACTCCAAGTCTGCCATTTATCATTTTCACAGATTCACAGCCAATTCAGAGAGACACTCTCAAAAGGTATATTATTTCTTACTACCTAGCTTACAATTTCTTAATGTCAGTGTGATCAGAAAGCAACAAATAGAAGCAGCAACGCCGTACTTGAACGCAGTGTGGATCGATTTCTGCAACGAGACAACAATGACAGCTTGCACTTCCGGAGCTAATGTTCGCACTTTGGTGATGGATGTTCTTACGAACTCGATGATTTCTGCAGCCTCAGGACCCTTGATCTGCTTGTACAGGTTGTTTTTAAACTGATATTGCATGATGGCAGCAGTGATAGTACTGCCAGATAACCAACCAGTGGAACGACACAGAAAGATCATGGACGTAGCTGATGCAGTATCGGAATGAGCAATATCAGCCACAAGAGCAACCATTGTGGCAACAAAGACAGAGCCAAAGATGAAGCCCTCCACGTTCATACAACTCAACAAGAACCAGATGGGTGATGTGGGATTCCATGAGGCCATGCCAAAAGATGTAGTGACATGAAGTGCAGCCAGAATGATTACAAAGTACTTGTACTTGCCCTTGACAGCCAAATAGCGGCCAGCTACCCAACAGCCAACAGCGACCATGAATGTTCTAGGTAATACCCACAAACCAGCAGAGGAAGCATTGTAACCCAGGACGCCCATAAAGAATTGAGGAGTCAAATAAGTGAATGCCATAGTCGAATTGCAGAGAAAAAAGTTGTTGAGACAGACAGCAACTGTATTGCGATTCTTGATCAAGGTACGAGACACCAGTGGATTCTTGGCCCAGTTGTATTCATAGACACCAAACAATGTAAAGAACGAGACAGCAGAAGCCAGCAAACTTACAATCAAAGGATGGTCCCAATCATGTGTATTTCCACCCAGAGAGGCGCCGGTGACAAACGAAATGTTGGCAGTCAGTAGGAAACCGGCACCCACCAAATCAATCTTTTCAAACTTTTCACGAATATTGTCAGTGGATTTGACACCTCTCTCCAGGTTGTAGTCTTCCATTTTGTAGATGTAGACGTACAAGAGAAACAAGCAAAAGGGGATGTTGATGTAGAAACAGTAGCGCCATCCAACAGTGTCATTGATGATACCACCCAAAGGAGCCCCAACTGTAGTACCAATCTACATGCATTCCATATTTAGTCTGTGTCATTGTTTGTTTGTATATGTATACTCACAGTCTGTGCCATATTGACGTATGACTGATATTGGCCACGACGTCTCATAGGTAATAAGTCATGGATTACTACAGATGCCATTGTCATGATGCCTCCGCCTCCCAATCCAGCAATAGCTCGAGCAATTCCCATTTGAGCCATGCCATTAGCAATGCCACAAAGCCATGAACCCAACAAAAAGAAGCATACAATAGCGACTAGTGTTGATTTACGTCCAAAAATGTCTGACAATTTTCCATCTGTACGATACAATTTATTAGTATTAACTGTTGTCTGAATGTTGTGTCTGATTGCTATACTTTACATAGGGGCTGGATTGCTGATGTACTCAACATGTAAGATGTCATGATCCAAACTGAAAGATTCGCGCTAGGTAAAGATTGGGTAAGATGCTAGAGATTTGCACGATCTTTATATCTGTTACCTTTTGAATTCTGTGCCAATCTCATTGAAAATGGTAATAATAATAGAAGTGTCCAGCGCAGCCAAGAAACTACCGGTACAAAGACTAGATATGGCTTGAATTAGATCACATTTGACTGGGTATCTATAGGTCGAGATGTTACCAGAGCACAATCATAGACAACGACACATCGCCTAGTCTATTGTTGACGATATAGTCTGGATCATGGATGTTTACTGTAGATGTGCTGCAGTCACTGCAGTCACTGCCATCAACCAGGTATTCTTCATCTATGCTCTTTACCGAAACATGATGAGCGGTACCATCGTATCGCTGTTGTATACCTTCATCAGATGCTGTTCCTCGTAACAGAGATTGACTTTCACTGCTGATTGAAGGCATGGCAAATCGAATGCAATAGAAAAAAAGCCAAAGGGAGACCAGAAAAAAAGAGCAATTCATTATGTAGGATTCAATGCTAATCTATATATCTTGCATTGCGGAGCTGTATGCTAATATAAAGGTTACACACAACAGGAACATTGCGCCTTTCATTATTCAATTGCGCAACTGGAATATGATATGAAGTGCTTGATTGCAACATATCAAAAAACGATGAATATTTATCTCTTTTGATGCTTTGCCAGTGTATCAATTATGAGTAGATAAATGCAGAAAATAGCAGACTGGTGGTTTACTGAACAATATAGGAAAACAATGGATTATGCATTCAATGTGATGGCTGATTCATGTCTCGAAGACTCTATCCCAAAACTGGGTCGAGCATTAATTCACATTGAGTTATTGCGACATTCCCGTGGTCATAGTGAAATTGCGAAAGCCCATCACCAAAATTGCCATACGGGGAAGATTGTCAAGTGGGCGTTTTAGATGGAATCACAAAACCTCAAACAGGGTTTCTATGTATACATAAAGAGTCATATGCATACACTTTCCAACATCTCATGTCCCAATACCATGAGCGCGCCTAGAACTACATCGAATTGAGATGTGTATGTATGCGCTATTATGAGAAATGCAGCTCTTGTACACAGTACATGCAATTTAAAAGTTTTATGGATAAGCAATGCAAAGAGCCATTAATAAGGGGTAAATTAGATGAGATTGCCTGCTATTACAAATAATAAAAGCCAGCCGCAAGTAGATATTTTGATGAATTTTATTTCATGGTAATGATTCACACAGCAGTGAATTGTATGGATATATATATACAAGTTGAGTCATATAGAACATGTGGTGATATAAATATCTAAAGATTGCATAGAAACAAGCTATTTACAAGTGAAGAAAAAACAGGGTGATAGAAATACAGCAAGAATAGTGAATAACGAATTGAATTAGATATTCTTCTGAGCTTCATATTCAACAACAACTTCTTCTTCATCAAGGACAGCTTGCTTCTGAATGTTCTCAACATCACGTTGAATGGCATCTTCAGCGGCATCAGTTTCATCCATCTTGTGGTGACAGATATAAAAGAGAATAGTACAGATAAACATAGCGCCACAAATACCAGTGTACATCCAGACCAACTTGGGATCGACAGTAACGGAAACCAAAGCAAAAGCAATGATAGAGGCAAAACAATTGGTGAGCAAGAACAGAGCCATAACAATAGACTTCATAGACTGAGGAGCCTTCTTGTAGGCCAATTCCATACCAGTGATAGAAGCAAACACTTCAGAGATGGCGATCAAGACATAAGAGGGGATCAAATAAGCTGCAGAAATCCAGTTTTGTCTACCTTGAGGATCATCATAGTAAGGAGGAGAAGCATACACCTTGGCTTGAATACCAGCAGTATAGCCCATGGATGCGGCAGCAAAGAAGAAACCGCAGGTGATACGAGTAATCGGACGCATGGGAATATTCACTTTACGGAGGAAAGGATAGAATAATTTGTCCATAAGGGGAATCAAGATAATCAAAGCGATGGGATCAATATTTTGCATGATATCGTTGGGAACATTGCCAGTCATCATGGTACCAGCCATAGAAACCAAATTGTTGGTCATTTGAGAATAGCATAACCAGTAGATGGGGAACCAACAAAATACGACACATGCCTTCAAGGTACGCTTCAGCTCATCGACGAACACATCATCCCAAGTACATTTTTCAACCAATTCGGGGCGACTGCGAGTGAGATTAGAGGGTTTACAGGCCTCCAAGCTTTTGGTCTTGATGGCGAGCCAGAATAGTTTACCTGCCTCCATGAATACGGAGCCACGAGGAGGAGTTTGCACGTAATGCTTACGACCGAGAAGGACAATAACGACTGCTGGAATAAACATGAGTGTAGGCAAGAGGAAGGCTGGCCAGAAACCGACATTCTTCTCCAATTCGGTAGTGGCAATGGCCGAGAGAGAACCTGTATGGGAGATAGAGAGTTAGAAGTTTGGCTATGCATCCATAGAATGATCACGCACCAATATTGATAGAAAAATAAAAGTAGTTGAAAATCTTTTGATAAGTAACTTGAGGAGTGACAATGACACGTTTGCCATTCTTGAGGGTTTTCACATAGGCGGATTTACTACGGTATTGCTCAGCGACCAAAGGAGATACATTAGCCTTAATACCACCCGTAGCAAGACCGATGATAATGATAGCTACAATGTAACCGGGAAAAGCGGCGCCGCTTGCAATACCCGGAGGAATGGATGTGAGAGTCAAGATGATTAAACCGACAAAGTAGACAATGGCGAATACAAGAATTGTCTTGTATTTACCCCAAAACTGATCAGCAACAATAGCACCAAATACAGGAGTGATATAGCACCAGAACTGGAAAAAGGTAGTTAATGAAGTAGCAGTTTGTTGACCTTTGCCCATAGCACCAGGTAGCTCGGCGGGATCTATAGGAATATAATTAATTATTTATCCAAATGAAAGAGAAACATGCCGAATAAACTTACATGATGGGGGCTCAGGATTCTGAATGTAGTTTTGAAAGGGTCCGGAGAGACCATAGTAAGTGAATCTTTCACAAAACTCGACTAGAATGACCAAAAATGCAGCCTTGGGGATTGAATCAGCTACTTCAGGTAATTCAGCCCAATCTTCATCTGTGGGTTCAGGACCTTGAGTGTCAGCATGTTCTATATAAGAAGGAGCAGGATCTATATCTGTCGCATCACTATAGGTGATGGCTGTTGACTCTAGAATTTCATTCTTCTTTTCTTCTTCCATGGTATTTTATAAACAAGAAATAGACGTAATGTAAATGATACTTTGACATGGCAAAATAAGTGCCTTTATATATACTAAGTTTTACTCTTGTTTCGTTCGCCGTTTACAAAAAAAAAAAAAAAAAAAAAAAAAAAAAAAAAAAAAAGCTGCTTGAAACAACCATTGTCGTATTATCCGTAGCATTGAGGTAAAGAATCGCATTTGGCATCAATCAAGTCTCAATTGATGACCTCCATCTCATGGTAAATAGGCACAATACTAGCAGCCAATTTGAACTGGATTAACTCTTTGATCACATCTCTGACATGCCCTGTAAGTGTAATTGACTAAGCTTGCAGAATTTTCATGAAATTACATCAGACATTGTCAGAAATGACTAGAATTGGATAAATGGTTTTATATTGCCTAAATACAGCATGTAACCTATCAAATTATTTCTCACGTTCTCCGCTGTAGCAGAGCTTGAATGTGGGAAAACTTTATTGAACCCTGACAAGAAAATGCCCTAAATAAGGATAAATTTGCTCAATATCCGACGTGACAGATAGAGATTAACTTCTTATCAGACATTTGTCTTTACTTCTTCCAGTGTCTTCTTACTCCGCGATGCTCTGTTAGATGTGATAGGCCTGAATAATTACATGATATAAAGCGAAACATGGTATGGTATATTGATTGGCTTGAACAATCATTACCGTCACGAGATTCTTGAATATTAGAGCTATCCGGATATTAGTTTTTAGTGTAATATGGGGTCTTTGTATTCCAACATATCTTTCCGCCGGATCTCTCCTAGGTATTATTCATTTTCTTCGGTGGTCTCCGAGATAAACGACCTAAAAATATGGATTACAATCCATGGCTGCCTCTTATGGTTTATATTCAAGCACATATCCTCGTGCACAATTTCAAGAGTCTACATTATTTTACACTTTAGAAAAATTACATACAATAGATGTGTGAATTAGTGCGACAAATGATCAATAATTCGTCCACATCAAGTATGCCAATCCGGGTAATTATGCCAACTATGAAATAGCTTCTGTGTATTGTGACACAGTAATTAGCTGAAAAGATCCAAAGAATGAGGCATTACAACAGAGCATAACGCGATTATTATCATTGCAAGTTTCTATGGTATAGGACATCATTCTCTTGCTGCAACCTAGCAGTGTTGTCTATGGCAAATGCTTTATCTTTTCGAGACAAAGATGTAGTTGGCATTCATGAGGCTAACGTGCGTTTTCGCCGATGTAAATTAAGCAATTAACCTTGCAGCCATTTCATCCCCTTTACTACTACACTCGACAATAAAACAAGGAAAAATATTCGCTCGTAAAGTCGCAATTTTTGAAGCATCTAATCTACATTTTGAAGGTAAAATTGTATACCCTTTTCATTTCCTTGGCCAAACTATTACCACATCCTCCAATCACAAAGTATTGGAATACGGATTAAGGAGCACGGCGATGCCATGGATGCATCATTATCATCCTTAGCGCTAAATGAACAGACTTATATGGATTATGTACACAAATCAAAGAAAGAGCCATTTTAGTTTAGAAAACTATCAATATACAGTATACAAGTCATCAAGTAGAGAATAATGGAAACATTATTTAGTATAAATACAAACAATTGAATAGACACAGTGAAATCTTTATCCTATTTTTGCCTCAATGTTATGTATACAGCTATTGCAGCCCATTATCGTTGTTTTCACTTATTGAACCTATTCATTCGAAGGATCCCTTGAATCTGACATATACATTTGGTTTTTTGTTGGTTCACTGTAGTTTATTTACTTTTCCTGCTTTATCTTCTATCTAAATGATTTGATGTATCCACTCACCAAAAACTACATATAACGCCTGTTTGATCTTGAAATCACTTTTAAAAAAGAGAAGTATTTTAGACCACGTATTAACTTCACTTCTAGACTCTTCTATTACATCTATCAGCAGCACCACAATATCCTACACTATCCCGTCAGAAAAATAAAATAAAACCATCTTTTACAAAAAAGGCTCAAAGCAGTGAAAATCAAACAATTCTTTTCCAAAGTAACTATTGCTCCCACCATTCCATAGTAAGTTTGCACAGAATTGAAATGCGCATCGATTGATATTACTCTCAATATTTATCGCACGACTTCCATTCAGGAGAGCCTTTTTTTCAAATATTTGAAGGTTTTCAAAGGAAAACACGTACGAAATCTGTACCAATTTACCTGTAACACTATTTGTTGTTTAGACCTAAGAATTAACTATCGTTTGAGGTTTTATTTGAATCTATAGCATTAGTTCTCATGGATCTCTAGCATCCAATAGGTCAGCCTTTGTCAGAATGCAGGGAAATGACCGCTTAAGGCTAGCTTTTGCTACTGCGGTGCATATGAGGTTATTTTTGTGCACTATTACTAATCGTATCATGTCCCAAGTTTATTGCATAGATTTGAGCACCAAATAGACGTTTCCGCGTTTTTTTTTTACCGCTGTAAACTCCAATTTAGGGACTAATAAATCGATGTTGAAAGGAAACATCGTAGGTGGCCAAACGAAGTCTCATTTTGTAGAGCATACACAGGGCAACAAAATTTAATTAATAGAGAAGTTCGGTTGAGTTGGCAGTTTAATACATAACAGCGTTTGGACGCTGTTCTTTTGAATTGGTTTCGTTACAATCTCCTCGCTTAATTATTTGACAACAAACGTAACAACTGAAAATCACTTTATATGTTTAGTAGCCCTTCAACGTAAACACATAATGACCCTGATATAAAGGCTCTAGCATCAGCATGATGATTGGAATAGCCGTTCCTCCTTTTTCATAAAATGAGCAGCATAGATTTACAACAACACAACAAAACAAGTTACCACCAAGTGGTTTTGCACGGCATTCTCCAACATCTGTTCTATCGGTCTACCACTCGTAGTCACTCGTAACTAGCAAGCATTTATATGAAGCTCATTACTCAAGATTTGTTAGAATACACGGCACATTTTTGACGTTTTGCCAAATCTCAACAAAGGAAGATATCACCAAGTTTGTACTACAGCTGTGGAATTTGAGGCTTTATAGACTAAAATTCACGGAAAAAAAAAGAATAAAACAGTAAAGTCAACTTGATAAAGGTATGTTTTATTATCAAACTGACAGGTGTAAATTAAGCTCCAGTCTCTCTACTGGCCAGGTAGATGATCCTTCTTATATACTATAACAATGGATAAAAGTTCTATTAATTATATTAGATTGACAAATAAGTCAACTCAGATCAACTGATGTCTAATCATGCTAAAAGACAACTCCAGCAAGCTAATCATGATTTAGCTTTGCCTGGATGAATAATTAGACTCTCATCCAAAGTACCCTGATCTATCCTTTCTATAAGGATAATTAATATTGATCTAGTAGCATTTATCCGATAGTAGGTACAGTCTCCTTAGTTTATATCAATAGTACATACCTGAGTGTATATCGCTGAGCATACATCGTTAGCATGTATCTGGATATATGGCATGTCTATAGCATATCGTATGCATGTCTGTAGCATGTCTCATATATAGTACAAGTCTGTAGTACATAAAGTATCTGTAGCTAGTATCACGGATATAAGCATGTGTCTCATAGCGTGGATCATGAAGTGCACATCTGAAGCAACAAGCTCATATTGCATTAATCTTGGTGCCTATCCAGATATGGTAAACATCCGTAGTCAATGTTGGAATACAAGTATAATTCTATAGCGCCATCCATGTCCGTGGTGCCATCTATAGCAGCCTAAATCTTATATAGTATGAATCTTATAGTACTAGCGTATCTGAAGTCCATATCTTCTTGTAGTATAAATCGATATCGTACATCTAATCCAGTGTACATACAGTTTATATCTAAATCTGGTAACTGGGTGAACTGTCGGAATGCAGATCATAGTGGATATATTCCACAGAGCTCCATACAATAGAGAACATCTGATTCATCAAAAAGAACTGTGGTTTACTTACTTGTTAAGCAACGTAGCCTACTATACCTTATTTTTAGGTCGAATTCTGTTCAAAACTAGCCATTTTCAAGCTCGAATAACTTATGCCACAAAGCGTTTTGGATGCTTAAAATAGCGCCAAACAGATTTTCTTAGTTGCGCTTTACTTATTGATGCTTTATCTCAATTTTTTTTGGGCCATTGCAAATTCATAAAAATCGTCGTTTTTACATGAGTATTAGCAAGGGAAAATTCGTCAAAATTAAACGATACGTTTTTCACCCCAAAAATGGAGACTTTTTCTATCATACATATTAGACCAAATTGATCGCAAAGATAAAATGCAACACTGGAGACTACTTTTTGGGACTTTCATATGCTAAATTTTGACATTTCCGCAGAAAACCTATTTTCAAAAATTTCCAGATTTCTCTTTATTTTCGGTCTGAAATCTGAATGTAACCAACATCATTCGATGCGCCTTCATTGACTCTTTATAAATGCATTAGAGAGTAAAGTATAACAACGAGAGCTCTCATAGTCAAATTTAGCAAAAATGTTTAAAGGATGTGAAATGAAGTCAAATTTGAATACGAAAATACCCACTACACAATTTCAAATTAAAGTGCAGCAGTTGCGGCTACCACGGCAGAAGGATGAGACTAAATCTCATGGTCGTGACGTTGGATAGAGCACCCTCTCATTTTTCGATACCCCATTTTATTTTCCCTTTTTGCAAAACGCGTTTTCGTATCAAACCATATTGGTTTTGGAAACCTTTTGGTTGAAAATACACTCTAGCTTCTAATAGCACGGCCTTGCACTGTTAAAAGTACTTGGTACTGCTTCTTTGAGGTGGAATATAGTAGGTACCTTTCGATAACAAGCACAGAAAGATGTAGAACAAGCACTAATCGAATGTGTTTATTAGGTTTCGATAATTTTTTTTGCCTGTTTGACGTGAGTGTTACTGTCATTACTTCTCTGGTATCTCTGCCGTCTGCGTCTTTGGTCTGTC